AGAATATTTCTGATCCCTATTGGACCAACCATGTAGATTCCATTGTTTTATTTGCACTAGATAATCAAGAAGAGGGAATGAAATCCATCATGCAAGAAACTGCTTGCATTCCAACAAGACCTAATGGCACTTTAAGAAAGCCATGTGATTTGGTCAAAAGCAATGGAACTCTATCAGATCTTTTTGGTGAAGATGATGAAAGATTTGTATCAGCTGAATTCCAAGCTTCATATAGACTTGACGTGCTTAAATCTATGGGGATGATGGTGTATAGAATCAGAGATGATGTGTTACTAGAGCAGATCCATTCGGTTCAAAAGATTGCCAGTACCTGTGTATCTTGTTGTCTTCAAAGATGCAAATCAATTCTACAGTACATGCTCAACAACATTAAGGAAACTAGTTCCTGTCAAAAAGAAGGCAAAAATATTCCTTTCCTGCCAGTTTTACCTAAACCTTCTGATTGGAAATTGCCTTGGTTGTTAGACAATCAGACTGCGGTGGTTTATGACAAGAAATGTAAAAAGCATGAATCTGAATCTACTTCATTTGCTTTAGCAAAACCATCCGACCTTTTTCAAGATGATAATGTAAATCTTGTTGGATGTCAAGAGTTGCTTTTAAATACATCGTTACTAAATATACTATCTTATCAGAGACACATACTGACAAAAATTGGCGTCAGAGGGAGAGAAAATGTGCAAAAAGATGTAGTCATTCAACAGCTTTTACAGATATCAAATTCAGTTGATCTGTCTTCACTGGAAGAGAATGAGAAGGAACATCTTAGAAAAGTGTGTACAGATATGTACAATTTCTTTGATAAGGTTTGTAAGGCAGATGAATTTCAGAACTTTGAGACCTTGCAAAATGAACCTTGTTTGCTAATTGATGATGCTTTTGTCAGACCAAAGAAGGTTGCCAATTTCATACCATTAGATTGTTCCCCTGCTCTATATGGCTTGGGAAGAATTTCTTGGAGCCGTAACACACACTTCCTTGAACAAATTGGTGTGAAGAAAGAATTTGATACTGAAGACATTATATTAGCTTTAACTGAAATGTCAGAGCAGCACACAGGAAAATTGGAACAAACATCTTTAGAACTTGCATGTAAACTTGTCAAATTTCTTGCAAAAAAGATGAGGACAAATTCACAGAGCAAAGATCTGTCAAAGTTAAGAATACCAGATGAACATGGTTGCTTCTCACCAATTTCAGAATTGTGCCTGAATGACAGCACTTTGCTAAAAAAGGGGCAGAATTTGAAATATCTAAATGAAAATATTACAGATGCAGATGCAAAAGTTCTTGGTGTGCAGTCAAAAATAAAGGGATCTTTGAAAGATTACACCAAAAACCTACTTCCCTTTGGTCAAAAAGAAGAACTTACAAATAGAATTAAGAAAATTCTCAAACAATATCCACAGAGCGAAGGAATTTTGAAAGAAATGTTGCAAAATGCTGATGATGCAAAGGCAACAGAGGTGATGTTTATATCGGATTTCAACCAATATGAAACAGAAAAGACTTTTGGAGAGGAGTGGCATCCACTGCAGGGACCAGCATTACTGGTTTATAACAACAGTTATTTCACAGAGGACGACATTAAAGGTATTCAGCATTTAGGTCAGGGATCAAAAGAGGACGACCCAACTAAAACAGGACAGTACGGTATTGGCTTTAATGCTGTTTATCATATAACAGATGTACCTTCATTCATTTCGAAAGCTCCAAACAAAGAAGAGACATTTTGTGTAATGGATCCCCACTGCAGATATGCTCCTAATGCTTCTGAATACTCCCCCGGAACCAGATTTACTGATTTGGATGAATTGCGACAACCATTTTCGGATGTTTTCAAATGCTATCATGAAAATTTGCTTCCTGGTGGTTGTGGAACTGTTTTTCGACTGCCACTTCGACAAGTTGTTTCTGATCTTTCTGACAAGATTGTTACAACCGATACAATCAAAGATATGCTGGAAACCTTGAAAAGTGAAATGACCCAATGCTTATTATTCCTAAAGAGTGTAAAAAAAATATCAATTGCAACCATCAAGGAAAAAAAAATTGAAGTTTTCTGTAGCTCTGAATTATCAATATCTAAAGAAGATCAAGAAAAAAAATTAGAGTTTGACAAATATGTAAGGGAGAAAGCGATCTCTTTTCAGGAAAAAAGAGAACTTTTTTCAACCAAGTTGAAGGAAGTTGCATACAATGTGACATTAAAGGATGCTTCAGATCATGAAAGAAAATGGCTATTAATTCAGCGATACGGATTCAGTAAAGACATTTCTGTGCCAAAATCTGTAGAAGATGCGATTGAAGATAAAACTTTAGGACTTTTACCCCAAGGAGGCATTGCAATGCCTCTCCAAGAAGGTGCTTTGTCACATGCAAAAGCATTCTGTTTTTTACCGTTGCCTTGCACAACAGGTTTATCAGTACACATAAATGGACATTTTTCTCTTGATGAATCAAGAAGAGGTCTATGGAATGATGATAAGAAAAAGGAGTATAGGACACAATGGAATTACTTGATATTATGTGATATCATCGCTCCAATTTATGCCAAAGCTATTGAAGTGCAATGTAAAGCATTTAAAGAGGAGATTATGAATGCAAAAAGCCAAGACTGGAAAATAAGACAACAGCTGAAAAATTTTCACAGTTTCTTTCCAAATTTTGAAGATACATCTGATCACTATTGGAAACACCTAACTGCCCATGTATATAGGAACATTTCAGGTCAAGGTTTGGAAGTATTCATATCCTGTCATACTGATGGAAAAGATCAATTCCAATTAAGCACTTATTCACTTCAAAAAGATAGCAACGACATTTGTGATGTTGTTTTTAATGTTGAACATCAGAAAAGTGAAGAAGAGGATAAGATCATAACGGAAATAGCAAAAGATTTAGGCATGCATTTGGCGGATACTCCAGTGTGGATCTGCAAATGCATTGAGAAAGCTGATGTAAAATGTGATCAACTTTCCCCTAATTTTTTGACCACATTCTTGAAATCGAAACATTGTAATGTAAATAACCTTCTTGAATGTGAGTCTCAGTTGCAGTTACATAAAACTCCCTTCAAAGAGCTCAAGAGACTTTATATTTGTATAGAATTTTGTCAAAAAAGTGAGGATTTTGAGAGCAGAGTAGAGGGACTTCCACTTTGTTTATTGGAATCAGGGGTTCTGAATAAATTTAAAAGACAATCACCTGTGATAAGGACATCTTTTTTTGAACTGTTACCTAGTTCTTTCAGCAAAATGTTGCATCATGAATTACACGGACTGTTTTCGGGTGGAAACAGTGGATGCGTCATTGCTCTGGATATCAAGTCATTTGTTGACCTTCTTCCAGATGATTTAAATTACGATAAATACAGGCATAAAGATGTTAAGTGGAATCCAATGCAACCCACCATACCAAATGGAAAATGGATAAAAAGTGTGTGGAATTTTCTTCACGAATCTTTACAAACTGATCATGATCAAATAGACATAGTTCGATTACTGCATCAAGTTTTGCCATGGTCTCTAATTCCTACAACACAAACATCTATTTCGAGAGTACAAGGAACATTTATAGAAACTGTGCAAACCCTTTATCCACTTGAAAATGCAAAACGTATAATTGAGTTGGATTCCTTCCAGCCAGATTTACAGGCAGCACTCAAGAAGCTGAATTTGCCATTGCTTGAAAGTCTCTATATAAAAGGATCGTGTCCAGTAAGAAAACTTATAGCTTCCAGGGAACGGATAACTGATGTTTTGGAATGCCTACACTTTCACAAGCAATCCATTTCTGAGACAGATACATTGCAAGCAAGTGATTGTGACAAAATAATGGAGTATTTTGCTGGTGGTCTTAAGACTTTGTTAACCTCCATAGATAGACAGAGATGTGTGGATATGCTTCGAGCTCTTCCTTTATTCAGGACAATACATGACATGAAGATAAACCTTCTTCAAATTAGGCATATCCTGGTTCTTCCAAGTAAACTTCCCTCGGAAGGAATGAATGAGTGGGCAGAAAGGACAAGCATAATTCTTTTGCGGCACAATGAGAGACTTGAAGAGATGTATAAGCTATTTAATGTTACAGAACATTCAATTTGTGAGTCTTACAGAGTTCATATACTTCCAAATTTTGACAACATTCCAAGAGATGACAGAGTCGTTCATCTTGCTTTTATCAGAGATGAGATATTGAAATCATCTGGCAAATATACAGAAGATCAGGAAAAATTAATCAGAGCTTTGAAAGAATTGAAATTTGTTCCCTTGCAAAATGGACAGTCAGAGACAGCTTCCAGCTTTTACAGTCCTTTTAACAGTGTCATGCAAATAATGTTAGAAGGAGAGGAAGAAAAATTTCCACCATTGCCATTTTGCAACACTGAATGGAAACAATTCATGGTTTTAGCTGGGATGATTTCAGAGATGACACCCCCTCTTTTTATGAGATTTGCAAGAAAGTTAGAAGATGAAAGCAACCTAAATCTTTTAGATCAAAACAAAATAAAAATAAGGTCTGAAGTTCTTGTGAAACATCTTTTGATCAATGAAAATCTTCATCAAAACACATTTTTGCAGAATGTTGGCAAGGTAAAATTTGTGTATCCATACAAAGTTCACAATTTCTACAGTGATATTGCTTTACCTGCAAATGACAAAAAAGATGCTTTAATTTCCTTTCATGGATCAGTCACTCCTGATTTAGAGGCTTTAGTTTGGACTGAATGTTTCATTATTCCAGAGTATGCAGCTCCTAAAAGTATCTTGTTTGGAGATAAACGGCATATTCTTGTACACTTGGGGATTCAAGAGCCCAGAGTAGAAACTGTTATAGAGCACATTAAAAAAGTTTGTCTGAATTTATCAAAACAGTCAGAACCACAGCTAAAAAGCATGGGTGTTGGTAATGTGTTGTGTTTGATGAAGAAGTTTTACAAGTACTTGAATAACAAATTAAAGCATCTACAAGTTTGCAGGATCTTAGAAACATACCTTTAGTTTTTGTCTCCAGATATCCCAAGCTTTTCAAATGTGAAATATTTACACTCTCACTCACCAGAAATGATACTTTGGCACCTTACACTATGTCATTGCCTGAAGATTTACATGGATATCATGCTTTGTTTAAAAAACTGGGATCCTCAGTTGAAATTTCATACAAGACATATGCTGATGTTTTGGAACGCATATTTGTTGAAGGAAACAATGATCTTCATGTCAATGAACTTCGCATAGCATTTATTGCAATGGAAAATTTTTTCTTGTATATATCATCTGATGCTAAAGGTAAAAGAATTGCACATCTAGATTTAAAAAGACTTTACTTACTCTCTTCAGAGAAGAAACTTGTTGAATCAAATAGACTTATCTTTTCTGATTCAGAGGATATTGAAAAAGCACTTAAAAAGACAACTGTGCATTTTGATTTTTTGGTCTCTCTGAAAGGCATTGACAGAGAAAAAACATCAAGATGTTTGAAATTGTTACCAGAGAAGTTTCGTCCATTGTTTCTATCAAAGATAGTAAAGAGAGAAGCAGATTTAACTAATTTAATTGAAATTGAACCTGATATTTCCGGAGAAGTAATTTCGTTTTTGAATAGCCCAGAATTTACTAATGGTATTGTCAGGCTGATCTGCAAAGAGAGGAGATTAGAAAAAAAAGAAATACCAACAGATGAAGAAATAAATGTTATGCGACAAAAGCTTCAGAGAGTTCGTGTCCTGTTTGTGGAAAACTTAGAGACATTGTACATCCATAAAAGTGAAGTAATTTGTAAAAGGCCAAAGTTTACTCACCTGGATTACAACCAAGACAGTAAACCATTTCACTGTATTCTGTATGCACGATATAGCAAGCATGACGACATTTTAAAGTGGCTGCAATGGAATTGTTATGAAATTGCAAGAATCATTCGATTGTGCGCAAATACACATTTTTTTAATACATCCTCGTTGATTGTAACTATGTGTCTATGTATAAAAGATCGGAATACAATCAAACCAATTTTAACTAGAAGTGATATTCCAGCCCTAGAAGAAAGATATGCAGCACCAAACAACCAATTGCCAGTAACGGGGACATTTGTTCCAGAAAAGTGGATTACTATTCTTGATAACAAAGGGCTAACATTCCACCAAGGAGACTATGTGGCAGTGTTAGTTGGAGTAGACTCCAGGGGAAACAGAGAGTTCAAGTATGCTATAGTAAAGGAGAAAATGCAGTCCACTGATGACCAAGACCATTCTACAGAGGATATATATTCAGAATACATGGTAGAAATTGCTCCAAACAAGACAGAGATGTTCAGAGCATATGAACTTTTTAGGTTTAATAGGTCGATTTTTTCAGATACATGCAAGCAGAGTACACCTAGACTTCAGATGGATAACAGAGCACTTGATGACATTTTCAGAGAAATTGAGAGTACTCTAAGAATAGCATACAGTACAAGTTTTCCAATGGAGGAGAGGATAAAAATTTGCAGAAGATTGATGTTCCAGTGGCATCCAGATAAAAATCCAGATGATGTTGAGAGAGCAACTCGGGTATTTCAGTTTATTCGTACACATATTCAGAATCTGGAAGAAGAAGAGGAACACAGAAATTCAATCGAAGTCAATGTTCCAAAACCACCACAGCCAGACATTTTTAATGATTTTGACAAATGCATAAACAGAGATCAAGATATAAAAAATAAACCACCTCAAAAGGAGTCAAATCCCTCTGAAGCAAATCGATGGTTGGAGCAGGCAAAGCATGACATGAGATTTGCTATTGAGTCATTAACAACTGATAGTCACTACAATTGGATTTGTTATATATGCCATCAGGTGAGTGTTTCTTTTTTTTAAATAGCATATAGTATTCAGTTTATTAGGGGATCTTTGTTTAACTTTAAAAAATGATAAATGGTACATGTTATATTAATAGATATCTTTTATAATTTATTGTTAAATATTTCTTTAATTAAAGACCTTAGACAGAAGATCAATATTTCGTGAAAATTCAGCAGTAAATTTGTTTTATGACCAGTTTTGACCAGAGATGGTCATCCTGAGAATCTGATGACAGCTGTTTCTGGCAGAAATCCGTCAGCAAAATAAATCTATTGCTGCATTAATTCTCATGAATTGTTGGTGAACTTTTGTATGTCTTTAGTTTACAACTTAAGGACAGATGATACAAACAAAAAAAATGGATGCCTGGATAGGTATATATTTTTTGGATTAATTTAATTAAAAATGATGCAAATAGTAAATTTCTAGAATATAAAGAATTTGTAAACCTTGTGTGGTGTTTAAATTCTGTCTCTCTGAAACCATCCTTATTTATCTATACAAATATTTTTCACTTCAAATCCCATTTTTGTGAAAATTTGAATAAACAATTAAAAACTGTGTGGTGAAAGTTATTCATTTTACTCATTAGAACATGACTCAAGTTGTTTTTTTTATATTTGTTGACAAAAGTTTGTTTTGCCACTTTTTTTAAGAATCATGCACTGTTATTTCAGCCTCAAGGTGTTACAAATCTTGTAATTGGTTCTTTTGAAAAATGGAATTATTAAGTGTTTAATTTAATAAAATAAATATACATTCCTGAAATTTTCCACATTATAAGTATTTACTATAAAATGTAGAAGGGTATACTTGAATAATATTTCAGTCCACCTTTTATTTAGGCAGCAGAAAAAAGCCTCACAGCATGGCAGTATTTTGATGATTCAACTAAGGTTTCAAACTCTGAAAACTTGAACATTTTGCATCATGACTGTCCAGGAGAGCTCAGACGTTTAGCTAGAGAATTACAAGACCTTACCGGCAGTGTTCGCAGGATGAGATATCCTGACAATAGACATAAACCATGGAGTTCGTATACAAGAGAAAATGCAGAAAAGGCAATTGAGCTGGCCACTGCAATGATTGACAAAGTTGATGAAACCATTTAATTAAACACACAACATTCGTTGATTTAAGTATTGTATTAGGTTTATAAGAAGTGTATCAAATTTGTTGTACATATTGAGCTAATGCTCTATATAAAGTTGAAATTCAGTATTCAGTAGAAGATTGTAGTTGATTTTTCAGTCTTATTTTGAGTTCATACATGTATAATGGGTGTGATTTTTAAAGAAGCACCATGCACCCTTATATCTATGACGTTTTGTAATTCTATTTGATTGACATTTATAGGCCTAGTAGCTATTTTAAAGATATCATTTATGTGTGATGTTTGAATTAACAAATCATAAGAGAAATATAGTTGTTACATTATTTTGTCAGACTATTTTTAAATGTCTTCTTTTATTGTATGAAATGTAATTAGATTTTCCATATACACATGTAGAGTTGTTTTTGTGTTTTTGTGAATTTAATGCTATAATAACATTGATGCAATTAACCAAATTCATACATGTTGCATTTGATGTTAAATGGGTTGAGTTTGCTTTTCACATGTTTTAAAATGATTGTGATTTAATGAAAAATGCTTTGTTACAAAGCATAATTTATTGTGTTTGCTGGGTTTCGAATTTTGTTCAACTTTCTCAAAATGTTCATTAAATGTATAGAATAAGATTATTTTCACTTATTAACTTGTTATGTACATAAAATTAATTGAAAGCATATACATGAAAGTTATTTGATAAATGCTTGTGTAATATGTAATTTTCAAAAATGTTATCAAAAACAGTGCATTTACTTGTGTTTTGAAAGTATTATTCAATATATAGTCATATAAAATTTCGTGTGGGATTTAATTTCGTAATATTGTTAAAGCGAAATAAAGGAAATTTATGATATTTGTGCTTTTACCGTATATCTACTTTAAAAAATGTTATGATTGTGCTGTATTCATTTTAAATAAAATATTTAATAAAGTCATCCTATCCTTAATTTTTATCTCTGATGTTAAAATTTTATTTCATTATAATTAATATCATGCCTTATATTACTTGAGAATGCCACCATATCAATATAGCATACATGTATAATTTTGCCGGTCTTGAAAATAAGGTTTTCTTTTATATTACTTTGTTAAAAAAAAAAAATTGATCTCTCACTGTGGTCCCTCGCCTCCCACCCAAGTTACTTGAATCTACACTACCTGCAGATTATTTCATGTGTTTCATTTTTCCTGGTCCAGTGGTTCTTGAGAAGATTTTAAAAATTTGTCATTAATTTTTCACTATTTCATAATCACCTCCCCTTGGAAGAGGTGTGGTCCTACATTTGATTAAACCTGAGTCCCCTTCACCTAAGGATGCTTTGTGGCAAGTTTAGTTGAAATTCCCAAATGATTCTTAAGAATAAGATGAATATGTGAACAGTTTACGAGGACAACAATGATGATAACAGACAAGTTTTGATCAGAAAAAATTGCTTGAACAGCTATTGAACCTTTGGGCTCAGGTGAGCTAAAATGTTTTGAAAATGTAGTACGTTTTCTTACTGCAAAGTCTCTGGAAACATTTTCAAGAGTTTTATATATTACAATTAAAATTTCTAAATTCTATTAATTTCTGTGGAAAGAAATACACTGTAATAAATAGAGGTGTAATTTACCCTTCTGTATAGGAGAAAAAAATTGTGGTATATACTAGTAACCTTATGGCGGAACAGGACCTTGAGCTGAAACCAATCCAGTTGATAAACCTTTCAATACTCTGCCAATGTGTGTTTTACCTAGTCCATGTGCTCAGGTGAGCTATATGGACCATGGGCCTCTTGTTAAAAATGTTTTGAGCAATTAAGTGGCATTTTTAGCTCTACTGGTCAGAGACCAGAAGAGCTTATGCGATAGTAATGCGTCCGGCGTCCGTCCATCTGTCCGTCTGTCTGTCTGTCTGTCTAGCTGTCCGTCTGTCTGTAAACAATTTTTCAAAATGCTACTCCTCCTACAGTTTTGGTCTAATTTCAATATAACTTGGCACACAAGTAGACTACACTAAGATACATAATTCTGTGTATCGGTTTTTGATTTCGTTGAACGGTGTTGCCGTGGTTTCTAAAAATAGAAATTTCTGTGAAATTCTTTCAAAATGCTACTCCTCCTACAGTTTTGGTCTGATTTCAGTATAACTTGGCACACAAGTAGAATACACTAAGATACATAATTCTGTGTATCGGTTTTTGATTTTGATGAACGGTGTTGCCGTGGTTACTAAAAATAGAAATTTCTGTGAAATTCTTTCAAAATGCTACTCCTCTTACAGTTTTGGTCTGATTTCAGTATAACTTGGCACACAAGTAGAATACACTAAGATACATAAATCTGTGTATCGGTTTTTGATTTCGATGAACGGTGTTGCCATGGTTCAAAATGCTACTCCTCTTACAGTTTTGGTCTGATTTCAGTATAACTTGGCACACAAGTAGACTACACTAAGATACATAAATCTGTGTATCGGTTTTTGATTTCGATGAACGGTGTTGCCGTGGTTACTAAAAATAGAAATATCTGTAAAATTGTTTCAAAATGCTACGCCTCCTACAGTTTTGGTCTGATTTCAATATAACTTGGCACACAAGTAGACTACACTAAGAACATAAAGAGACTTTATCAACAATCATTATTCTATTTATTGCTGTTGTAAAGTTTCAAATCCCAGCTGCTTAAGTACTTTTCTCTTCCTTTGCTATAAGTTCAAACCAGTAGAGCTTCAGTCTTGACAGAGACTTCTGGTTGCAATTTTCACCAACTTATGTGGCTGTTGAACTTAACAAATACCATATATAACTTAGAGAGGCACACATTTTAGCATTGATATTTGAATTTTGGGAGAAAACAAGTTTTGTGTTTTTTTCCTAATAAGCAGATGGAGTATACGTAATCTTCCCTTCAATGGAAGGTACATTAACTAAATTACACAATAAATAATATATTTATATACATTGAATCGCACAGTTTAAAAAAATTAAATGACATTTTCAATGAAAATTTCCAGGGTAATTGAACATGCACAACTTTGTTTTCTCTTCACTACTTATCGTCTTTCAGCACATTTTTCTGCAGAACCTATATACATGTAATGTTTAAAAATAATTTGGTATGCACATCTTTATGGGACAAAATTTTCTCCAAGTCCAAAAAAAAACATTTCTCATTTGACATAAGTGTTCAGAGCCCGATCTTTAAGGTGGTTGATAAAGCTTAATTTGGTGAACATATGTGGAACAGCGTAAAATGTTATAATCAAGTGCACTTAACAATTTAAGAGGACTGGGAGGTGGGGTGGCCTCCTTAAAAACAGTGTACTTATAGATGTAGTATAATAAACTTTGTGGCAGTTTTGGCTTTACTGGCTCAGTCTTTTAAAGATTTTGTCTGTAACTATTTTAATTATAATTTGGATTCCCTTTTTAATCACCTACCTTTCAAAGAGCTATCACAGAGAAAACAAATAGAAATTGAAATAATGTCAAATAGAAATTGAAATTATGTTATGGAAGGAAAGTCACACACCCTGGACCAAAATTCTTAGCTCTAGCCCCTTCCACCTTTATATTAAGTTTGCCCCATGTTTTATGGTAAGGTGCATGTTCATGTGTTTCTGTCAACTTGTTTTGTGCGTCAGGCTCATTGGGGCCCTAATTAAACTATTTCAGCTGATACACCTTGGATAGATTATAATTGTGACACATTGAAAACGGGTTACTGCGTGTACTGTGACCTAATTAAAGATGCTATGGCAAAACTCATCTGGCTCATTATGGAAAAATTATTGGACCAGATAGAATCATCAAACTTGGGGTCAAAATCAGTCAATGCATCCTATGTAACAGAAACTTTGTTACAACCCCACATAAAAGACATTGTCTTAAGCCACAGTCTGGAGTTCACTAGGAGAAGATACATTTTGACCATGAATTGCGATAATGACAACACCCAACCACAAATCATGGGTGATCCTATATTTATTTTTCTTTTCATTATAAGCACAAGTATTCCATCTAGTATTCCCACATAAAAATTTACCTCCTCTTGAATTTCTTAAAGTGGGAATAGTTATAATTGGAATAAACTTTATTAAAAAAATGTTGCTGTTTGTGAGCATTGTAGTTGTTTTTACTGGTTTAGAATAACAACCGTTTGTTTCAATTCATATGTTAGTAATATAAAGATTCAGCTCTGTAAAATATCAATTTCTTCAAGTGGGATCTGTAGACGAATTTCTTTCTCCAGCATCAAATCTGTAATTTCCTCTAGTTTAGAGTTTTGGAAAATTCTTACACCATCCAAATATAGACCCTACAAAAAGTACATTGATATAAACAAGATAAATAAACATTGACTTGGGAATTGTAAGTTTAGCCTTAATCTAATTAACCGGTCAGTACAATTTATTAATGGAAATGAAATAGAACCATATTTTTCTTGCCAAAGTAGTGAAATTATATTGCTGAAAATAACTTTAAATATCCCTAACCTTAAAATTACAGTTTCATATAATTTTTTCAATAAGCTGAACAATATTAAGAATCACCTTTACAGTGTTTCTAAACATACTGTTGGGTAGGGTTCATGCTTGAGCAGTTATTGTCACAGATAAGTCAGAAAAGCACACCATCCACCCATACTAAATGAATAATGAGCTAAATGGTAAAATACCATCATTGAAATATGCTACTTGAATGTATTTAGGCCCTTATTTATTTTAACCAGGTCCTTTGGATCAGACAGTATAAACCGAGGTCATGTGTGGCAGTAGGTGCTGGCATGAAAAAGATCCCTCCCTGCTCAATGGCCCTAAGTGCCGAGCATAGGACAAAAATTTGCAGTTCTCCACCGGCAAGTGGTGGCATCTCCATATGAGTGAAAAATTCTTGAGAGGGACGTTGAACAATATACAATCAATCAATAATTTATTTTAACCATTTATAACACATTTTTATTGAAGATAATGAAATTCAGTTTTTTTCTTCATTTTATTTTGATAGTATATAAAAGACAAGAGGCCCATGGGCCTTATAGGTCACCTGAGCATCATGCAACAACTTTACAACGATTGAGTTTGGTTCATGTTTTAAACTGGACATCATGGCATTCACAATTTTGAAAGACCCCCCATTGACAATCGTAACTATACACTTAGCAAGTTAAGTTTTGGTAACTTAATACCCATAGACAGAGTAGGGAAAAAAAATATGTATTTCGACTAATCAGTAATATTAAGCAATAATTAGTATAGTGCCACTACCACACATGAACCCCTGACCTTTGGTCCACACATTTCACAATTTTGGAAAAGGCACCCTTGCTCATCAAAAATATTTGATTAATACAAAGGAGAAGATTTCAATCAATTAATTCATTTTCAGTATATAAGTACCACTGACCCAGGGGTGTTGAAATTCACAATTCAGGAAGAATGGCCCTTGCTCATCATAGCTATATAGGTAGTTTATCTGCTTAATACCCAGAAGCAGAGAAGAAGATTTTCAAACAATTTCTGCATTTTCTCTATATAACCAATAGAACCCCGCTCTAACAACAGAACCCCTGACCCTGGGGACATAAATTCACAAAGGCATTCTTCCTCATCATGACTATGTACTTAGTTTATTTAATACCCAGGAACCGAGAAGAAGATTTTTAAAGAAATAATGTATTTTCACTATATAATGATTAATCAATTGAGCCCCACCCTAGGACCAGAACCCCTGACCCTGGGGCCAAAAAAATTCACAATTTTGGAAGAGGCATTCTTGTTCATCATAACAATATACAGGTGTACCTAGTTTATTTAATACTCAGGAGCAGAGAAGAAGATTTTCAAATAATTAATGTATTTTCACTATATAATCAATAGAGCCCCATCCTAACACCAGAACCCTGACCCTGGGGCCATAAAATTCACAATTTTGGAAGAGGCATTCTTGCTCATTATAACTATATACTTAGTTAGTTTGTTGAATACCCAGAAGCAGAGATGATTTTCAAACAAATTCTGCATTTTCTCTATATAATCAATAGAGCCCCATCCTAACACCAGAACCCCTGACCCTGGGGCCATAAACTTCACAATTTTGAAAGAGGCATTCTTGCTCATCATTACTATATACTTAATTTGTTGAATATCCAGCAGCGGAGAAGAAGATTTTTAAAGAAATAATGCATTTTCAATATATTATAATCAATAGAGCCCCGCCCTAGCACTAGAACCCCTGACCCTGGGGCCATAAAATTCACAATTTTGCAAAAGGCATTCTTCCTCATCATAACTATGTCCTTAGTTTCTTTATTTATTACCCAGCAGTAGAGAAGAAGATTTTTAAAGAAATAATGCATTTTCATTAAATAATCAATTTCACAATTTTGGTAGAGGACTCAATGGTCATTATATTCAGGCTAACAGTTTAACTGCTTGATGTCCAGGAGTAAAGAAGAAGATTTTTAAATATTGCACTAATTTTAGTGGTTTTGGCCCCAACCCCCAGGCCCCAGGGGGGCAGGGACCATGATATTCATTATTTTTGTTCCCATACACCCATAGATGCTTTGTGTAAAATTTGGTGGAAATTGGTTGAGTGGTTGCAGAGAAGAAGCTGAAAATGGTCAAATGTTAACACACGATGAACGATGCATGACGACGGACAAAAACAGACAGCAATAGGTCACCTGAGTTTACTCAGGTGACCTAAAAAGAGAAAAAAGTTTTGTCTTTTAAATATGAAAATATTATTCAGATACTTCATCATACCTTGACCCAAGGACATTGCTGTAGAGATCTATAATATATTCCACTGGCCCTGTCACCCTCACCAAATCTTGCCTGTCATGTAAAGAGAATAACAAGAGGCCCATGGGCCACACTGCTCACCTGAGAAGTCAAGTTTTGACCATTCTGTTCTTCACCAGATTTCCCCCTTGTAACACATATTGTGACCCCACCTTACCCCACTGATCATAATTTAAACGATTTGAAATCTATACTACCACAGGATGCTTTGATTCAACATTGTAAAACTTTGATTCCCCATTGTGGCCCCGTCCTACCCCTGGGGGTCATGATTAGAACAATTTAGAATCTACACTACCCCGGGATGCTTACACATAAGTTTCAGCTTTTCTGGCTCAGTGGTTCTTGAGAAGAAGATTTTCAAAGATTTTTCCTATATATTTCTATGTAAAAATTTGATTCCCCATTATGGCCCCGCACATTTTCATGACTTTAACAATTTAGAATCTACACTACCCTGGGTTTTCCACATAAGTTTCAGCTTTTCTGGCCCAGTGGTTCTTAAGTAGAAGATTTTCAAAGATTTTTCCCATATATTTCTATGTAAAACTTTGATTCCCCATTGTGGCCCCACCCTATCCCCGGGGGTCATGATTTGAACAATTTAGAATCTGCACTACCCCAGGATGCTTCCATGTAAATTTCAGCTTTTCTGGCCCAGTGATTCTTGAGAAGAAGATTTTTAAAGATTTTTCCTACATATTTCTATGTAAAACTTTGATTAAATTGTGGCCCCGCCCAATCAACCGGGGGTATATATTGAACAATTTTGCATTACACTAACCAAGAATGCTTCCATATCAGTTTCAGCTTTTCTGGCCCAGTGGTTCTTGAGAAGAAGATTTTTAAAGATTTTTCCTATATATTTCTATGTAAAACTTTGATTCCCCATTGTGGCCCCGCCCTATCCCCGGGGGTCATGATTTTAACAATTTAGAATCTGCACTACCTAAGGATGCTTCCACATACGTTTCAGCTTCTCTGGCCCAGTGGTTCTTGAGAAGAAGATTTTTTTAATGACCCCACCCTATTTTTGTCTTTTCTTGATTATCTCCCCTTGTGAGGGGACTTGGCCCTTCATTTTCACAATTTACATTTCCCTTCACCCAAGGATGCTTTGTATCAAGTTTGGTCAAAATTGGCCCAGTGGTTCTTAAGAAGAAGTCGAAAATGTGAAAAGTTTACAGACAGACAGACGGACGGACGGACGACGGACAAAATGTGATCAGAAAAGCTCACTTGAGCTAAAAAGTGTAAAAAGCTGAAAATGACTCAGAAATAGACATATGCCAAATTATTCTTCCCATCTCATAGGGAAGTTACATGTTCATGCTTTCAAGTAGAGTCAATGAAATAAGATAACTCTGGTCAAAGCTAGGGTTTATATAGGGGCTGGAGAATGACAGTCTTGAGAACTCTAATATGGCAGACAACAATATCTATTTTTATGAATTATCTTTAGCTTTTACCAGAGTTTAATCATAATGATTTACAAAATAATAATTTTTACATACTACCATGTCTACTGGATGTTTACTTATTTCTTGCACATCTCTGATGTGTAACTATTTATATAAGTAATCACATGAGAACAGTAATATATCTTACAAGTGCAAGATATTTGTTAATAAAGAATACAGTCAGAGTATAACAGTGTGTTCTAGAATTGATGAAATGATAGTTATAGTTGCTGACCTCACAATATAAATAGAGACTCCATAGAACTGAACAATGCTGTAATTCTGGAAGATCTAGGGATCTCTCCAAATAACTCCTTATCTTGTTCATCACACCACTGCCAGCATGTGAAATAGATGTACCAGAATCTGAAATGTTCAGAAATACCTCTTCAAATTCATTTTATAAATATAAATTCTTCAGATAATAAAATAAGATTTAAATTTTATTTTTAACAAAATAAAAATAAAGGGAGAATAATTTTCAAAAAATTTTAACAAATAGTACAAATTCATGATTTGCAAGGCCTTATTTTATGGAGATGGTTTAAAATTGCCTAAAATTTCTTATTGTCATATATCAATCACATATATTTTTCCCAAAAATATCCTGATAAAATTGGGATAACTTTACATGGAATTTTCACTACAATTTCAAAAGAAATTCCATAATTTTTATTATAAATAAACTACGAAAATAAAATTTTACTTTTTACATTGTTAAGTATATTATATGTATTGTAATATAAAGGATGTTTGCAGTAGTTTAACTTTTTTCAACATTTTTTTATACCCTATAAGTGGAAATTTTAGCCTGTCCTTAAAATTTTTTGCTTATTATTATTAAACACACTGTCAGTTTATTTTCACAAAATTTTAACATGATAATAATGCAAAAATTAATATATGGAATTTGTGATTTTTGTTTAAAAGTTTGATCAAATAAACATAATAGATGAGTAATATCTGGAATTAATAATTTTGTACCAAATACTGGTATTTTAGTCCCTGTGTCATGATACACATTGCACAATAAATACCTGTAGACAGATAAAATTGAGCCTCATGCATGATTCCTACCAACGGTATTATTTTTACCTTCATTGACATGGTCTTTCCTGAGAACTTTCCTCTGTATCAAAGAGGCCACAGCAAACACTGTCAAGTCAGGGGACTTAACTCTCCCAAGGTGATGTCCATAGAATCTATCTAGCCTCCCAAATACCATACATCCCTTCTCCAACTCTGTAAACACATTCAGAAAGTACACATGGTCCGGGAAGATCTCAAGTGCAGCCTCCACTGTAGCTCGAAGTGGACTTAATGAGGAATGGTGGACAGAAATGTGATGATGAATAACCTTGACCTTGCATCTAAAAATCTGCTCAAAACACAATTCAAAGTTCTTATTCACACTGCTGTCATTCTCTGTTTGAGAATTCGATAAGCTGAACACTAGAGATAGCACTTTGTTTAAAACACACAATGCACTGTCCAGGTTAAGATCAGAGACAACATATTCAAACAATGCACAACAATGAGTGAATTCCAGAAGATAAAACCATTCCTCTTTGCTTCGTTTGGGGTCCATCTTGTAGTCCTGTAAGAGCATTTCTAATAACTCCTCCATTTTTCTTCTGCTTTTTAGTTTCTTTACTGCACAAGTGCTGTCAACATTTTTTAAATCACTATGTCGATTTTCACATAAACAAATCAATGTGTGAACACTTCTGTTTACTGACTCTGGAACCATCCTGATTGTATTCTTGCTAAACTGAAACAAATCAGTATCTGTTGGAAAATTTAGGAAAAGTTCAACAAGACTTCTGTAGAATGCTGGAATGTATTCCTTGTCATCATCTGTATTCACACACAACATTGGAATAGCCATCTCCAGCACCTCCTCGGCATCTTTTTTACCTCCAAGACTAGAGAGTGAAAGGCTATACTCCATCCAGACTGCTTTACTATTTCTGTTTAAGGGATCCTTTAACACATTTCTTGCCATTTTCTTAAATTTCTTACAATCAACCTTTTCCCAATTTTCATTTTGTGTGTGATATCTTAACCAGAGAAGTGTAAGTTCTCTATGAGGTACTCCATTACATCTAAACAGTCCTTGTTGTATAATATTGCCAATAAATTTATGTAAAAATCTCTGCTCTGTTAGTGTTCTGGAGTTTTGGAAGTCTTTCATTCCAAATATGTTAAATATTACAGATAGTCTCTCAGCATCCTGGACATTTTCTATGAATTGACTATTTTCAAATCCAAGGAAAATAAGAAATTGAATCAGAATATTAAACTTCAGATTTTCTGGCAAACAGAAGACAAATGGTGAAATATCCTCAAAGAGGACAAGTCTGTCTATATCCTCACAATCATCCATAGTCTCCCCTGCAGAAAGGTCTGGTTTCCATGGCAACCAATGAGCTGATTCTCTGAGGGTTTCTAAGTGTAACCAGGTCTCCCATTTTTCTTTTTTGCTCTGTAAAATAGCCTCCTCTTCATCAGCTAATGAAGGATCTAAGGAAAGCCAAAAAAAAGAACTGAATGTACTTTAAAATGTACTTTGATTCTTAGAATAGCAAAATTGAGAGATATATTCTATGAAACCCTTTTATGTCAATAATTCATCTGAATTTTCTCAGTTTTAAACACATTACCATGTCAATTTTTCAGGGAAAGTCTTGGTCAAAGTTACAAATTCTCTTGTCATGAGGAGAATAAAACAGTTGATCTTGGGCTGGCCAGATTATGATATATGTATGTCAATATGTTAATACATTTTGTTTTTCAATATTTATTCATTGACAAAGCTAAGCATACTTTACCTTCTGTATATTTAAAAAGTATAATTGAATTGTATATATTAAATTGACACCTAGACAACAAAGGTTGATGTTTTATTTAGTGAGATCCTTGAATACTGTACACAGGGTTATTTTCGCCTTATGCTATATTCGCCCTTTTACGTTCGCAAACCTAAAAATCAATACCTTTCTCATTACTTTCACTTTCAGTTGGCAGTAAGTCTTTGTTAACCATCCAGTAATTCCAACCTTTGGCCCCCTCCTCCCCAAATCGGGGCACCCCAATGTCCCAGAAGCTCTCCAAAATAATGGCTTTCTCACTCAGGTCAGCTGATCTTAGGCGCTCTGGGCAGCATAAATTAAGTTCGATCAGAGCTTGAAATGAGGCTACAGCTTTCTCCTTGTGTCCTGCTTGCTTCAAAAATGTACATAACTGAACAAAGATACCTGTGAAAGAAAAATATGTCTTTTTTACATCTTAATTAGCTTATGCACATGCAATTATAAAAGTTACTTAAGAATCATACAACAAAAAGTTTAATCTTTATAGTATATGCTATAGAAATGTTGACAGATTAGTTTATAAAACAAGAGGCCCACGGGCCTTATAGGTCACCTGAGTATCATGTAACAACTTTCCAGCAATTGTATTTGGTTCATGTTTTAATCCAAAAGCCATGAAATTCACAAATTTTGAAAGAGGCACCATTGCTTATCAAAGGGCAGATTTCAAAGCATTAATTTATTTTTAGTCAAAGTACCCCCCTGGTACCCCTGTGAAATTATCTATTTTGCAAGAGGCCCCTTTCTTCAAAAGGCCAGCATTTTTTTTTTATGTTTAGGTTTAGTTATGAACATGAGGATACCTAAAATTTTTTTTTTGATAAATCAATTATTAACATTTGTACATTCTTTTTTTATGCTATCCTAATAGGCTCCTTACCACTGGACACATAATGCTTACAAATAGGAAAGTAGAACATTTAATTGCTTATTCCATCATCTGCCAGTTTGGGCCAGTTATATAAATTTTGTGATGTTGATCAAAATATATTTTTAAAAATCAATTCTTTAAAAGTCTTTCAATATATCTTCATTTTTTAAATATGTGTTAGGTGAATGTGTAGACATTGTTCTAAAATTTACTTGATGCCTAAAATTATAATTCCTATCATAAAACAGACAGGAAGTATTGGGGAGTAGGGTCAACATTTTTTTCAATTAAGTGTAAAATAATTTTCTGTCTGATACAAATGATACTACATGCGTGTATATATTTGTATATTCTTGCCTTTTAATAGTTGAATTTTTTTACTTCTTCATGTTATTGTTTATTTCTTCCTCAAATGGACTTAACAATTTGTCCCATTTCTCCCATAGTAAGCTATAACAGAGACCTAAACAATGTCCCTGGCAATATGCAATAGCTACCACGGGCAGTTTAAAACCTGGGGCCAGTGGGGGAGGAAAATAATTTACAGTCACTTTTGAAACGAATACATAATTATCTCACCAGCATGTCATTGTGCAACAAAGTCGTCAGCATTTTATTTGTCCTTTGAACGGGTGAAACATTTTGAATGGCACTCTTATCGATGAATTTTACACTAAACCAAGCTATCTTCTCAGATCTAGCTTTATTTACCCCCCGTTTCATCGTAAAACCGGAAGTGCGAGTTCGTAAATTTGAAAAAAAATTTTCTGAAAATTCAAAACCTTGAGCGGAGGGTTTGTAAAACTGAAAATAAAATAAATCCTGGCCTTAAATATGTAATTAGATCATTAGCATATTAACCAGGAGCAAAGGATAAGATGTTCAAAGAATTCATGCATTTCACTATATAATCAATAGAGCCCCGACTTTTTTCACAATTTTGGTAGAGGCACTCTTGCTCATCATAACTATGCACTTAGTTGGTTTATTTAATACCCAGGAGCAGAGAGATTTTCAAAGAAATAATGCATTTTCACTACAATTATAAAAGGGCCATGAATTTCACAATTTTGGTAGAGGACTCAATGCTGATTACAATCATGCAAACAGTTTGACTGCTTGATGTCCAAAAAGAAGAAGATTTTTAAAGATTGCATTAATTTTAGTGGTTTTGGCCCCATAGGCCCAGGGGGGGCAGGGATAAATTCACAATTTTTGTTCCCCTTCATCCATAGATGCTTTGTGCCAAATTTGGTTGAAATTGGTTCAGTGGTTGCAGAGAAGAAGCTGAAAATGTTCAAATGTTAACACACGACGCACGACGACGGACGAAAACAGATAGCAATAGGTCACCTGAGTTTACTCAGGTGACCTAAAAATATATATATTGTATAATGTACAGATAATCAAGAGAAAGCATACCAAGTATCTCTTCTGACAGGTTTACAGGTAAAGTATGGGTCTTTAATTTTCCCTCCTGGTATTTAACAAGTGTTGTGATGCACTTCTGATATAGCTTGCACATTCTAGACACAGAAAAATTAGACAGCCTGCTTTGGTTGAACATAAGGTACTGCTTCCACAAGGAAATATTTGTTGGGTTGTGAAACAGCAGGTCCTCCATTTCTTTGTTTATTTCATTGGGTTCCAAAATTTCCTGGCACAACTGTAAATACTTTAGTTTCAAAACAATGTTACTCTGATTCAATTCCATGGCTTTTTTCAAGATGGCAATCTTCTTTTCCAGGACAGCAGACTTAGACATTTTGAAAGAGCCCTCCAATTCTGGCAGCCTTAGTAAGGAGTCCTGGTACTCCACAAATTCCAGCCATAAGTCTGTGTTGTGAGGTTCCTCCCGTGTTCTACGATTAAACTCAGCTGTCCTCTTGTTCAGTCTCTCCTCTACCTCTGTTACACTGACATTACTGTCCACTGCTTCTACCCCCACCCCCTGTATGTAATGTGAGGTGGCTGTGTCCATCAGTCTCTCTCTTATATCCTCACTCCGATTCTCCTCAGCTCTCTCTGATACATCCTCCAGAGGGATGGGTATGACATCAGATTGGAAACTCCCAGTATTTCTGGACGGTACAAGATGACACAGTGGAGCTTGTGCCAAGAGTTTCCGATTTTCTCTGCTGTAATACCTCATTGTTTTGTGCTTATTTTTGTTTTGTGTATCTCTAGACTGGGAGTCTCCTCCTAGACTTGCTTGGAAACGCTGGGGAAAAGCAGCAATATGTCCTTTGTACAGAGATTCATACTTCCAGTTATGGACATTAGATTTACGATCAATCCTGAAGGCATCCTCTGGTTCAAGATAAGGCAGCTCTTCAATAAATACTTTGTTTCCCTGAATCTCTGGAACCCTTTAAATAAAAAATTCTACTTAACGCAAAATGTAAAATTAATGCCATACTCAATAGTTAATGATGTCATGGATAAGACTGTGGTGCAAAATTTAGAGAGAAAAATATCTTACTTTGTCTTGACTTCTGCACGAGGACTAGGTGATCTTGAAATGTCCCCTTTGTGATATTTTTTCTTTTTGTTTTTATGTTTATGTTTTTTCTTCTTTCTCTTTTTTGACACTGTATGGAAAAAATATAAAATTATAAGCTACACAGTTCAGTTCACATTAAACATGTTAATGTGATGTATATACAGTAAACACACTTATAGTACCAATATACATAATATATAATGCCAGGGATAAACATTATGAAATTTAATCATTATTTCTATATAATTGAAAAGTTCATAATACGATTTACAGCTATATAGGGAAGGATAATCACTTCATCACATGCTTGCAAGGATTCCTCATAAGTGTATTTATATACTATATTAAAATGATTAAATGCATTTTACTGTAATGTGTTTTTAACTTTTAGAGTCTTAATTCTTTGTACCAAACCATTTGAAATTAATTGTTTTAGGTTTCTAAAGAATATGAGCATTACTCCATCTTCAAAAAATAATCTATTCCTTTCACATAAGAATTTGAATCATGGTAATTAGTAGCTGTGGAACTGTAGCTCTCCAAAAAAATATATATTGATAGACCGGAGAGCTACAGTGCCACCTATTGAAAAAACTGTAAATTTATTGCGCACAGAAAAGTGTGCTGTTTCTCGATTTATTTCTCCGTGTTTTTAAAACTGTCATCTCAAAATATTACTAACCGTGTGTTTCTAACATATTCTTTCACTGTTTCCACAACAAAACATTCCTTATATTTGTTTTTAGCTTTACTGGTCAGAGACCAGAAGAGCTTATGCAATAGTAATGCGTCCGGCATCCGTCCGTCTGTCTGTCTGTCTGTCTGTCTGTCTGTCCGTCTGTCTGTAAACAATTTTTCAAAACGCTACTCCTCCTACAATTTTAGTCTGATTTCAATATAACTTGGCACACAAGTAGACTACACTAAGATATATAAAATAGTGCATCGGTTTTTGATTTCGATGAACGGTGTTGCCATGGTTACTAAAAATAGAATTTCCTGAGAAATTCCTTTAAAATGCTACTCCTTCTAAAGTTTTGGTCTGATTTCAATATTACTAGGCACACAAGTAGACTACACTAAGATACATAAAATAATGCATCGGTTTTTGGTTTCGATGAACGATGTTGCCATGGTTACTAAAAATAGAATTTTCTGAGAAATTCCTTTAAGATGCTACTCCTTCTACAGTTTTAGTCTCATTTCAATATCACTTGGCACACAAGTAGACTACACTAAGATACATAAAATAGTGCATCGGTTTTTGATTTCGATGAACGATGTTGCCATGGTTACTAAAAATAGAATTTTCTGTGAAATTCCTTTAAAACGCTACTCCTTCTACAGTTTTGGTCTGATTTCATTATCACTTGGCACACAAGTAAACTACACTAATTTACATATAATAGTGCATCGGTTTTTGATTTCAATGAACGGTGTTGCCATGGTTACTAAGAGTAGAATTTTCTGTGGAATTCCTTTAAAATGCTACTCCTTCTACAGTTTTGGTCTGATTTCAATATAACTTATCACACGTCAAGTAGACTACACTAAGATACATAATTCTGTGCATCGGTTTTTGATCAGTACAAACCAGTAGAGCTACAGTCTCGACAGAGACTTCTGGTTAATAGCCCTCCTGGCCCTGAAATTGTGATCATCGAAAATTTCGTCTATTTATACTGCCATTTTGGTTTGCAAGATAATTCGGTCCGACGCGCTTCGTATACAGATGTAAACTACGAAAGTAATTGATAAAGGAGTAAGGACTATATTGAAATCTAGCTTTTTTGCAACTGAGGTAAGAATTTGGAAGAATTAATCCAGAACCGAGCGCACAATAAATATACAGTTTTTTCAATGGGTGGCACTGTAGCTCTCCGGTCTACAGCTGGTCTATCAATATATATTTTTTCTGAGAGCTACAGTTCTGCAGCTAGGTAATACGAAATACTGAAATCACATTATTCCTTTCCGGTTTAATTTTTTAAAATCCTGCTAATAAATAGAGACTGATTGGTAATCTATATGTAACTGTAGGAGTTGTATAAATACAGGAGAAAAAAGAGAAAATTGTGAACCTTTAGTGTTTGACTCATCTGGTGTCTCCTCAGAGGATTCAAGGATGTCTCTGTAATAAAATGAATCAACATATTTGTCACAGAATGTCTAAGTCCAATATCATGATTATGAAGAATGTAATATCAAAGTTTTCTTTAATATAAGAAGTTATACAATCATGTAAATTAATTTTTGTTATGATATAACTGTCTACGTGCTTAATTTGTCAACAGACTTATAAACTCTCTTGACAAATATAAAAGCTTTGGGAGGTGGATAAAATATATAGTTTAGTAAAAAGTGTGTGTAGAATTAGGGAGCAAAAGACAGTTGTTGGACCAATGCTGGAAAGTGGAGAAATATTCTCCCAAATCATGCACAGAAACTCTTGTGCCATAAACTTGCACATTATTTGCTTATGGTATCTGTAGCTTTATGGTCAACGACAAAAATAAAAAAATCACAACACATCAGTTCTGCAGCTACAAAGAGAATTTCTATAATGGATGCTAGAGGCGCCAAGTCAAAAGTATCTTGCCGTGAACCTCAATCCTCTAGCATGCTGGAGTAAATGCACCCTAAATGAAAAAGTTGCTTAAGTATTTATAAGTCTTGATATAAAACATAGGCAATATAAATCAAAGAAACGGGTCTAAATCGTTTTCTTACTGGTTTGACACACTCTCCTTTTCCTTTGGTCCTTGTAATATCGTGACATCAAACTGTCTGCTTGGAAAACTCTTGTTCTGCAACCAGTCCAAGTTCACTGAAATTTTTTTTAAAAAAAGGTACCGGTAATTCACATTAGAGTCTAACTCAGGCTACATGTACAATGAAAAACATATTAATTTTCTCATATTAAATGCATTATATTGGTAGGATTGATTATCATATCATATTCTAAGTTGAGAAGATGTAAACAATTTGAAATGACATGTAAACTGGTAAACAAATGAAAACTTCTACATGTTTAGCACTAAAAAAAATTGAAACACTGACCATCCAAATTCTTAGTAGTTGTTGTATCATTCTCATCTGTATTTAATGGAAAAAGTGTGTTTTTTGATGAAACTGGGAAAAGGGGATTCATTTCCCATCCAAATCAGTAAATAGGAAAGTGAAACTTAACTTTTTGTTAAATCGACCACAGAAGTTTCTTAACTTTAATGTATTTAATCTTTTTAAGCTCAATCACATTCCTTTAAATTTTTTCATGCAGAGAATATAAAGAACATAAACTTTTAAACTTAACAAATAAACTTTTATTGGAAACTTTCCGAAATTTAAAAAAAAAAAAATCATTTACCTAAATCGAACTAGTTCTCGTACGAACTATCATCGTTTTTTATTTCCGGGGTCTTTTCCCATTGTCTGTCAAACTGCTTTAATAAAGTTTTAAAAAGAGAAAAATGGACTCGGCAACAGTGGATTATTTTTCCTCTATTAATCCCCTGACAAAGCGGGTCGTGAGTGATGTTTTGCTGGTGGAGGAACTGCTTGGGGATAGATGGAGAGCAATGAACCTGATGGAAAAAGAAACCACACTAGACGATTACTTTGTCAAACCAGACGTCAGGAGAGTGTACCAAGATGTTGACAAGACAGAAGATTACCCACAGAGTTTTCCACGATTGGCAATATCGTCTGGAGAGAAAATAATAGTTGATGAGAACAATGATGTATGTCTTAACTCTATATTAAACTAAATGATCTTTCTGAAAACTGCAGCTTGCTATATCCTGATGTGTTTTAGTTCAATAGTTGTATAAATATAATATTAGTGTTCTAGGATTAAGTATCAATAATCCAAGGTTTTATCATTTATCTTAGTTTAGCATACCAAATGATTCGAATGACTTTACTTTAACGGTCCTCAGAAAAACGCACTAAAATGTAGTTTCGCCGAAGGCAACTTCAGTATATATATGAGATAGCGTGAGTGATCAAAAATAACTAATACGAGGTTTTTGAGCCTTTTGATCCCAAATTTGAATTCTACAGTTAAAAGTTTAGTTCAAAACTTCGTTTTTAAACGAAGTTTTTAACCTCGCTCTCCGAAAAAATTAATGAATATTGTTTATATGTTTATTAGTACTTCTTCCATGCAAACAAATGAACGAAATACCATTGAAGCTGAATTATGATCTTGGAAAAATAACAAAAACAACAGAATTTCTCAAATTATCTAACAGAACGAGTCACTAACCCTAATCTAGCAGATGGTATGCAAGAACTAAGACATTTAGACGAAATCTCTTGGGAAGATGCTAGACTAACCCTAATCAGTCAAATAATGTGCGAGGACTAACCTTAATCTGTCGGATGGATGGGAGACTAACCCTAATCAGTCGAATACTAATGCAAGGACTACTTTAAAATCTTAAATATACTTGTGGAATTAATCATCGCGTAATTTTGCGAGAAGCACCACATGCGAAATAAAATTATTCCCATTTATTTTTATTGTGCTGAAATCAGTGTTAAATCTCTTAATCAATCGACCATTTGCGAAATATTATTATCACGATTTGACGTTGAATAGTCCATTCGCAATAAAAAGTACTCGCGAAAAATAAGGAATCTACAGTAACCCTAATATCTCAGGTGGGTGCAAGACTACCAGGTAACCCTAATCAGTGGAATAGTGTGGAAATTTAACCCTTATCAGTTGAGTGATGTAAATGTTACGCCATAGTCCAATGAGGAACTTGCTGATCTGGAGACTGGTAAAGTCAAGTCTAACCGAATGATTTGGTATTTTAGCTTTTAAAAGATGAGGATCACATCATTTTTGTGATAACTTTAGTGTTCATGACTGTTTATGTTAGTACAAGTGAGATGGGAAAGTGAGTGGGTTTTAGCTGCAATAATGTAGGCCTCCTGATTTTTTAATCGGACATTTTCTGGAGAGGGCTAAAATTCCACAGCATCTCCGTAATTGTGAGAATATTTTTTTTTTTTAAATGAGCGACTGCAATCAAAATAAATAGTTTTTACTGTCAACTTACTTCTAAGAAGGCAAAATTTTTATTCACTGTCAATAGAATATACCGTTAAACATGAAAACCAGATAAATAATTCTGCTAATGTTTACCAGTCACTCTCATCAAAAGCCATGACAGTTCTCAAAAATTAAAATTGCTTTGTGAAGTAGATATACAGAATAACTAAATGATTGTGCTGTATGGCATCACTAAACATTGATAAATGAAACTATTCCATGTGACATTCTTTTGTAAACGGCGATATTTATGCCTAAAATAAGGTAATTCCTACAGACATCTGCTCCCTACTGATCCCTAGTCTCATTGGCAGTCCCAAAATAAAATCAATCAAGGTCGGTAAACATGGGGGACAAATTCAAGTTGTGATGTTGGCATACACGAAAAATAGCCGATATATGGATTGTTCTGTGTATGTTTGGATTGATTTATGTTTTGCATAACTTCATTTTTGGAGTTCAGGTAAGAAATGCTAATTAAATAGCCATTTACTGATAATTTAAGCCAAAATCTGTGCGGGAATGAATCACTCTCACATTTGCACCATTACAGAGATCTTAAGGAGAAGTAGCCCTTCCCCCACCCACCCCACCCCCCAAAAAATGGAAAGGGCTACATTATTGCAGCGTGGGTGTAAAATCTTTCTGTGCAAATATTTGATAAATCTATTAAAATGTATTTGTATTTTAAAAGAACACAGAAATAAAGCTTTTAAAAAACTTAAGTGCACATTAAACTATTTATCTACATTCTTAATTGTATTCTTATTTATCTTCTCCTCAGTTTTGGACATGGCAAGATGAGCATTCTGCACCTTTTTCATGGCGATCTAAGGTAGTATTTTTGTGTAATTTGTTCTGCACCTGATCAGCTTTAATTAGTTGTCCATTCATGATCTAGGCAATAACCAAATCAATTTTATTTCTCATATATGTGGATAATAATACCCATGAGATAAAACTATGCTTTATCCACAGATGGGTACTTAATCAATAGCACTTCTGGTTTTGACACAATCCCTTACTTCAAGATTTAAATTACTTGAAATTTCTATTAGTAAAAAACTAAAAATTCTTGCATCAAAAAATTACTGTAGACGTAATTTTTCCACGGGGTCATAATTCTGCGGAATCCCAATTTCTGTTTAATCCGCGGGTAGAAAATTAGTATTGATAATGAGGCAAAAATTTTTGTTAAGTGTCAAATATTATCAATTTATCTGTACTGGCTCCTGCAATGATAAGTACAGACAAATTTCTGAATGTGCTGCATTAGCAAACAGTCATGAGGTTATGTTTTCCCTCCGTATTTTTATTGTTAATTTGTCAAGCTGGAAGTTGATCTTGACCTTGATGATGTGGGTATTTAATTGTAATTAACCAATATTAATCAATATAGTATTATTATGAAACCCTTTAAAACTAATAGGTAATCCTAAATAAAACTAAATAATGGCTTTTTTAAAATTATATATACTTTAATGTGTTTCAGAGTCAAGAGGATTTAACTTTAGCAGACTTGGAACCTGAAGAGTTGGCAAAACCTTCAAAAACAGCCAAATCAAAAAAGCAAGAGTCAAATTCATCTGTAAAACCAACTGAGAGGCAATTCAAATATACGAATGAAAGCTTGTGGAATAGTACATTCCCAGAAAAGCTGAAAGAAAGGAATTCAATAAGACGTACAGATATCAACACACTAGAGGGCATGAAAGACTCTGAGAGAAGAAGTCAGAGCCCTGAGGCCATTAACTATGCCTTCAAAGGCAGCAATGGGGACCTCTCTGGCCCTCCTCCTGAAAAGCAACCTAATGGTACCCTTCAAGACTCACCTAAGAAAACATCACCAGCAAAGTCAGAAAGTAAAAATTCAAAGTTACATCTGTCTTCCTCATTCTCCAGAAAAAATCAGCAGGACTGTGAATTCCTAGTAAATAAGAGAAAAGAATCTTTGCCTAAATCTATGTCCAACTCAAGGGAATTCAATGATGTGGAACTGAATGCCTTTGACAACCCTGCCATGGCAGTGGGTGTGGCACTAATTAACCAGGAAGAGGACAGTTCCAGCAGCTCCAACTCCTCCCCTGCCCACAAACCCCTGCTAAAGGAACCAATCAGACAAATTATGGAGAGAGAGGAAATGACTTTACCACAGCCCTCTTTTACTGAGGAGGATGGGTATAGGACTGCTGAACTCAAACCAGTAGACAACACACCCTCAGAGGTAAGGCCGATTTTGCTGGTTATTCAATCAGTTTAGTGGATATTTTAAAAAAATTCTCCAATTTAAGTCATTATTTTTCCCTCTATCCCTTTGATAAACATTTTGGATTCTACAGACAGAGGTTTAAAAGAAGAGGTAAACATACTTTTATTTTGGTTTAAAGGTATTACCGGTAATTGGTATGATGGTCAACTTTTTTACCTTAAAAATTTAAGAGGGTTTTGGTGTTTTATATCATTTTAATTAATAAGGAAAAGAATTGGTACATTTTTTTGTTTGTGCTGAGTTGTATCATCGACTCAATCTACAAATATTTATATGCATCTCAGTCTAATGTTAGTTAGTTTACCCTACTATTCATATATAAAGGATATAAAGTGATACATTTAATGCTGCATTCGGTCTTATATTGGGTACATTCATGCTACATTCTTTTACATATTACATACATTTAATACTGCATTCTGTTACGTATAAGGTTCAGTTAATGCTGCATTCTATTACATATAAGGTTCAGTTAATGCTGCATTCTATTACATATAAGGTTCAGTTAATACTGCATTCTATTACATATAAGGTTCAGTTAATGCTGCATTCTATTACATATAAGGTTCAGTTAATGCTGCATTCTATTACATATAAGGTTCAGTTAATGCTGCATTCTATTACATATAAGGTTCAGTTAATACTGCATTCTATTACATATAAGGTTCAGTTAATGCTGCATTCTATTACGTATAAGGTTCAGTTAATGCTGCATTCTATTACATATTAGGTACATTTAATGCTGCATTATATCTTTACTGTGTGACTTTATTTTCCAGGCATTAAATGACTCCTCTATACCAATGACTGGGTTTGACTTCTTGGATCAGTGGTGAGAAATATAATTCAGGAAAACAGAAAGATTTCAAAGCTGTACAGAATGCAGCAAACAGAAAAAAACACTGTCACATGGATACAATATTATACATCAGTGCGTAAATTGTAAAACATGCATAAGAGTAGCATACTGCATTGTGTAATTTCCACTTGATCATTTAATTATGATTTTGTTTACTTTCTTTATAACATATTACATATATGTAGAGAGAGAGAGAGAGAGAATTCAGAGCAATACATGTACTACATGTATAACCATTGTACACTGCCTACTTTTATTACATAAACATTTTATTTTCTATAACATATGATATTTGATGTTCATTGAGAGGACTGCTGCAACAGGTTGTGTATTGTGCAATATGAACCGTTACATCATGTATATATGTAGTTATAAATGTCATATTAAAGTATTTTTTATGTAACAACCCATGTGTATGTGAAACTTTGGAGGTTGTTTCGTCTGAAATTGTTATCTGTCAACATGTTTATTTTTTTCCCTTTTAAGGTATTTCACGTCTATTTGATGGTTGTACTTAGTAATTTATTTATTATTAGTGCAATTTGTGGCACACACACTGAGCATCTTGATTCCTACAGTATTTCACTGATAATTTTAAAACATTCATTGATAAAGATTATGTATATGCCTGATTACATATTGAATAACTGGTATATTTACTTTTTTCTAAATCTTTTAACATTTGCGATACTGGTAATCCCTGTATTATTATGTTGTTTTTTTTTAAGTATTAAACATCACTCTTATTTTATGATATCTTATTTTTCATGGAATAAAGTAGTGTTTGATTAGAGATTTACATTATATTTGTGAATGACTGATGAGAGAATTTTCAGAGTTTTGACTTGTACAGTTTTCAAGCGATACCTCCCTCAGATGCAGAGGTGTTCCAATTCTGACAATTTACTTTTAAACCAATAATCCCAATTCATAGCTCAAATACACTGTCCACAGAGAAAAAAGATTGTTGTACAAGGCATGCTGAATGCCTATAGCTTCAAAAATAATGGAAGTCCCAGTCTCTTGGAAATTTAATATTTAAAGTTCCTACTGGATTTTACGAAATGGTGACAAATCAGACATTTCTGCGTAAAATTCTCCTAGCAAAAAACTTTTGTATTTAATATTAAAAAAATATATGTGAAATTCTTGGGTTGAATTCGAACCCCTAGCAATAAAATATCCTGGGTGAGTATTATTTCCCTTCGAGGCTAACAATATGCTAACCACAATGTTACACAACTACTTATAGGAGCAAATATACCTACCAATTTTCTTTCCTCTCTAACCCCCCCTCCCCCATCTTTACAAAGGACCCAATGACCGCTAACCCCAATCCCCCAATTAACAGCAGGTCACACAATTATATATATATGTAAAACCCTGAAACACACCACTATTTATTTCCAAGACAAGATTAATTCAGACCTGAGAGGAAAAGAAACGATAGTGCAGTGGGGCAGAATTCTAAATTGGTACTCCAAGATTAATTCTAGAAAAAAGGGGGTGCTAACAATGAAGACACTGTGGTATATCAGCTGGATAATCTCAAAACTGCACGATTGAATGTTCTAAGCAGCATCACACAATGCTGAAAGAATCGAGCAGGAAGTATTGCATTTCTTTTTCAAATATTGGGGGTGGGGGACTTAATTGAAACAGCAGTTTAAAATGTCTTGCTCTGAATGTATTTAAGCCTGGAGCACATATTCATACATGTGTGATAAAATATGAAAACAAAATCTGTTACCCTACCAAGATGCACGGCAAACTTAAAAATACCACCTCTATTAACCTAGCTGTGTTATTCATTCGATTATAGACTCTATTTGCTGCTCATAGTAAAGGAGTATGATTCAAGGTATTCAATCCCTAATAGCAACAGATTCAATGAAATTGAATACTGTAGATCACTTAATTTTCGCGACACCTTATTTTCGCGAGATAGTCATCGACTCTTGATTAGCGAGACAAAATTTTCACGAATTGTGGTTATTGCTCTATATAATCTTAAGGAATACTATTATACACGAGAATTAAATTTTCGCGTGCACACTGTCTCGCGTAATTACGCGAAAATAAAGTTCTCGCGAATAAAAAGTGATTTACAGTACATAACAGATGTATAGGTGTGGAATACTCCTCCGTCTATTTTGACATAAATCACATTTTAGAATACTAATAGCATTAAATTTTGGTAAGTTATCTCCTTCTTCTGTTTTAATTAATAAAAAAAAATCAATTAAAATAAACTTATCCCGGCAGAAAATTATTTTGAATTGTCATTCTTTTTCTAATTTTTCAATGCATCTTTCCACCGCAGTATTTCAAGATATTCTTATTACTTGAATTTTGATTTTCAAAAAATGCTTTTCCCCATAGACTTCAACGCAATCTTTGTTAATTAATTAATGCTCAGTGATTTTTTTAAAACTTTCTCATGAGCAATTCTTTTCTACTATAAAATGCTTTAATTTAATTTCAGAGTATTATGCAATTGATGGACATTTAAGGTTAGAAAATTTGGTCCTAATAGGGATGGATATCCTTAAGTTCATTATCTCAAAGACAACAATGGTGCTTTTAAGCTTATTTCAAGTATTTATTTCCATAATAAGAGGACATAATTAATACTGATGAAGGACTGGTCATTTCTTTGCCATAAATCACAATACTATTACTTTGTAAAAGATGAAAATCCACAGATTTAAATATCAGAAAAGTCTCTAACAATCGACAAAATTAAATGCATGTAAAGTGATCATTCCATGTTTTGTGTGTTGTAGAGGTACTGGCTTATCAGACATGTTTTTTCAGTACTATAAACAATTTGTGAAGACATACATCATCTAGACTTAACCAAGTAAAACATTATACATGTATCAAAAATTGATTTATCAACATCTGCATCACACCATTTTCCATGTACCGGTAATTTCAACTATTGGATACTTGTGCACAAAAGCAAACCGATATTTTGCAGAAAGGAACTTTGTAGAATTCCATGTATAAAATATGTTATTTTTTTTCAAACAAGATTGAGTCTGAATGCATGCACTCCAGAATTATATAGTACATGTACCCAACACTAGCATACACACATGGGTTCATCTTTCCTTGATACATAAATCCTTTAAAATAACTACACTACATGTATTATACATGTACATGTGTACACATAATTAGCAAACAAATGAAAACATTGACTAAATGTCTACCTTCCAACAGAAATCTCCAACTAAAAAAAATCAGAATTTATCAATTTGATATAAAATAAAAATACATTCCTTTCAAAAAGACTTACATTCAAATATTTCTTAATGTCCTAAAAATATACACACTTCAGAAAATTTAGATATTAGTACATGTGCTTTCACTTTAAGGTAAGATTCCAGTGTTGTGATCTATGGCGTAGAGTAGCCTCCCCTTATCAGTATTACTCCTCCCACATGAAAAGTCATTTATTAATCACATTCAACATGAATAAAACAAATTCATTATGTTTCATATGCAGACATCACTGTATATTTAATCTGAATGACTCTTTGAAACTGTTCATTAAGCAACAATGAAAACAACAGATTTTTTTTCTTTGGCAAATTCATTGCAAAATTCAACAATGTTCAACATCGATATACTGTTATCTCCTCAGCACATTTAAGAATCTGTATCACATGATTGACATGCTTTTGCCATATCTTTAGTTATCTGTGAATACCTAACATATCCAGCACCTCCCATTTCACAACAGGATAGGCATCAACATTTTATTGGCACTTAAAATCTAAGATAATATCAGCAAATTGTTCTGTAGATTCTTTTTCCATCTAACAGCATCTTGGCAATGTCCACATCATATAGCCTTCTTTAAAAAAAAAAAACTCACGACAGAAAGACAATTTTTTTTCAAGAATCTCCAGAAGCTAAATCCATTTTGAGCACTACTAATGTGACAAGTTTTACAGTGAGCAAGTGAATTTCCTTTGGAAGGCAAGCTTTTATGGTATCATCCATAGGTTGAAATGTCACTTCAATGAATAACTCCTGAATCAGTAATGTGAATTTGCACCAAACTTTTTCAGAAATTGAACAGTTGATGAACCATGAATTTCACATTTGTTCAATTCTAAGTGAAGAAATGTGCTCTCTTGAAACAAGTTCAAACTCCTACATGTTTGCAATGGAGAAACTGTGAATCAAGTGCTTTTTTTGTACTTTACAGTACATAATGCCTGTTGAACAAGTTTTACAATTTCTTTCCATCATCTTTCGAAAAATGAAGAAGGCACAGCCATGCATACAGACTTTCAATTCTTTTAAAATGACTTCTAATGAAATCATTCTTTGGTGAACAACATAAAAATAGTATTGCTGAGAACAAGAACACTAGAATAGTCCTAGCTGCTCTTTTGTCTTGTGTGGTGTGTCAGCCGGTAGGTTTTAGGGGGGAGTTTTGGGATACCCTCCTCTAGGTCTCTGTTTCCGTTGACATGGTGGAATTCTGACTGGCTAGGACTCCGGTGACTGGATCGGGGTAACGTTGCACTCGGTGGTCGAAAATGATGGGTTGTCTGGGGTTCATGTCTGGGTGGCACAGGAGGGGGGATATTCCTTGGGGGAATGGGAGGGTCAGTCTCCCTTCCTGGTTTCATGCGAGGAGGAAGAGGTGGGGGAGACTGAAAGTTTTTGCGATCCCCATGTGTCTTTGGAGGGGGCTGAAGGGGTGGTATCGCAGATAATTGACTAGGTTCATTTGACTTATCTGAAAGTACATGTAACATTGATATAAAATGATTTATGAATGGATGTCTGGAATTTCTTAATATTAATGTCTACATTAATAGAAATGACTAGAATTTTTTTATATATAATTTTACAAAATATGAAAATAATTGTGTTAGACATAATTTCTGCATCAAACTTCAATGGATTACCTGAATTGCCAGGCTTTGTGGGAGAGGCAGGCTCAAACACATCTGTTGGGGAGCAGGGAGGGGAGGTTTGTAGAGGGGACTGTGGTTCTGGTTCCTCTGTGTCATTCAGAATCCTGTAGCCCGTGCCAGAGGGCAGCAGTGGGAAGAAGTGACCCCTCGTGGAGGCTCTCAGGGAGTTGGGCTTAATGCCTGGAGACTTCAAGGAATAATCATACCTTTTTGGCTGAAAGAAAAAGAATGTGTAATTTGAAGGATTATTCCAGCTGAAAGATGGATGAGCACTGAGCAAGCTACACACTTAAAAATTTCAAATTACATTGATTTCTGTTTGACTACATGTATATGGAGGGAAAAACAGTTGGCCTATGCCCATCTTGTTAACATGGCCCTGCTGTTATTCAGAACAGTGTCCTTCCTTTTCCAAACCCTAACCCCATCCCAGACCATAATTTGAAAAAATTTAATCTACACCACCACAGGATGCTTGCATATAAATATCACTTTTCATGACCATGCTTTTATGAAGAAGATTTTCCCCTGTATATTCCTATGTTAAAATTTGATACTTTTATTACTGTGTCTCAACCCTACCCAAGGGCGCAAATAAAACCTTGATATGCAATTGTGACTCCAACCTACCCCTAGAATAAAGAGTCTTATACAATACATGTACATTTATATAAATAAACATGGCCCTAAGGTTATTGAGATTTTTTTCTTCTTCCCATTTAAAACTTAAAACTCCTTTATTCAGGTTTCAACAAATAATGTTAGTCCATAATTCTCAGACAACTGCTACTCCTATTACTACTAAATTAGTACAGTGATTTGAATGTGAAAAGTTGATGACGAAGACGATGTTTACAATAATAATGACAGACAAAGGACAAATTTTGATTTGAAAAGCTCACTTGAGCCTTCGACCTAATTTATAATGTACTAGGAATTTTCCATAAATGAAGTATTTTTCTGTCAATGAGGCCAAAATAAAATTATAGTTTGTTTGGAATTGCCTCCCGCCTCACTGAAATGACCCCTCCTGAAAAAATTTTATTGACCAAAAGTAGGACGATTTTTTTTTATTTAATCTTTTTTTTTTTTTGCCCATTATATGTAACACATGCACCATACAAAACACTGAAATAAAGTGTCAGGTCTATGTAAAATTTGGTTTTTCTGTTGATGGTAGATACTTTTTTTAAAGTCAGAAAATGTATTTACTGTTTACTGAGATTTTTTTTATAAAAAATTTAAAATTTACCTTCAATTTAAAAAAAGATAATTTCCCTCCCTCCTGTGTCTGAAACCCTCCAGGTGGCAATTCCAAACAAATAATTTTTTAAGGATGGCCTGACTTTAAGTTGAAACACATTTTACTTACAAATTTCTGGGGTCGCAATGTCCCCCGGGGTTCAAGTTTTAATGATCCTGCATACAAGTGATCATTGAACTCTTTCTCTGTCATGTTTCCCAGTGGATTTAGGTTCTCAAAGAAATCCTTTAAAACAGATGCAATCCATGCTTTCATTAGGAAAAAGTCCAAAATTCAATAATTCTTTTTGCATTTTCCCAATTTGTAGCATTTCTTACCCTAATATCCAGTTCTACAGTCAGACAGTAGGGCTGATTCTGATACTGCTGAATCTCTCCTGTAATTTCAGCCACTTTCCGTCGCTTACTAAAATTAATAATGTCTGGTCTGTTTTGCAAAAAATCTGGATTGCCCTCCTCCGTTAATAAAATGTTTGTTAAATACATACCTGTAAATGAAAGAATAAAATATGCATAAAGCTTTAGTAAATGGCATACACATGTATATAAATGCATGCACAGCAAATGAAAATAAATCTTAAACATCTTATCAAACACCATGATTACATAACATTATGAATTTTTAACAAGGAATGAGAAGCAGATTTTAATTTTGAAAATAAAAGAGTCAATATCAAACATCAACAAGATATTTAAACATCTCGGATCTTCGCTTTAGGAAGAAGAGAAATGCAACACGGAATGACGTAAACATTGCTTTCACTTACCAAGAAATGGAACACATGGGGGATTTATAGATCGCAGTTTTTCTATGTATTTCTTAAAATGATCTGCATTTAGCTCTTTGGCATCTTCAAACTGCTTTCTGTAACTTACTTTCTGCAATTTGAAAAAAATTATATCGTAAAATGAAATTAATATGTTGAAGCAATTACTTAACTACTTTGTATAGTGATCTAAGTTGTATCCCACCCACCCACACACACCCTTAAAATGAAAAAAATAAAAATTTCATTTCATTTATACAGTATAAGTAGAATTTTTAGTGAGGATTTAATTTTGGCATTTTTAGCGAGGGTGCCTAGATAGCTAAAATTGAATATCGCTAAAAATTTATTGCGTTTTATTTCTGATAGCTACTTTAATGTGCATTTTAAAATCGCTAAATTAACATCTCGCTAAAAATAAAATTTCCAGTTTTTAAGGACAAATCCCTAATTTTGCGTCTCCCTAAAATTTCCACTTATACGGTAAAAGCCTTGATTTATTAACTTGATGAAAAAGATGATCTACTTCTAGAGTGAGACATATGTGAATACTAATGTTTAAAGATTCAACTCTGTAAAAGAAAAAAAAACAGTCTCATTATTTGAAGGTTAAATAATTAAAGAGTGATACTTACATCAAACGTATGTTCCAGTCTGTAAACAGACGCAGAATTTATTGCACTAACAATTTCTAAAACACCATTAAAATTGTTCAGTTCCTGAAACACTAACATAATTTCCATAGTTCTATTCACAACTGCCACTCTCTCATCATAGTTTTCTGTCTCTATAATACACTTCTCAAGCCAGCATATAAACTGAAAAAAATGACAATAATCCCACATGAATCTTCAATTTAATAGAAAAGAATGACATTCTGGGTGAAGATGTAAAGATTTTTTTCCAAAAAATAAAAACATTGCCCTTTTAAATGTATATTTTTTGTCCAAACTTAAAGATTTACCACTGGAAATACTGTTCATACAAAATCTTTTTACATGACACATTTTGTTTGTACTTACATTATATCTATTTGATAAATTCAATGTGTACTTACATTATTAGTAAAACTGATCATTTTGAGAAGATTGGGTGAAGAAGTACTTTTGTTTTCCTTCATCCAGGAACAACCTACAAGTTCAGATGGCTGAACTGCTCGATACAAGTCGAACTCTAGCAGCGTAACCTGTCTAGCAATTTCAATAGGGTGAAGCTGAAACAGAAAAAAAACATTACATTAAATATATACAGTAAATCATATAAAGATAGCATTATTTGCAAACTTCTGAATTTTCTTTAAATTTCAAAGGAAAAATTTTCTATTTTTCCCTATTGTCAACAAAAAGAAAGATAATGGTTGGCCCTAAATTACAATTATAAACATTATAACAGTAAGATGTAAACATCTATTTTCTTTTCAAATATTAGCTAATGTATAACCAAAGATACTTTGAAGTATAATACAGTGGACCTTCAGATATCCGGATGCTTCAATATCCGGACAACTTTTCATGGGAACAAAATTTTTTAATGTTATTTTGTCTTGTTTAACTGGTCATTCAGATATCCGGATGCTTCACATATCCGGACAAATTGACTAGGAACCAAAGTGTCCGGATAAATGAGGCTCCACTGTACATGTATTCAATAAGTTACTAATATCAGATGTTACCGTTAACAGGTCAAACTGCTCTTTGTCCTTTGTGAGGTGCCATTCTATGGGTGGGGCTGGTTTGGCATGAATAATATCTCTTTCTGTACTGACACTCTCAAACTGAAAAAATAGAGGTGGTGAGTTTAACATAACTCCTAATCCTAGAGCTTTATATCAACAGAAACATCAAATAAATACATTATTTGTAACTGCTCTTTTATTCCTCTTTAAATGTTGTAAAGTAAGTAATCTCCACTTACCCGCCTCCTGACAACCTTGAGAATAGACTCTGCCATTTTCTTCATAGCTTTGCCCTTTACATTTTTTAGGAAAGTATTCAGTTTGAACAACAAAGTTTGGTCTCTCTCAAAGTCATAGTAGTGGTGGTCCACCCAGTGACGTAAAACATTTACAACCCTGTGAGTACATGTATTATATACAACATAAAATAAAATCTGCCACATTTTGTCTATATAACACTGAAATAAAAGTTATTCAAAAATAAAGCATGTTAGACAATGAATAATATTGAGGAAAGCATCGACTCATACACTTATATCAAATACATTTTACCGGTTTAAGAAATACACCTTTGAATTTGGAAATGGAAATCATTACTCCAAATGATTTTCATTCAATAAATTAACTTTTGTATATCAAATGAACAGTTATTTTTTGCATGGTATATATATTTAGATATTTAAGTGTTGTAGAAATTTTACAGATAAAAGAATCTTCATATTTTTATTGATTGACCTTTGATACCATGCACTTCTTAATTTTACATTTAAGCCATTAACATACAGCACAATGACAAAAAAGTCACACAAGTACCTAAATTGCACAGGTTTAATGTATTCCTTGCGGAATTTTTTGAGATCATCTTTAATTCGCTGATTGGTATCAGCATCTTGGTTTATGTCCACCTTCAGATTTTCTGGAGGATCTGGGATATTAAACCTGAAAGTAAACCAAAGTAAACCATTGCTTTTATTTTCAGAAAACCTCCTTTCAAGGAGAAATATCAAAAGTACATCTACAGTAAAACTCAGTTAAACAAAGTCACTGGGACCTATGAAATAACTTTGCTATATCTGTAATTTCTAATATCCGTATAAGGAATTCGTTAAATTTATATAGCCGGGGATCCAGTTAACTTTGCTTCATCCGTGAATTTGCAATATCCGTGTTGGTACTAAACGAGTTTTACTATATCAATTTTTAACATTTTTTTTTCTTTTTCAAAATTGATGTGGAAATAAAAGTTGTTTATCAAACCCATATATGCCTGAAATGTAACATCTACCATGACTTTATGGCCATGATGGTTTACCTTTCAATCAGCAGATCCAGCAGCTGTTGTGGTGTACAGAAGGACCTGAAGGTCGTGAGGAAGGTCTTCACAAACTTGGGGTCTGCATACATGTGGTACGTCAGCCTCTCAATCAGCTTCAGTAAGGTCCCTCCTTTGATGAGGGGGATCTCAGTAGGGGAGGATCCTGTTTCCTCCATCACTATATTGTCTGTAGTGTCCTTCTCTGCAAATCTGTAACAAAAATTGACATCTTATTTACAATTTCAATATATGTAAAAATGGTGATGTTTTAATTGTTTGTTTGTAAACTGTAAAATCACAATTTCATGGCTGTAAATTTTAGAAGTTTGAGGAAAAAATATTGGTTTCTGGGGATTTGATTTTGTGGTTGGTGATGTGCTGAGTAGTTATGCATATGAAACTGTACAATTCAAGCTGGACAAGAATTGCGAGTCTCTTTATACTTAAAAAAAGTAAATAAAATGTGAGCCAAAATTGGTACTTATCAAAGAGACAATAAAATTTAAGCAAAAAATTATGACTACTGGCTTATTATTAAACATACTTGACTAATTTTACACTGTAAAACAGTAGAACACTTAAAGACTTTAAAACAAAACAACTGTTATTTCCTGTTATATTAAATAACAACATTATTTTCATACAAAAGTCTATTTTCCATTAAAGTGATCCCTGTGACTTCATCAGTATTAAATCTGACTCATTAACAGATGATGCACATAAACACACATTGTTTCCAGTCACTAAAAAATGTATTGTTACTGTTCATGCAAAAAAATGAGGGTTTTCCTTTTTCCTGCAGGAACTAATTTTTTTTTTCAAATTTGACTGAATCATATTCATTTGCTTTTTTTTATGTCAACACAATGTGCATTTATTTGATTTTGTTTGTTATATTTCATATGAATTCACGAATAAATTATTAATATTATTTAGCAGAAAATTTCAATTTTATTTTATATTTCTTTGCATTTGAAATTTGCATGATAAGAACACAAATTGACATTCACCAAAAATTTCTAAACACATCACACAATAAGAGCACACAGATCACACAATAATTTCTGTGAAAATTATGTCAATTTGCATCAAATTCTGGCTGACCAAACATTTTAATTTACAAGTATATAGATCTTTCCATATTAGAAAAAGTAGCACCTGCAGGTAAACAGATGTTACTTGAATTTATTAAGGCAGGTAAACTGTGCAAAATCTATGAATATTTATATTAATCTTTCTACCTGGATTTGTGACCTTGATGACTTACCTGTAGGTTTCTGGAGGGGGCAGTATAAGAGGTCGATCCCGCTCCTCCTCCTTTAGGATGCTGTCTAACCTCCTCTCCAGCATACTGAAATGGTCATGTCATCTTACTTAGAATATTGTTCAGTAAGATTTACAATGATAAAGCACTATTGCTCTCATTCAAAATACAAATGACTTTTGTGCTAAGACAAAACCTATTTGGCTTATCATGGTCATAAAGTTTAATACCGTATAAGTAGAATTTTTAGCAAGGATTTAATTTTGGCATTATTAGCGAGGATGCTGACATTGCTAAAATTGAATATTGCTAAAAATTAATTGTGTATTATTTGTAACAGCTTCGTTAGTTTGCAGTTTAAAATCGCTAAAATTACTTCTCGCTAAAAATAAAGATTTTAAGTAGAAATCGCTAAATTTGCGTCTCGCTAAGATTTCCACTTATACAGTATTATTCATTTCATCAGAATCTTTTTGTGTCAGTGACAAACCTCCTTGTCTGTAGTGATATCAGGGCAGCCATCCAGTTACTCTTTTCCTCTGCAGACTTGGCAGACAAAGCCACACTGTTATTGGGGTGATCCCTGGGTACTATCAAAAACCAATTTTTAAGTTCTGAAAGGAAAAAAATAGGAAAATTAATGTAAACATTCTTTAACTTGGGGAAAATCAAACTGTTCAAATTTTCAGATAACGAAATTCAAATATAGTAAGAATAAATTTTTTATTTGCATGTTCATTTAACTTAAAATGATTTACTGTCTTACTTTTGGCATTGTTTACACCTGTTCAGTGGTAATTTTGTTTATCATAAAATCATTTTCATGTATAACTTTGTTTGTTATGGCCCCAAGAGGTTATGATTTGACCAAACTTGTATCTGCACTATCTCAGGATGCTTGCATAAAACATGTAATATGACTTAAGGCAGGTCCATACTTTTATGGATCCGGTTTTAATTTTACACACCAATATAAAATTTTGATTATCCTTGTCTATTGAAATAAAATCTTTTTTGATGATTGAAAATAATATAGCAACTATATATTTGTTTATTATAGTGTCATTGTACACACAAAACATTTAATGTACATTATTTATAGGAATAACCACTTTGCACTCTGTCCATAGGATCTATATGTAATTTAGTACATACACAGACAGAGAATTCTTAATTGCCTTTATGGACCTAAAGCTTTTTAATTTTTTTTAACAAAATAACTTGAGATCTATTTATCTTTAATTTTTAGCCTATATCATCTTTTTAAATTTACTTTTTTATAAGTTTTGCGAAGAACGATTGAAAAAATAGATATTCCAAAAATGGGGGTATAGGTGTTCAAAAGGCTGTTTTGTGAAATTTTTCTGGTCAACCATAATAAAGTATGTTTTTTCGCTAACCTTAGATATAATTCTAAATAATTGTAAAGAAATGATAGCATATAAACATATAAGATTTTGTGGAATATTTAAAATAAAGATATTTTGAGCTTTTTCTCTGAAAGATTTTGACAGAATCAACATCAATTTTTTAGTGTTTTCAAATAGAAATTTCAAATATTTTCTTGACAAATGAATATTTATGATTTTCCTTAGTTTTAACAATAATTGGATGTGATTTGGTACATAGCTAAATAAAATATGATGTTACACTTCTACATATTGAATTTTGGCTGTTGAATTTTTAGAGGTATATACTCCGAGACATGTTGCATGAAAATTAACCTGCAAAGATATGTTTTTTATGGGTGTTTTTGTTAGATTATGACTTATTCAAGATTTTCAAATCGAAAAATAAACAGTTTGACAGAAAATTCTGAAAGTACGGACCTACCTTAATTTCAATATTTTTCCTATTATAGAGATTTTTTAAAAAAGATATTTCCAATAAATTTCTTTGTAATCTATAAGTTTGATCCCCTGTTGTGACCTTGCCCTACCCCTAAGAGTAATGAATTGAATGATTTTCGCATGACAGATTGACAGATATCAGTTACTTTCTGATCCAAGAAGTTCACTTGAGCATTCAGTTCTAGTGAGCTCATTAACCTACCATCTGTGTCCTCTTTGTCCCTGATCTCCACTTTACGGATGTGGAACTTCTCTTTCAGTTTGAAGTCTCCCGTGGGGTAGGTTACAGAAGATCTCTTTATGTTTGGCTTACACAGGATGATCAGACCGTCAAACAGAAACACATGTCTCTCTGTTGGTTTTCCCTTGGCATGTTTCATGAGAACTCCATCTAAAAAGACATGGTTATAAGACTGAAACATACTCGATCAATAAAGGTTTAATTCAGTGTACGAACCTGCTTTAAAAAGTCATTTATTATTATTATTATTATTATAAATTTGTATAGCGCTAAATATAATTAAAATTACTCTAAAGCGCTTAAACATTAAAAATAAAGATAAAAATATACAATAATTGGAACATAATTAAGAATCTGAAATTAGACATATAGTTAGAAAAGTAATGAAAACAATTATAAAAATTATCTAAAAATTAGCCCCTAAAATTGTGAAAGTAGGCACAACTATGTACCCGGTACATCATTAAATTGAGATACTAAATAGCCACAAATCATAAAATAGTATTACAAAATAAAAAGAGTCCATAAAGTGTGCTTAGACAGGAACATAAAAATTTCAATAATATTTATATGTCAATGATAAAAAGCCATTTTAAAGAAATGAGTCTTTAGACACTTTTTAAAACTGTTAAGATTTTGTTCATGTCTCATAACTGATGGGAGACTATTCCAGAGTGCAGCTGCGCTAACATCAAACAACGATTTCCATATGACTTGGTTCGAGCATGAGGTTGAACTAAACACCTGGAATTCTCTGAATGCAATGATCTCGAAGGGAAATAAAAATTAACAAGGTCTTTTATATATGACGGTGTCGTCCCTTGCAGTGCTTTAAATACTGTTATTAATATTTCATACTGGATGCGGAATTCCACTGGCAACCAATGCAAAGAAATCAGAACTTGGGTGATGTGATCTTGTTTCACATTTACTTGGTGTGTTACATTTTTCCTGAATTTACTTTTACTTTGACAAATACATTTACATGAACATTGTACAATATTTCATGTACTAGACTAAACTACTTTGCAATATCACATCTACACAAAACACTGTACATACCCAGAATAAATTCACTACAGCTCTGCCAGATATCCTTGCCCTCCCATCCATCTATACTTTTCTGTAGTTCAGACATCTTTTGTACAACTTGTTGAATCCCAGTCCTGCCTTGTAATCTCAGTGACGTCTCCCTACAACGACAAGATTATAGGTACTGCATTGGGATATCTCATAAAGTATCAAGCCATTATTCGCATGTGCCTCTTTAAATGGCATTTAAACATTAAATTTTGACTTAAAGAATGTCATAATTTAGGGTTTCAGGTAATTACCTTCTTTAATACAGAGATATAATTTTCTTACCAGGGTTTTGTTCTGGGAAGATTGCCATTTTTTATCCGGCTTTCCAAAACAGATCGTAATGATGCTAGTAACCCATTGGCCTGTTCCAGAAACTCTAAATCTTCTTCATTTTGACTCACATTTGTTAAACCCTGAGAAACATCAATAACACAAAACTTAAGACTTTAGCTTTTTTTCTTAAAACATGAACATTTATGACTATTTTGCTACATGTAGCTGAAGTAAGAAGTGAAGAGTTTGTTGAGTACATGTTCCTTACCTTAATGACTTCAAAATAATGAAGACAGTGGTATATTGGCCCTAGTAGCAGCTTTGGCAAGACATATTTGACAGCATCTTTGAATCCATGACCCTCATCCTACATAAAAAATTATAATACATTTTAGATTTACCAATTAAAAGCGTACAACAGTTTATACAGAAGACCAAAACCTACACAGGAAGTAATTTGTGTAGTTGCATACTGACCTCCAGAGTTCTCGTAAGGTCATCTCTCTGCATCAGTGTGTACAGTCTCTCCTTTCCTCTTGGAGATAACATATCATCTACATACTTCTCATAAACACTGAATTCCTCCTCCTACAAACCATACAATGTTATTTTCTTTTTTATAATTTTATCTGCCAGATCTTTCTCAAAAAGACACAAACACTTGTTTTCCTTTCACTTCACACCATACTAGAAAAAATGTCTAGTAAGAAATAATCATGTTCATTAGTTACACAATTCGGTTAGTGCAATACTGTAAACCAACTTTTATTTATGTGCGAGAAATATTTGCGACCTCCTTGAATTCGCAAAAATTAATCGCCGGTAACCAATATTTTTTAAAAGTATTTGTAGAGAATATTTCCTTAGTCGCGAAAATTAATTGTCGCGGATTGATTTCAAACTGACGAATCGCGAATTAAAGATGACAGGAATAATAGTTGGTTTACAGTATATAATTGACTTTTGTTAATGATAACAGATCCTCCCCTGTTAAAGATAACCGCCCCTCCCCCTCCACTTTTTGCTACCTCTGCCATGTCCAGGAAGCTGATTCCTACAGTCAGCGTCTCATTCTCAGCAGCCACCTCGACCTGCTCCTCTACAGAACTCAGTAGATTGGCTGTAAACTCATAAATGTCCAATATATTGCTGAATATTATCTCCAGATCCTGAAATAGCCAATTATATTGTAATGGGTGACTTGTTCTTATGATAATAACATATACATGTATATACTAAAATATTTCTTTCAAAAATTTGAAAACTTTTTGAGTTATCATGTCACAATAAAGTGTTTAAAAGCAGACAGATGGATGATGTGATTCCTTTAATTATCATAAAAACATATTACAACCTTAAATAACTTTTATGCCACTCAATGTATAGAATTACAATCATTGAATATGTTCTACCTTGCTGGTTGGAAAATGCTTAACAAAGGGAGCTCTGAAAACTTTAATGATTTGGCTGAGGTCCCTCATGTACTGAGTCTCCTCAAAGATGAAATCCTTAACAATGTCCTCATAGGACTGAGCCTCGGTCCTCAAACCAATAGGCTCCTCCACCAGAGGGAGGGACACGTCCTCCTCCGGGGAAAACATGTCCATCAACACCTGTACACAGGACAGAGAACAAAAACAGACTTAAGCTGTGATATTATTGCATTCCATGGTTTGTACGTAATGGGTTTGTACAAAAGCAAAATCATGTCAGTCAGTTTGTTTGTAAAATGAAGTAGCCTTGTCTTTTGTCTTAAAATACTTTTTCTTGAAATATCTAGATAAACATAGTATTAACTTCTGAAATAATATTTTTTCCAGACAATATTTATTGCTAATCATTTATTTGTGTATTTCAGCACATCAGATTTTCAATGTCACACAATTTTCAGTTTTTGTAAAATTGTCCCCACTGTGTAATTTTATACACAAAGCTTGTTCATGTTTTCTCTTTTATGAAAAGTACTGGTAGTTTATAAAGATAAATATCAATTAAATTCATCTGATTAACTAAGTGGTTATTTAGAAAAATAGATACCTGATCTGCACATATTGCCACCTTGATGTCCTGATATGTGATTTCTGTGTGCTTTATATTTCTCACATAATTTCCAGTCAGCTATTAAAAAAAAGAAACATGTAAATAATAATATAAATATGCATTGAAATAACTCCATTTACACAAAGGTAACATATCATATGAGAATATTACTGGAGCTCACACATTACAACAAAGTAAATGACCATTACCCTTTTCTTTAAGGTATTAATTTGACCCATGAGGAAACCTACGAGTTTCATCACTGAGTAGGGTAGCCATAACTTCCTCCTATTTGTGGAACTCATATTAATGTCAGGTAAATTCCATTATAATAAATTTACAGTCCCTCTATATCAACAGATTAATATCCACTTTGTCTGAGATTCCTGACAATATCACTCAAGTCTAGCTTACAACGATTTTGAGACATGATGATGCAATTTGTCTTTATTGAAACAAAAATATACATGACTGCATACACGATCAATAGTGTTGTGTATATATATGTTTACTGTTTCACATTTATACATATTTAATAAACAAAGGACAACTTGTCATCTGAACTGGACACATATAATAGAATATTTATACAACAATAACCAATGAAAACCCTACTAAGTACTGTAGTATAGTATGTGATAAGTATGTGTAAATCTTAAATATCTTCCTTTATCAACATAATCAACACACTGTAAATGTATTAAATTTGGTGTGTATAATATTTGGCAGAAATTAAATTTTCTATAAGTTAGCATAGATTTGATTAAACGCTATCTCAATGTGCTAGACATAAATGTTTGATTTACAAGTCATTTAGTGATGTACTTGATTTAGTGGATTTAGCTTTCTGCCAAAAATGTGTAAAGAATACACCGCTAAATGTAACACATTTAAAGTACTTTCCAAATCAAAATTAATAATATGCCCTTTTAATACTAAAATGGGTGAAAAGGAGCTTAAAACATATACTTAGGATATCTTTTCTTTGATAATAATTCATGCCTTGAATGTTTTTGAAATGCTATGGAACATATTTTAATGCATATTTTAATTTTAAGAAACTTTTAAACATAGCCCCTCTCTTTCCTGGACAGACCTTGAGGATGAACATACAGACAGACCTACCTTTAGGATATCAGCAGCAATGTATTCTAGTACAGCCACAATATACAAGGTCACACTATGCTCAATTTTGTAGCCCAGGACATCCTGCAAGTAAAGACAATCAGGAATGAACATGATGAAGGTAGTCATTATTTCTTTAGGTATAAAAACAAAAATAATACTTTCTGACTTGTGCTTCAACTATTTTCATGCAGGGTTAGGGAGTACAATTTTCATTAATTCTGCATATATACTGCATAGTGGTTATAACAAAAATCAATCAGACTTCTAGAATAAAAAGATTAAAAGGGGATCAAGCTGAAATTAAATCAAAGAAAATATATCATGTTCTCTGTAACCTTGACCTTGGCTGTGACCTCACAGCAAGTACTGTGGTAAACACTAGTTTATCAATAAGTTAATGGGCATAATGAGATATGTAAAATGTTTGCCAGTGGACATTGGTGCGAAAGTACTACACTGTAAACTGTTCTTATTCACGAGCGAAAACTATTGACTAGTTTCGCGACTTACTTTAACTCGAGAATATTAATCACTCCAAACCATTTATTAAGTTTTTATACTAAAAGAGAATGTTTCCTCAGTCACGACAATTAATCCTTGCAAATCAATTTCAAACTGACAACTCGGGAATAATAGTTGGTTTAAAGTATCACAATATAGGAAAGCTATGTGTCCCTTATGCAGGGCACCAAAAGAGAGAGGAATGATCAAATCTGGGGTCATTTTTCAACTTAAATCATGTTCAAAAAGAGCCTGTCTTTCATTCTGCTTTCAAAACATCCTTTTCTGATTCAGCCACTATTCAAAGAGAACCAAGGACCCCTCTTCTTTCATGCACCTGCACAGATACAAGTCTAACATCATGTCACAGCCTACTGACGAAGTAGTTTACTGTAAATCACCAAGAAAAATAAACAGTGTTACCCTTTGGATTCATTGTGCTTCTACTTGATCGAGTTAAGACAAAGTTCATGCCTTCTACTCTGTTTGTACTTATACAAAGTCTGTCAATTTAGGGACTAGACAGTTCCCATTTTACTTACCACGGTAAATAATATAGTGATTAAGATTCTATCCTTTCTTTTTTTATTTTAGTTATAATTTTGGTAGTAAACTAATGAAATAAATAAATATTTGACAGTTTTAACTCCATCTTCTACCGGTACATTATCTAATAAAAAAAATGTAAACAGATGTTTAACATTCTTTATATTTTTTCTACATAGCAGTCCTCTCTCCAGCTAAGTGGTCCATGTACTGTCATAAGTAGGTCACACGTCACAGCTGACCTTACACTGCATTATCTCCCTGTACAGCCCCGACCTACGTTTGTGATGTAGAGGAAGTTTATACGTTACAACTATTTAACCACAACGACTGTAGCAGTTGATAAGACAAAATAACCTTCCTATGCAGACTACTAGCATCCTGCCCTCTTAAGTACAGTTCTGTAATGTCTATTTTATCTTTGTGTGTCAATAAACATGTGACATCTAAATGTTTATCTCAAGGCTTCTGTTATGAAATATTGTGTATTTTCTGAAAACTTAAAACTTCAATTTGTAAACAACAAAGATCAAAATCAATATTTCATGTATCTAGTAATATAAACCCAACACTTTACATAAACAATTCTTTCTTTAGATTGATCTGACAAACTTATTTCTCTTTCGACAGTTCAACTACATGTACTACACTTTTAAGTTTTTAATTGCACCTTTTTGTACTGTGACAAAGTCTTTCTACAAAAGATAATCTCTGATGAGATTGTAGCTCTACTGTATAGAGTTAAATGCCCCCATTTTTGTAAATTTAACATTTATATACAAGTATCTTAAGACTAAGGTTTTCTTATCTTGCACAAAGTTTTACTGAAGTCTATAACTGTAGGCTGCATACAATTTGGAAAGATTTTCAGTCACAGATTGTTATTTTTTTATACCCTTGACAACATCATGTTTCTAAACATGAGATTTTTTCTATATATTAGTCTACCTGTCAAACAAGTTTTACTAAATTTGAATCAAATCTGTAAGAAGATTGCTTTACCATTCTTAGTTTAGAATGTTCTCTTCATAACTTCATAATAACTATGACCACAACATTGAAGTGCAAATCTACATCCTCAACATATTCATTCTGCTATTCATAGAATGGTATATTGTTACCTTATGGTCTTTGTTTTTTTTTCATAACCCAAGATTAAAAAGTCAAGATAATCCCAAACACAGAAATCGTATTTCATGAAAAACAATTGCTGATTGGTCAAGTGATGTCTATCCACTCCAATCAATTTATTAGTAAGAGACTAATGGACTAACATTGGTACCCTGGGCGAGTGCACTCTGACTTAATAAATACTAATTAAACTTGTTTACAAAAAAACTTTAAAATGTGGATGCACTTGCAGACATTTTCATTTTTTTTTTAAAAATCATAACATTGTCAGTGTCAATAAGCCCTGTACATCCTGGCTGCCATGCATTGAAAAATTTTGTTTCTATATAACTTTAATTTTGAATCTCATATCTGCTATTTAATTCTGTTATAAATATCAACTTTATTAAAATAATAATTAACAGAAAAAGACCATAATTGCAGCATGCAAACCATACTTGTCTAAAAATTCATACCATAACCATGTTCCATTCTATTCATTCTGTAGGCAAGTGATAGGAGTTAACTTTATTTGTTTATTTATATACAGTATAATTTATCCAACCTGGACAGCAACAGTCTCATGAAAACTGACCAGATCCAGAGTGCATGATTATGAAAGGCTGAACAGGACTAAAAAAAATTTGGGGTGATTTTTCATCAGTTAAAAAGAAAAGTACCTTTATGAGAGCCTGATGAATTTTCTCCACAGGAAGCACTATACTGGAATTCTTCTTGCCCTTTTCCAGAGCAATATTCGCATCCCTATTTGCCCACTTATCGATCGGATCAGGGAAGGTCTTGTTGACTCTGTCCGTGACATCCTGGACTGTGTGGGGCTGGGCAGCACACAACGTTCCCAGGAGACTTATGATCAGGCTTTCTATGTACTCCAAAGCATCCGCTTTAGCTATCAATGTGGGATGAACTTGGTACTGAACCTATAAGTATAATAAAATATATTAGTTACATACAAATTACCTTAACAATAAGCAATACTTTTCACAACATGTGCTACGTACACTTGAACACTTTTAATAAATTATTTTCTTATGATCACAATAGCAGGATTTTTCTTTTAATAATTGAATTCAAACAAATGTATGGGGTCAGGATACTTATTTTATCAATTAATTTATATGCCTGAATTTGGGGATAAAGCTCAATGGTTACCTCTACATAATATTTTACATGAACATGATGAAACATGGTAAAAAAGAGGTTTTATTGCTGTTTGGATAGAGAGTAAAAAGATAAACACTGCAGTGAAACAATGCTAATTGGGACTTCACATTATTTTGTGAATACATCAAATTTCGCTTGGACTCAATCTTCTTAAAAACTAAGTCCAAGGACCCGAGTGAAACTCCTTTTACCTTTTCTACTTTGCCAACACATTGGACAAATTCTATCTTTAAAGCAGGTAAAATGCATTCATTTTTTAAAAATGTTCTAACTACTTATATTGGTCCTTTGTGCATTACATTGCCAACTAGACCTTTGCAACAACTAAGTTTTTTTTACTTTCAAGATTCTTTTGTTTGATTTTGCAGAAATCTTTGCATGCAACCACTAAAATACTTTAAAAGGATAAATCATTATCCAAAATGATTTGTCATTAGCCATTATCATGATTATAGGGTGGTAAAATGACACATCCGACTATTTTTAATGATTTTATTACAAGAGATGATTAGTTGTGTTGGACTTCTTTCAAATTATCAAATAACCTTACAACATCATGTTCATATTCATACCAACCTCCCATGATACAATAACTAGTTTAATATAATATGTCATGCATTCAAAATGAATATAAACACTTCGAAATCGTATTCCTGGACTTACATTTTCAAGAGCTTGAACAAATATACCCTTCCACTCTTGTGCGTTGAAGTTTTCAGGAAAACTTGGAGGAAACATTCCTACTGTTAAGAACTAATCCGCATTTGACAAATTCATGAAACCATGATGATTCTTTTTGTTTCTTTTTGCATAAATATTCTATAGAAGTGAATAAGCCAACATGACCTTCAACTTCGCACAAATTGTGTATATTTATGTCGTAAAACAGACAACTGCCTTGTGGCAGTTGCATACATAGTGACTCTAAAAACAATATACATCACATTTTGTTACCACGGCTCGACTACAATGAGATAATATAGCCTTTTCGACAGAGCTTCCGCGAATCCCGAACAGGAAGTTAATTTGTCAAGAGCTACCGCGCATGCTTCGCACCTGACCTCCTAAAACTTTTTATTATTGATTTTTTTTAATGGTATGTTGATATGTTGTTAAAAAATGCTTTATTTATGCATTGGCTCGTGTTTCATATTTTAGACAATTATTGTACTATGAACTACAACGGTTTAAAACCTCACGAAACATCTTGGATCTACAACAAAAACAAAACCTTTTCGGAACTATTAATAAATGTGCAGTCTAAAAAACGGAATGGACATTTGAAGTCAACGACAACGTAGTGTTTATATACTATCAGATTTTTTTTCTTTATTATCAGTTCTTTCAATTTCTAATTTGTTTGATATTCAACTGAATGGGATGGGGAGCAACCTAAGAGTATCTGAGTAATTCTTTAATTTGTAACATTGTTACAGCGTTCAAATTCATTTTCAATGAATAAAAATGTTTTAATTTGTGGAATTTAAACATTCTATGTGTATTTCATTTTTTCATGGGTATATTTTTTTATCTTTGTTTCTTTTTTTAAACAAATCTTGAAATATGACAAATAAAGCACACACATTAAAGTTCATTAAATAAATATGGTCCTGATTCATATTCTGTAATACTTTTGAACACAATAAATGATCCTATTCTATAAGTTGATGAGCGTATAGTATATATTCAGATACACCATATTTATTTATGACAAAAATCACGGAATTCTTCTCACTGTTACATTATAATACCCTTCCGGTGTTTAGCAATATCTGAATTTGAAGTTGGTAACAACCAAGGAGTTCCGAAAGCGAATCTGCAATGTGAGAAATTGACATGACAAGTGAAGAGGAACAACGCCAAGCAATCTTGGCGCTTGGTAAATCCTTCGCTCAGTGCACAGATTTCGATTTATGGGGCCAACCAATTGAAGCTATAGATGGCTACAAAAGGTTATTATGAGTTATAACTACATGTGTAGGCAGAAAACATGCAGGGATTTTTTAAACATATATATTATATTGGCCTCTATATCCCCTTTGTAAATACTCACATGCTAGAAAATATTGTTATCCACTATCAAAACTCTTCTTAGACTACTTTCCCAGGCCTTCATTAACATAATAAATAGGATCTCCTATGATGTACAGTTGTATATGATTTTTATCCAACGAAGTTGGGTGGTTTTTTGTTTTTTTTGACGAGCCTGATATATTTGTAAGACCCCAAAGTCTGATGGTCTCAAACCCCAATGGTTTGTTGTTGGTACGGATGCCAAAGTCCTATGGTCACGGCAAAGTCTGATGGCTCATTTCCTATGAGACGCGCTGCGCTAAAGAGCAATGGTCTAACACACCAATGTACGATGGTGCAGAGAAACGATTAAAGTTTATGATGTCACAATAATTTGATGTCAATCACTGACACCGTTGTCCTGCATTCAAAAGCTATCTTTTCTGAATTCGTCCTCGCATTCAATTTTATTGATTTTGCTTATTGCTTTGCACCTTCCAGAGATATTAGGTTTAGTTCTCGCACACCACTTGACTGATTAGGTTAAGTCCTTTGCATCAAACTGAGAGATTTAAGGTGAGTCCTCGCACAAGTTGAGAGATAAGGGTTAGTCTTGCATCCACCCAAGGTATCTAGGTTATAGTTGTTACACACTTTTCGAACAGTTAGGGTTAGTTTTGCATCTATCTGAGAGATTAGGGTTAGTTTTTGCATAATGATATTTAATACTTATTTATTACACTGGCCTGGCACGGCATCGAAGTTTGGCACAGTAGTACTATGACGTCATAAACGTTAAGTATTTTCTACACCATCAGACTTTGGCATGTCAGACCATCAAGGATTGGCACAGACCATGAGACTCTGGAGTTCCATCGCACTATGAAGACCTACATATTGATATGAAGACATCCTTGAAAAACAAAACTGTTGTTATAAAATAAAATATTGTTCATTTATTGACAAGGTTTATGGGTAGAATATGTTTTGCTGATGTCAAGAAGCAAACTGAAGCCCATACTGAAAGCAATCAGTTTGGTTCTGGTATTCATCAAAATGTATTCTGAGCCTCCAGAACCCAGTCAGTAAATGTTTTGTTATACCTTTTAAGCTCAAGTCGATCTCTTAATTAAGACATTTTGGCTCTATGGTTTGATGAAATACACACTGCCTGTAAATCCAGTCTGACATAAGCCTTAATAAATAAAAATTTATTTATACTTCTTTTTTACAGACTATCAAGACAACTGGATGATTTTGCTAATACAGAGATTCCGCTTTTCTCAGATGAACAAAAAGTATGTTAAATGAAATCATCTCAGGAAATTTTATTTATTTGACGAAAATGATTTTTGCTTTTCATTAACATTGAATTTGTTTTTAGAAAGTATTGAGGAAGATAGGCATCTGCTTGGACCTGAGATGTAAAGCATTACAGGTAATTGAATATTAACAGATGAAATAAGGTTGATATAGCCCCATTGTTTGCTGTTGTTTTATTTTGTTCATTTCTTGGCAGAAAAAAAAACACTTAAAAAAAAACACAAGTACATGTATTATAACATTTTCTTAAGAAATTAATTTTTTTTTTTTGACAGACAAAATAATATAAATTTGTATTTGAAACTGAAGAAATAATCTATTATCTTCACACTTTCACACAGTGAGGCCAAGCTTAAAAAATTATTTGTTTGCAGTTGCCGACCTATAATTTTTAGTCTGGGTAGGTAGGTAGGCAATTTTTTTTTTTTTTTTTTTTTTTTTTGAAAAAAAAAAGTTTCCAGATTTTTGTTAGATAACATTAAATAGAGTTTTTCATAGGCCCACTATACATGAATAAGCTGCACTCTTGTTATAAACTTATGATTGATGAAGACAAAAATTGAATATGAAACAGTTTTAATATCCTGAAAAATTGGAGAAAAAATAATAATATTACAAAATGGCTAAAAAAAAGTTTGGGTCGGGTGCATTTTCAGTGGGCCGGTCAGCAACTGCAAACAAACAATATTTTATTTTAGGCCTGATGAAGAATTTCCCATTTAAGAACAGAAAACATTCAAATTACGTGTGTTAAATAAATGATATGTTTCATGATACACTTCTAATGTATCATGACAACAATACACCTAACCTTATCTTTGCCTGTGAAAAAGTTCATTACAGCAGACTTGTCGAAATTTTTTCATCACTGTCAGACATTTAGTCTGACAAAGTCAAATATTTTGGCGGACCAGTCAAAGTTTTGTCAGACCAGATGCTTGTACCTTATTTTGACTCTGAGAAAGTCATATGAATAACAGCACCAAAATACCCCTAATTATTTTCAATAGCCTTCAATCTAACAAGTTTCCTTTCTTGGGATAGAGAGTCTTTAACATAGACATAAATGACATGTTTTATGACTTTGTGATAACAAATTTACTTGGCTATCGTCAACATGCCGCGTATGCGGCCATTTTTAGCTCTACTGGTCAGAGACCAGAAGAGCTTATGCGATAGTAATGCGTCAGGCGTCCGTCCGTCTGTCTGTCTGTCCGTCTGTAAACAATTTTTCAAAACGCTACTCCTCCTACAATTTTAGTCTGATTTCAATATAACTTGGCACACAAGTAGACTACACTAAGATACATAGAATAGTGCATGGGTTTTTAATTTCGATGAACATTGTTGCCATGGTTACTAAAAATAAATTTTTTTTTGAAATTCCTGTAAAACGCTACTCCTTCCACAGTTTTGGTCTGATTTCAATATAACTTGACACACAAGTAGACTACACTAAGATACATAGAATAGTGCATCGGTTTTTGATTTCGGTGAACGGTGTTGCCATGGTTACTAAAAATAGAATTTTCTGTGAAATTCCTTTAAAACGCTACTCCTTCCACAGTTTTGGTCTGATTTCAGTATAACTTGGCACACTAGTAGACTACACTAAGATACATAGAATAGTGCATTGGTTTTTGATTTCGATGAACGGTGTTGCCATGGTTACTAAAAATAGAATTTTTTATGAAATTCCTTTAAAACGCTACTCCTGCTACAGTTTTGGTCTGAATTCAATATTACTTGGTACACAAGTAGGCTACACTAAGATACATAGAATAGTGCATCGGTTTTTGATTTCGATGAACGGTGTTGCCATAATTACTAAAAATAGAATTTTTTGTGAAATTCCTTAAAAAAGGCTACTCCTGCTACAGTTTTGGTCTGAATTCAATATTACTTGGTACACAAGTAGGCTACACTAAGATACATAGAATAGTGCATCGGTTTTTAATTTCGATGAACGATGTTGCCATGGTTACTAAAAAAAGAATTTTCTGTGAAATTCCTTAAAAACGCTACTCCTTCCACAGTTTTGGTCTGATTTCAATATAACTTGACACACACATAGACTACACTTAGATACATGGAATAGTGCATCGGTTTTTAATTTCGATGAACGATGTTGCCATGGTTACTAAAAATAGAATTTTCTGTGAAATTCCTTTAAAACACTACTCCTTCTACAGTTTTGGTCTGATTTTAGTATAACTTGGCACACAAGTAGACTACCCTAAGATACATAGAATAGTGCATAAGTTTCTGATTTCGATGAATGGTGTTACCATGGTTACTAAAAATAAAAATAGAATTTTCTGTGAAATTCCTTAAAAACGCTACTCTTTCTACAGTTCTAGTTTGATTTCAAAATAAGTTGGCACACAAGTAGACTACACAAAGATACATAAAATAGTGCAATGGTTTTTGATAAGTACATACCAGTAGAGCTACAGTCTCGACAGAGACTTCTGGTTTCTGTGTTTGTGACCTTTAATTACGCATCCCGATCCCGACTTTCATTAAATTTGCATTACGCTCAATTTTTTTCAAACGGTCATCTGGACCGACATTTTCTTAAATGTTATTGGTCCAGACAAATTTTTACCGGCCTTGCCGACAGGACCGACGGATTTCGACAAGACTGTTACAGACCTATAAACCATCAGTTACAAGTAATTTTATATATGCAAAATGAACAATTTATTGTTAACTTACCATAATTTTTGTTAAAACTCTAATTTTTGCATGAAATATGCACATTTATAAGCATCTGCACATGCATATACTCCCATTTTGGGGATTCCGAATGGTTTTCCTTTATCTTTATCTGTTTTGAGTGTTTGACCAAACATGAAAAATTACCTTTTTTATTTATAAACTTTTCCCCTTCGGATCCACTCTTGATAAGACAATCATGTACATAAGGGACATAGTTTTTATCTAATGATGTTGATATATTTTCAGGCACCTGGTACAGTCAATGGAATTCTATTAGATGACCTGAAGAGGATAGGAAATAGTGAGTTTACTAATAGATCAGTACATATCAATGATTTTCAGCATTGTTGACATTGTAAAGTTATATACATGTACATGTAAATTGTAGAGTATCAGTTTGTTTCATAGGGGGCTCTAAGGAATTAACCAGAAAACCTAAAATTTTGTAGACTAACTAGTCTGATGACCCTTTATTGTCCCCCAATTTCGCAAAAACGAGGGGACATTAAATCTCATTCGTCTGTCAGTCTGTCCCTATGTCTGTCTAGCTGTCCATAACAAAATCTTTAACCTTGCCCATAACTTTTGACATTGTGAAACTATGACTTTCATATTTCACATGTGTATTCCTTGTGACAAGACCCTTCTTCGGGTAACACCAAATTTGACCTTTTGACCTTGACCTTGGAGTTTGACACACTTTTACACTAAAATTTTAAACTTTTACTTTGGCCATAACTTTTGAATGGTAGATACTAGGACTTTCATATTTCACATATGTATTCTTTGTGGGAAGACCTTTCATTGGATATCAAGATCTTTGACCTTATTATCCTGACCTTGGAGATTTCCGTACTTATGAAAAAACTTTAACCTTGGCCATAACTTTTGAATGATAAGGGCTAGGGCTTTCATACTTCACATATGTAATCCTTGTGAGAAGATCTTTCATTGGATATCAAGAACTTTGACCATTTGATCTTGGAGTTTGACCTACTTTTTAAAAACTTTAACCTTGTCCATAACTTTTGAAAGGTAAGGGTTAGGGCTTTCATACTTTTCATATGTACCCGGGTAATACTTGTGACAAGACCTTTCTTAAGAAACCATCAATTTTGACCCTTTGACCTAAGAGTTTGACCTATACCTTTCAAAAACTTATCCTTAGCCATAGCTTTTGAACAGGTGGTGCTAGGGCTAGTCTTGTACAGATAATCGGAAAACATCGATTGTCGACGAAAAAATGCTACCGATTCCGATGATCGATTATAATTTTTCATAATTGATCATCAGAAACATACTTCTAATCTAATAAGGTACATTCCAGAATTATCTATTTCTAGTTTAAAATTTATTTATTTTTAATAAAAGAAAATTGGCATGTGCTTCTGATACTTGCCACTAGCACGAAGCAAAGGTGCTTAGGAACCGCGAGTAAATTTTGGTGTAGGCTCATAAAATTTATAACTTGTTCTCCCATGTGGCGAATTAAACATCTGCATGCAGGACCGTTTCAGTCCCCTTACTGAAAACAGACTCTTTCCCCATGTTTTTTGCTTTAAAACTTCCAATCAATTAAATAAATAAAAGTAACATGGTCTTATTGTTCGTAAATACCCTTCATCTAATCCATTTACCAGTACTACATGATTTGTGAAATCTTTAAAACGATCGTCTTTTTTTCTAATTTCCTCCATTCCTCTGTGTATCGATTATACATGGTAGATATCCAATTAAATTATTTCCAGTTACGCAGTCTTATGAAATGGAAGTGTTATTAGGCTTCTACTTATTCCAGATAAGTTTCAAAAATATTTAAACTAAAAAAAATTCTTATTCATGTGATGGTGTCGTTAGGAATTAATATATAGTCCAATGACCAGGAAAAGGGGATTAAGTATATAACCTTGCAAAAAGGATAGTAAAATTGTTAATTAAATTCAATTTCATTTCTAGCTATGATGCAAATTTTTTTTTACAAAGTAATTTGAACTTCAATTTTCATTTTAAACAAATGCACATTAGTGTCTTTTATATTTAATTATATCAATGCATGGACTTTAATTGAGCCAGTGATGTATTCAAAGGGTTCAAAAATCACAGAGATTGTGGCTTAACAGATTTAGCTGTAGGGTCCTATAAAGAACGAGTGCACTTATGGGCCCCGGTAAAATGTGAAAAAATAAACAATCAAGTTAAGCAAACTTTTTCATCCCAAATCTTTAATTTAAATTTAAACCGTACGATTCAACAAATTTTACCACTGAAATCCACGAATATACAAAGAACAAAACAATAGAATGTGGCAGGGGTCATCCGACATTTGTGATTTTCTATAGTAAATCAAGAACGGTCATTCATTTAAAACCTTTTGTTTACTATGAGCCTTATTTTGTACAAACTTGTGCGAATGACAAAAGACGCATAATACATTTGTAAAATTTGTGTGAAAGTAGGAAATTTGTACACGATTAAACTGTTACTTAGGATATTAGAAATGTACAAAAAGTAGTGTTTTTCCTATAGCAAGTGAGGTCTATTTACCTGTATGACCTATGTTGAACCCACGTGTGGAATAAATTATTTAAAATACTTATAGTCACGTGAGTTCTACCCAGGTAAACATTCCTCAAAGGTGCTCACTAACACCCCTACTAATGTGTTCGGAACCTTTTCTTTTTTGGTGTTCTGCAAATTATAAAACCCAATGAGTTCAAAGTAGCTCTGACAGTGGCTCTGGCGAGAGTTAGTGAGCCTTCAGTGAGATAGGGTAAATTATTCACGGAAATGTGGCTAGGAAGTGACTAGCACGGGGAGACATGGTAAACAGAAAAGTTATGTTGCATTTTAGTTTTCACCACCATATAATATCATTCTGTAGAAATATACCTCAGTAGATCTCTCTTGAATTATTTCAAGTTTAAATTATAATATTCTCTATGATACAATTTTCTGCTGTCATGGATTAAATTTCTTTTTGGACAAATATTGTGCATGGGAACCGGGACTATATTTTTTGGCGTCAGATTAGCAAAGGAGGCACCAATGTGACTTTAACTGACAAATCAGCTGAATGAGAATTGCATTATGGGTTACTACGAATACTACAGGAATTTTACGCTTTATAAATTCCTTTATCGTACCATCGGTGAATACAATTGTCAGGTAGATTCCCTGGCCAACACACATGATCACGAGCATAGTTATGTAAAAAATGTTTTGTCCATTAATAAATGCATACGAGAAGCTGCTTGTTTTCCTTACCCTTGAAGTGCAGGTATTCTGAACTTGACACTAACTACGTATACATTTTATGAAACATATCTTTCTCTAGTTACATAATGTAACAACAAATTAAAAACGCCCGTGAGCCCCTTGATATCTTTCATAGCTTTTAATGTTTGTATTTTGTTCATTAGAACATTCTTTTTTATTTTGCACTCCATTGACATGTTCACAGATTGACCTGAACCACGTGTTCGAAGTAAACATGTAAACATGTATTTGGCGTAAACGTATTCAATCAACAATTGGTCAATTGCTCGTGGTGAGATGCTCTGTGCGCATTAATAGCAACAGCCATATAAGGCAAACAAAGGTTTGTCAGTGTAGATGATAATTATACATTTTGTTTTACCAGCGTATCGGTCGCTATTGAGCTGTAATTTTTGCATTAATCTATGATAAGGTGTTATTAATTTTTGTTTACACCCCCACCCCTTTTAGCCTCCCATTTCTGTTGAAAATCATGAAAGTCTCAGAAAGTTCTGGAAACACATTTTTCACAGGACATGTTTTCAGAAAAAACAGACTATAGCAATTTCCTGTTTACTGCCAATTTTATTCATAAAACCGGTTTTACCCTATAACCTTTGAATAGGTAAACCTAACCCACGTGTCTTGAATTTAAATCACAATAACATAAGTAGGGGTGTATATATATTTACCCCGCTTCAGACAAATTTGTCGATTACTGATTGGATAAAAGCTAATCACAATTTTCCGTATTACTTCTCCGTCAAGGCGTAATATGAAAATCGGGCATGCAACTCCGTTCGATGCGTTGTTATTGAAAATAAAAATGGTGGCTAAGAAACGGTTTACGTAGGTAGTTTTGTGAAATTTCTTGTTACCGTAACGATATTTTATGTTGATTGTCATTGGATTAAAACTTAATATTTTCATAATATGCACAAATATTTTTTTTTTATATTGAAAAAGGTCTTCAGCGGGATAAATTCATAACACAGTCATTTAGTGACCTAATACGGATTCATACAGGGTCTGAAATGGAAATCCGTATTGGGACTCGGCTTCATCTCGCCCAATACGGATTTCCATTTCAGACCCTGTATGAATCCGTATTAGGTCACTAACTGACTGTGTAACTAATAATATGTATATGTTTTTAAGAATACGGGAGGGTAAGGAGAGTTTACATGTAGTATCATTCAAAAAAAGTCTCAAACATTTTTAATATTCATGGAAGACTATGAAACAGGTATTGAAATATTGAAAGCCACCTAAACACTCCTTTTTTAATTTCAAATTCAATGAAACTACTATTGTATTTTTTTTTTAAATGCAAGGGTACTAATTTCTTAGTTTGATCATTATGGCTACAGTTTCACACAATTTCATTCAATTTTTTAAAACAGATTTGATGCAAAAAGTAACATTCATTCTGCACTTCCGACTTTGATCCGCCATCAGATTGTTCGAGTGTCGATTTAAATATCTATTCTCCTTGATTTACATAAACGAAAGTCAAAGAAGGTTCGGTACGACTTTTCCGGATTTAGGGTATCCATGGGCATTTAAAAATATTTAATTGTTTCAAATCCATGCTGATTTAGGTGATGCTTAACATGCTTTTTAATTAGAAATATCCACTAGTATCTAACTATTACCAAAAGAGAACAATTTGGTCATATATTTTAAAGTAAATGGCACATAAAAAGGCCCATTAAGCATTGCTTAAGTGCACTTATCCTTTAAACTTAGGAGCCCACATGGCTAGTGGAAATTTTAGTTAAGTTTGAACCATGCATGTATGTAGAAAGTGTGAAATAAGCAAAACAACAAAGAAAACAATAAATTTCATATTTTATATATTCATGCTAAAGAAATGATATGAAATAATTGAACAGTCTTCTTTTTATATACCAAACTATGACATCTGATTATAATCGGTAAAATCGCATCGGAAGCAGTAACCGATTCCAACCGATGATCAATTGTGAAAATTAACCGATGTCCCATCGCTAGCTAGGGCTTTCATATTTTACAATCGTATTTCTTGTGAGAAAATCCTACTTTGGGTATCGATTATTTAATTTGCATTTAAGAAAAGTTTAATCTTCACTATGTTGACATATGGGGTCATCACTGTTCTACAAACACGTCTTGTACCTTATAACTTTTGATTGAGAAGAGAAAGGGCTTTCATATTTGACATGTGCTTTACCTGTGACAAGATATATCCAAGCATGCTATGATTTCTGACCCCTTGACCTTCTTGATTGACCTTTATAAAAAATTCAACTTCGGTGATAATTTCTACATGACATATGATAGGGAGTTTATATTTGACACAATATGTCATAAAAATGACATCTCACTCACAAAGACACCGAAAGCAGGGTCCTACACAATTCTTCGAATTTGCTTGTGGTTATTGCTTTAAATTACTTCATTGGAATGTTTAAAATATGCAACAACAATTCAATTTAAAAATAACATATTCTGAAAGAATCTAGAGCATTCTATACCAGTTTTTGTTCTGTATAATGGAACATTGCAATCAATAAATTGTCATTTAAATTTTAAATACAATTGTAATTTTTTTTAACTACAATATATAAAAATCATTATTATAGCATTGGACAGCATTTTAAAGCAGAGATGTCGAGACTTCCCTGTAGATGTAACAGCAGCACAACTCCAGGCCCGAACACTTCCCAGCTCACAGAACAGGTAAATACTCCAGGCCCGAACACTACCCAGCTCACAGAACAGGTAAATACTCCAGGCCCAAACACTACCCAGCTCACAGAACAGGTAAATATTCCAGACACAACACTACCCAGCTCACCGAACAGGTAAATACTCCATACACAACACTTCCCAGCTCACAGAACAGGTAAATACTCCAGACACAACCATTCCCTGCTCCCAGAACAGGTAAATACTCCAGGCCCGAACACTACCCAGCTCACAGAACAGGTAAATATTCCAGACACAACACTACCCAGCTCACCGAACAGGTATATACTCCAAACACAACCATTCCCAGCTCACAGAACAGGTAAACACTCCAAACACAACCATTCCCAGCTCACAGAACAGGTAAACACTCCAAACACAACATTCCCAGCTCACAGAACAGGTAAACACTCCAAACACAACCATTCCCAGCTCAAAGGAGGGGTAAACACAGGTAAATACTCCAAACACAACCATTCCCTGCTCAAAGAACAGGTAAACACTCCAAACACAACCATTCCCAGCTCACAGAACAGGTAAACACTCCATACATAACCATTCCCAGCTCACAGAACAGGTAAACACTCCAAACACAACCATTCCCAGCTCACAGAACAGGTAAACACTCCATTCATAACTATTTCTAGCTCACAGAACAGGTAAACACTCTAAACACAACCATTCCCAGCTCACAGAACAGGTAAACACTCCAAACACAACCATTCCCAGCTCAAAGAACAGGTAAACACTCCAAACACAACCATTCCCAGCTCAAAGAACAAATAAACACAGGTAAACACTCCAAACACAACCATTCTCAGCTCAAATAACGGGTAAACACAGGTAAATACTCCAAACACAACCATTCCCTGCTCGAAGAACAGGTAAACACTCCAAACACAATCATTCCCAGCTCACAGAACAGGTAAACACTCCAAACACAACCATTTCCAGCTCAAAGAACAGGTAAACACTCCAAACACAACCATTCCCCGCTCACAGAACAGGTAAACACTCCAAACACAACCATTCCCAGCTCATAGAACAGGTAAACACTCCAGACATAACCATTCCCAGCTTACAGAATAGGAAAACACTCCAAACACAACCATTCCCAGCTCACAGAACAGGTAAACACTCCATTCATAACCATTTCTAGCTCACAGAACAGGTAAACACTCCAAACACAACCATTCCCAGCTCACAGAACAGGTAAACACTCCAAACACAACCATTCCCAGCTCAAACAACAAATAAACACAGGTAAACACTCCAAACACAACCATTCTCAGCTCACAGAACAGGTAAACACTCCAAACATAACAATTTCTAGCTCAGAGAACAGGTAAACACTCCATACACAACCATTCCCAGCTCACAGAACAGGTATACACTCCAAACACAACCATTCCCAGCTCACAGAACAGGTAAACACTCCAAACACAACCATTCCCAGCTCAAACAACAAATAAACACAGGTAAACACTCCAAACACAACCATTCTCAGCTCACAGAACAGGTAAACACTCCAAACATAACAATTTCTAGCTCAGAGAACAGGTAAACACTCCATACACAACCATTCCCAGCTCACAGAACAGGTATACACTCCAAACACAACCATTCCCAGCTCACAGAACAGGTAAACACTCCAAACACAACCATTCCCAGCTCAAAGAACAAATAAACACAAGTAAACACTCCTAACACAACCATTCTCAGCTCACAGAACAGGTAAACACTCCAAACATAACCATTTCTAGCTCACAGAACAGGTAAACACTCCAAACACAACCATTCCCAGCTCACAGAACAGGTAAACACTCCAAACACAACCATTCTACTAAGCAATTCTTCATCAAATCAAATCCCTATGAGCCCATAGTTTTTCTTCAAACCACACACATTTTGACCCTATGAAAATATGTGATTTTTATACGCCCGTCTTAAGACGGGACGTATTATGTTATAGGCTTCGTGTCATCCGTCTGTCCGTCTGTCTGTTAGCTTTTTCGTTTCCGGCTCATAACTTTAATACTATTAGTCCTAGGATTATCAAACTTTGTCATCTGATGCATCTTGGGTAGAAGGTGTGTTGTGCACAAAAAGTAGGTCACTCTGACCTTTTATTAAGAAGTTATATGGAAAAATCCTTTCCGGCCCATAACTAGAAAACTATAAGACTTGCAATCATCAAACTTGACCAGTTTATGCATCTTTGGTAGAAGGTGTGTCGCGACCTTTTTCAAGGTCTCTGTGACCTTTAATTTAAGTGAAATTTAAAAAAAAAAATGTGTCTTATTACTATTCATTTAAGTATCCCAAATAATGTAAGAGTATTGCACTGTCCTTATTAAAAAAGTGTTAAATCAAGAAAATACAGTGGACCTTCAGATATCCGGACGCCAGATATCCGGATGCTTCAGTATCCGGACGATTTTTCATCGGAACGAAATTTTAAAATGTTATTCTGTCTTGTTTAACTGGTGATTCAGATATCCGGATGCTTCACATATCCGGACAAATTGACTGGGAACCAAAGCGTCCGGATAAATGAGGGTCCACTGTACATGTACTTATTTTTTTAAGCATATACTTGACAGCAATCTATAACAAATATAATGTATGTTAGAGAAATCCTACCTCTCCCTTGAGTGTAATTATCAAGCACTGGCCAAGAAGAATTTTGATAACAGAAATTTGCATGTCAAATTAGAGAGAAATTAATGAGTTTTGAGTGTGAGGATCTAACTGATAGAGCATCGGTGTTATCTATATCCCTTGGGTATTGGGCAGATGGGTAAGCCTGTTGGATTAAAAATAGCTCTTGTTGGCTAGCCTAAGTTTTAAAATTTGATGAAAAGTAATTAAAACTAATTTGATATTGCATAATAGACTAATCTGATTTTATATAATATTATTAATTTAAAAACTAATTTTATGGGGGTGGGGGTGGAATCAGCATGTCCATATGAATTACATATTAAAACCTGTCGGACATTAAATCTCAACCAAAAAAAATCTGAGAATATTTTATATGTTTAAAAAAAAATTATGGTAGATAGTGCAGACCCATTCATCTCTTGGTAGTAATGAGTAGACAAGCATCCAGTTAAAGATTAATTAATGAGTTCAATGTAGGAAGGCCAGCTGTCTCAATCACTCGGATCAAGCAGTCTTATCTGTATCCTTTGGGGGTTAGACAGAAGAAGTGCTGGTCAGTTTATAGTAGGGATGTCAAAATTGTCAATAATTGATATTCGAATATTCGATAGGAGTATTCGAATATATTCGAATATTCGATAAAATAAATACATCTTGCATTATTAAATATATATCTTCACTCTCCTGTCAAACAGTATAGGTTTTATGCCATTATTTTGGAATAAAAACTCATGTAGAGTTCAAAATATGCACTACAATTATGTATTTTTTTAAAATCATTGAATAGTATACATCCAAAATGTAATGATTGTTGTTTTGTTTTTTTTGAAAATTCAAAAGATTCTTTAGTATGTTCCAGATTAATTGATCGTCTTACTAAAGTCTGCACTGATAACTCCTACAAATTTATACCAGGCAGAACAATTATCTAATGGTGAAATATTAAAAGCAATTACTTTTTGAAAATAATAATTTCCTGATTATGATTTTTAATGATATTTAGATTAACAAGAAGTCTGTGTGTTTACTGTAAAACTGGGTCCTTACAACAATACAAAGTTGATTGTTAATACTGGACACTATTATACCACTAATTAAGTAAACAAATAAATAAATTACTCTTAGATACACACTTCACACCTTTAAGGTAATCCAAAAGGAGTGTTTTTTTTCTTTCTACAAACTTGATTCAATTTCTAATAAAACTTTCCAGTTTTTTCTCTCTTTTTAATGCTTGTATACTTAAAAACGAATATTCGAATTATAAATTTATATTCGAATATCAACTCATCGAATGAATATTCGAATATTCGAATATTCGTTGACATCCCTAGTTTATAGCATATGTCATTTGGTGGCCAGCCTTTTCTTTTCGAAATTAATTTGGTATAGATTAAGGTGTTAAGACTAATTTGATATTGTTTAGTATGATGGACATTTGACAAGGTCTAACACAACCAGCATAGAAAAATTCAAATCTATCAGTGATGTAATATTTATTATAATTAATGCCTACATCACAGGGAATGGATAAATATTTGAAGTCTGGAATGGAAAAATCTTGGAAATCTTAGAATCAAGGTTGATGTGATTTTCTTGCATGGCTAAACTGTTCAAGAAAATTGTATTTTTTTGATGGGCGTATCATGCTGTGGTGCGGCACTTTATTCAGTATAAAGAAATCATCTTGTTTTTTGTCCGTGCAATCTTGTTTGGGCTCTAACTTTGTAATGGAGTATTATTGGAAGCTCATACTTGGTATGTTTATGGATATCCAATAACCCAGGGGAGTGAAATGAACTTGACCCAAAATCATTTTAGCAAGTTCAAGTCACTGTCAGAAAAAAGTTTTCCAAAATTCTGAGCCATCTCTAAAAGAAAACCTTTGGAAACTCACACTATGTACAGAGATTGAAAAAGCCAAAACATCGGAATTATATCTCTTTGATTAATACAGAATCATTGGAAGCTCTTACTTAGCACAGAGTGTGTCTTGTTCTTGATTGAATGTCATTCCAACAAGTTCAAGGTCACTGACAGGAAGATTATAGAATTCTTGTCCAGGCTATAACTTTGTAATGGAAAATCTTCAGAAGCACATTCTTAGTACGAAAATTGTTATGACCTGAAAGTTTGTCATGATTTTCACCAAAGGTCATGTGTAAAGTTCATGGCAAGTCTAGATTTTTTTATGGAGAAACATTTGATGTCCCCACATTTAACTTAAAGATAACTTATCACCAGAAGAGGTGTCATTTTTGTTCTAACAAAGGTATTTTAGGCAAGGTTCAAAGTCGCACTTAAAATTGAATTGAACATTTTTTTTTTTTTTGATGGGGATTTCATTTCATGACTTTGTTCACAGTACATCTTAGATTATTTTAGGGTGTGAATTTGTTGTTGCAATTAAAGTTGATAAATGATGTAAATGATTTTTGTATTTATTTCAGAGTTCAAGAAAGTGATGAAGTGGATGATGATAAACAGGGATCCAGAGGTAGGAGCTTTATTGACTCCCAGACTAAGTACAGTGATCTAGAGGTAGGGCTTTATTGACTAAGAGACTAAGTACAGTGATCTAGCGGTAGGGCTTTATTGACTCCCAGACTAAGTACAGGGATCTAGAGGTAGGGCTTTATTGACTCCCAGACTAAGTACAGGGATCTAGAGGTAGGGCTTTATAAATTCCCAGACTAAGTACAGTGATCTAGAGGTAGGGCTTTATAAATTCCCACACTAAGTACAGTGATCTAGAGGTAGGGCAATTGACTCCCAGACTAAGTACAGGGATCTAGATAGGGCTTTATTGACTCCCAGACTAAGTATATGATCTACAGGTAGGGCTTTATAATTCCCAGACTAAGTACAGTGATCTAGAGGTTATTTATTGACTCCCAGAATAAGTACAGGGATCTAGAGGTAGGGCTTTATTGACTCCCAGACGAAGTACAGGGATCTAGAGGTAGGGCTTTATAAATTCCCAGACTAAGTACAGTGATCTAGAGGTAGGGCTTTATAAATTCCCAGACTAAGTACAGTGATCTAGAGGTAGGGCTTTATTGACTCCCAGACTAAGTACAGTGATCTAGAGGTAGGGCTTTATAAATTCCCAGACTAAGTACAGTGATCTAGAGGTAGGGCTTTATAAATTCCCAGACTAAGTACAGGGATCTAGAGGTAGGATTCCCAGACTAAAACAGTGATCTAGAGGGCTTTATAAATTCCCAGACTAAGTACAGTGATCTAGAGGTAGGGCTTTATAAATTCCCAGACTAAGTACAGTGATCTAGAGGTAGGGCTTTATAAATTCCCAGACTAAGTACAGTGATCTAGAGGTAGGGCTTTATAAATTCCCAGACTAAGTACAGTGATCTAGAGGTAGGGCTTTATTGACTCCCAGACTAAGTACAGGGATCTAGAGGTAGGGCTTTATAAATTCCCAGACTATTAAAGTACAGTGATCTAGAGGTAGGGCTTTATTGACTCCCAGACTAAGTACAGTGATCTAGAGGTAGGGCTTTATTGACTCCCAGACTAAGTACAGGGATCTAGAGGTAGGGCTTTATTGACTCCCAGACTATGTACAGGGATCTAGAGGTAGGGCTTTATTGACTCCCAGACTATGTACAGGGATCTAGAGGTAGGGCTTTATTGACTCCCAGACTGGTATAAATCTAGAGGTAGGGCTTTATTACTCCCAGACTAAAAACAGTGATCTAGAGGTAGGGCTTTAATGACTCCCAGACTAAGTACATGATCTAGAGGTATATTTTATAAATTCCCAGACTAAGTACAGTGATCAAGAGGTAGGGCTTTATTGACTCCCAGACTAAGTACAGGGATCTAGAGGTAGGGCTTTATTGACTCCCAGACTAAGTACAGTGATCTAGAGGTAGGGCTTTATTGACTCCCAGACTAAGTACAGGGATCTAGAGGTAGGGCTTTATTGACTCCCAGAATAAGTACAGTGATCTAGAGGTAGGGCTTTATTGACTCCAAGACTATTTACAAGTCTTTTCTTCTACTCTATGGCTGAAGTTTTCTATCTCAAAAGCATTTTTAATTTTATTGAAATGCAGAATATATTCTTTGAATTGTTAATAAATTTTCCTTTGAATAAAAACTTCATGTATACAGGGAAATTTAACCTCCATTTTATTTTTGCCCCTTTCGCCCTTACCTTGGTTGGGCGAATTTAAAACGGGACGAATTCAAAGAATACAGTATAATTTCTTAAACGGAACTGTGATTAGGCAAATTTAAGATGGGGCAAAATTGTTTACAAGTGTGAAAAGGCTAAAACAAAGCATGGCGAAAATAACCCTGTATACAGTATATGAAGTTAACTTATATATAGATTTTACAAGATGAAGAAATCACAATTTTGGGTTATTTCATATTGTTCAAATTATGACCTCAGATTTAGGATAAAATCATATTAAATCAAAGGGAAATTTTTAAAGGAAAAATCTTTAAAAAAAGTTTTTCAAGAAGAACAAAGACAGAATATTAGCTTTAGATCAAAACTCTTAATTTTTGGATTATATCTGTTGAAATCATACCACATAAATCATGTGCCGTATTGATCCTTGTATATGTTAAGAGATGTTTACATGAATTTTATATATACATTTACATAAAATCTAATAAGAATTCGTTTGGTTTGTTTATCTTAGCAAAAGGAAGCTTGCTGCCCAGACCTCTAGCATACAGTGGTATGAGAGTACTGACAGTTAAAATAGAGAGAATTGGACTAAAAGATGCCACTCAGTACATAGAACCTTATATAACTGTGTCAGTGAGAGGTGAGCTACATACACAAAGCACTAGATATAAAGCACATGTTAATCCATAGTATCTATATACAGCAAGTGATATGACACAAATTAAATATGTGTCATTTCTACGTGATGAAAGATTATCCTTGTAGAGCCATTTGGATTTGAGTTTGGTCAAGTTTTGTGTATGTTTTTTAAAATATACATGTATATACACTTAGAGCACTGTTTATATGCACATGTTTATGATGATGATTTGCAGATGCAACAGGGACAGAGCTTACAGCTGCCCAGGATACACCAGTAGCCACCAAGAAAGAGAGCAAGTGTATTGTGTTTAATGAAGAGGTGCACATTCAGAAGTCTATAGAGAGTCTCCCCAATGGTAAGTGTAGAGATAGACATTCTAAATTTAAAAATCATCAGCCCCAGACCTCAAGAGGATCCACAGTGCAGGGCAATTGTTCATGTTCATTGTTTTTTAACAGTTTGTTCCAAAAAATACCTGCCTCAGTTGTTTCTGCAATTTTTTGCACAAATGTTGCCATTAACATTTTCATGAGTAAATTTTCCTATTAAACTGAAAATGCTTTTGATAAAATGTAGTTTATCTATATTAGAAATGTGAAATTTTAGAAATCCTTGTTTTCCTATTTTCAAAATCTAAATCATAGATTTTCCAAGTCATTTCAACTAGCACCTGTAAGACTGTGCCAGGGGGCTGCTTATCTTCCAGATTCATCCTGTTAAAACCCAAATTTATACAAAAATAAGAATGACCATTTCCCCATATTTATTTTGAAAATCTAGCTTTCAGATTTAGGCATCTCAAATATCATATTGATACAAGTCATTTGCCTTGTTATAGGAAACATTCATTGAGGTGAGGAGTTACTAGTATCTTATTTTTATAATTTCATCATGTTCATGGTACATGTATATTAGTACAGGTATTTAGCAATGTTTTCAACACACAATGCTTAGGTGTAATTTTAAGTACCAGTGTATGGATGAATTTTGAAAAGTTTAGCTCCATTCTTAGAGGTTGAGGTTTTTATTTATGATATTTTGGGTATCATTTTCTTTTTCCTTATTTCTTTATATTCTCTTTTAATGCAAAAATTGGTACCAAAATTCAAAAGAAACTTTTTAATGAGTTTTCTCATTTTAGTGAGATTTAAAGTTTTTGAACATTAAAGTGTACTTATTTCTTAGTGAGTCCTAATTTAGAGAATTGTCCAGAAAAATCCATATATAATTTTAACAAGGGTTTAAATTTAACTATATAAGGATGCATGTTCCTAGAAATTTAATGCTTAGGCCATCCTTAAAAAAATTTTTTTTTGCGGTAACGCGCCTCATCATTTAAGGTGTGGGTAGGTAGGTAGGCTTATTTTTTTTTTTTTTTTGGAGACAAAAAGTCAGAATTAAATTTCGATTAGATAGAGGTATTAACTATGTCTTAGATTTCACTTTAAGTTACTAATCAAACAAGAAAATTAAGGCATTCTTAATGAATCCAATCTTTTATTGTTCAAATATCAGAACACATCAGTTCTTTTTTAAAAAACAGCGTCTACAGGTGCAATGGGGACGTAAAAAAATGTCAATAGGATAAAATTAGAAAATGGATCTGTAAAAAAAAAAAAAAAATTTTTTTGAACCCATAAAAAAAATCCAGTAGGGTGGATTTTGGTGAGTCGGTCGCGTTACCGCAAAAAAACAATTTTTTAAGGATGGCCTTACAGGAATTGTTAGGGATATTCAATTTTAGCAACCTCCACTTTCTCACGAGTTGAACTTGAATTGAGTCAGCAGTATTACCCGGTACATGTAATTTTTTTTAAACAAAAAGTTTTTTTTATTGATAATGTTGATACTTATATAATCAAATTTGTCTCATTCCTTTTTTATAGGGTTTTCAATATTTTTTGAGTTCAAGCATTTTAAACCAAAGAAAAACATGATCAGCACAAAGTGTTGGGCCTTCATGGAGAGGGATGAAGTCAAAGAGGGACCAGTAGCATTAGAACTGTAAGTAATTAATGTACAACACTCAAAAAAGTATTGTGTTAACTTTATAATACCATGTCTTTTTTATATATCTTTTTTGTTAAAAGCATTACAGTTTGATATGTTGAAATTCAGTCATTTTGCATGTAATAAGTAGCTTTTCATGTTTATAATGTCCCCCTTGGAAGAAGGGAAGGCATGTTGCATTGCTTTTTTCTGTCTGTCGGTCCTGCAACAGTTTCCATTCATTTTCTTTGCAAAGGTTGCACACATAAAAATGAAATTTAGCATGCAGATTAAAGTATGATCAAATAATGTTTGACAAAGTGATGCCCCTTTGACTAAGAAAAATTCCAATTATTTGCAGTTTCTGTTCATTTTCTTTGCAGAAGTTGTAAATAGTGAAATGAAATTTGGTATACAGCTTTATCATAAGAATATCAGGTATATTTTATTTTGGGTACAATCGAGCATTTTTGACAGAATTATGTCCCTTGGGCTTAGGAAAACTTTCATTTATTTGCAGTTTCCATTCATTTTCTTTGCATGTACCGTATCTGGTTTTTTTTCGCGGTGATCTATTTTTTGCATTTTTTGTGACCATTTTTAAGTCACAAAATATAAAACACACAGAAATAATGTCAGCTATAATGTGACAATACCATTTTAAGCAAAAAAATCTTCAATCATAAAAATAACTTGCGCAAAATAAAAACTGTACTATTAATCTACCCCATATTCGCAAAATTTCTAACACGCGAAAAAAAACAGATATACGGTATGTCCAAGGGACTGGGGGTGGAGGCATAAGTGTTTCACAAACATCTTTTGTTTGAAATGCCTGATATCACTTTTGGGATTTCCTTTCTAACAGATACCAGAAACCAGCAGATTACAAAAGGAAAAACATCAAGCTGTTAACCGTGAAACCATTGTATCTCCATTTGAAAATTATTTTTAACACATAATGGACAGAAGTCATATACTGGAAGTATCTTGACTTTTAAAAAGGAACATTAAAATTGTGAACTGAAGTTAGACATTATGAATAGTGTTTTAGTAAACACAGGAAGTTATGCTTTGTAAATCATTTTGTTATGAATCAGTACATGTGAGGCTTGTAGACACCATGAAGATTGATTATAGGCCTCCTAATCAGTGTCTTGTCTTATATAACTTGCCTCCTGTATTGACCTGTGCTAATATTTTAATAGAGCTTAAGGAAGTCAATAACATGTGCTAAAATACTCTTGACTTAATTTTCGAGAAAAAAAAATCAATCTAAATTATTAAAAACTTACCAACAATATTTCCTATATATCAGTTTCCAGGAGGTAGTAAAAAAGGACTATGTCAGCAAAAATGACTTTTTTTTTATAAGTGTGCCTTAATCATTAACAAGAAGTTTTCTGAAATAATTACTATTAATTATTTTCATCCTATATTTTACAAATACATGTATTTACTGAAACTTTCTGTATTTTAATAGTTTTATTTATCATTTTAAAAAATATACACTATGTCTTAACATTCCATATATGTCAGCCAAATCCGAAATATAATCCTCACACTAACATTTCTGTTTTGTTAGTCCCTTGACCACTCTAAATGATAAACTAGTGGTTATAGAGGCTTTGTCTTCACTTTGTTTGTCTGTGGTTATTCCAGTTTTCTAAACTTCCAAACAGAATTCTTTAAGGGTGAACGTTGTTACATGTACCATGCATAATGCCGAGTCTCATGTTATAATGCAAGCATGCTTTATTGCAAAGTTCCAGTTCTAAAATACAAGTCAAGTACTGTATTGGTTGTGAGAAATTATTACAGATCAGTATACAGTAGTGAAATATTTTACTACTGAATGTATTATATATGCTGCACATCTCAAATATTCTGGTTATCCAATAGCAGCTGTTGTTAACTGATATCCGTCCAATGTGTTCAGTTCGTCAGAATGAAATGTCTTAATATTGTTTAGTTTTGAGGTGCTTTTTTGACCAAATGAATTGTTTGAGATGGAAGGAATCTAGCTTTTATTTTATTTTTGTTATGATCGTTCCAATGCACTTTGTTATTGCACAGAACGTTGATCATTGTTTTAATAATCTTGGATTAGGTGAGCTGGAAGATGATTTTAAATAAACATTTATTTTTTTTTGTTTTAAAGCATATTTATTAATAAGTAAATGTTTGTATTTATCTCCTAAAGAACACCCTTAAAATCGGATGTCAATTTTCTTTCAGTCATAAACTTTTGAACATTTTGAATTTCACAAAAAGATTGTGAATTATTAAGTATATGGTCCTCATTCCCAAAGCCCAAATCATTTGGCCATATCCTCCAAAATTGTTACATTCTTTAATTTATGTTCTCATGATTTCATTGGGAAGTGAGCCTTTAATTACTATTGTTGGGAAAGAAATATGTTCACAAGTCCAAAATTTAATTTCTAGGATTCAGATGTTAAAAATGTATAACATCTTGTACATTTACTGCTTAATGTGAAACGTTGTGGAAAATCAGTGGAAAGACAGTAAAAAGGTATCAGTTTGATTCTGAAATTATGTCTATAATTTAATTCAAGATACTAGACAAATGTGTGGTTTTGCATAATATGAAATGTCTATATGTAAAAATACATGCATTTTCATATACATGTTCAAGTAAACCATTTACATGTTGTGTACTGTGAAATATGTGATTTACAGTACTGGTATATATTTTTCTTGATTTGTGATCAAGCAGCTTACCTGTTTTAAAAAAATTGCAAAAATTGAATTTGCAAAAAACGTGAATGCCATGCACTTTTCATTTATTGAGGAAAACAAGTCATTCAAATTCAAATAATATGCTGTAAAGCAACTAATTACCATATGTTGAAAAATTCAGATTGAAATAAAAGTATCAATAGCATTGATTTATGTTGAAGTCATAAAGAGTATTTTAGATAATTTCAAGAAAGCTAACCAAGAAATTTCAAAAGATTTTGAATTATGGAAATATGTTGGCAAGAATATATGTTTGTGTATTTTTTTCTTTTCTGTCAGTGTATCTTTAGTGATTAAAACATTTTATTTTACATATATTGTCTTGATATAATATTTGATACATGCATATAATATTTGATATATTATATTTTCTTAAATCTTAACAGTAACTCCCTTTTTTACCATGTATTTTATTAAAGAGGATATAAAAACTGTTCAGGATTTGTTATGGTCACTCCATACATGTATTTCTGAGATACATGCATTTCAAATATTTTTATCTATAATAAGGTAACATACATGTAGATGATCTGTGCTAGCTGCAGATCTGTAGCTCTCCTAAAAAATATATTGATAGACCGGAGAGCTACAGTGCCACCCATTGAAAAAACTGTATATTTATTGCGCACAAAAAAGTGCGCTCGGTTCTTGATTAATTCTTCCAAATTCTTACCTCAATTGCAAAAAAGGGAAGATTTCAAAAAATTCCTTTCTCCTCTATCAAGTATTCTCGCAGTTGACCTCTGAACAAAGCATATTGGACTGAATTAACTTTGGAACCAAAATGGCAGTGTTAATAAGCGAAATATTCTATGATTACAATATCAGGGTCATGAGGACTACCGGTATTAACAATAATTATGTGGAATGTTTGGTCGTGGAGACAGTGAAAGAATATGTTAGGAACATAGGGTTAGTTATATTTTGAGATTACAGTTTTAAAAACATGGAGAAATAAATCGAGAACGGAGCACACATTTTTGTGTGCAATAAATATAGTTTTTTCAATGGGTGGCACTGTAGCTCTCCAGTCTACATGTATCTATATATATTTTTTTTCAGAGAGCTACTGTAACAGATCTGCAGCTAAATTTGTGCTAGAATTCTTTAATTTAAACCATTTTGTATGGTTAATAGAAACAAGAGTCTCAGAGGCCTTGAATCATTCTTCATATAATTACTAGTATACAATTTATCAATTCTAACTGAAGCCTCTAAATATCCTTCATATTAAGAAAGTGTTGCCTGTGTGGTGCCATGGTAAGAGTGTCTACTTCTACATGTAGGTAAGGAGTTGATCCGATCCTTACAACGCAGGTTTGAATCCTACTGTGGGACGTGGAAAAAGGTCCCTTGGATAAGACTGTATAAACCGAGGTCCCTTGTCGCAGTAGGTACTGGTATGAAAATTTAGATCCCTCACTGCTGAATGGGCCGCATGCCAAGCATAGGTCAATATTTGCAGCTCTCCACCAGCAAGTGATGATGTCTCCATATGAGTGAATATTCTTGACAGGGACATTAAACAAAACAAGTAAGAGGCCCAGGGGCCACATCGCTCACCTGAGAAACTGGCTAAGTAAAAGCAAATATCAGTTCAGTATTGAAAAGTTCACATATAAAAGTGGAAGGGGGGTGGTATTTGAACAAACTTAAATCTACACTTCCTTTGGATGCCTTTGATTGAATAAGACACGTAATGGCTTTGCTGTTTATCAGATGAAAATATTTATTGATATAGCCTTTATTTTCCTTTGTAATGATCCACTTTAATGGCTCCTCTATTCTTCTGATTGGTCATGATTTGAACAAATTTAAATATTCATTACCTTTTTTGATGCTTTTATATTCATTATCAATCACAGCTTTGTTGTTCTTGTGGAAAATTTAAACAATTGTTCTTGTGGAAAATTTAAACAATTTTTCCTACATGAAACCTTGAGTACCCATTGTGGCCCACCTCTACCCCTAGTTCATGATTTGAACAAACTTGAATCTACACTACACAAGGATGCTTCCATATATCTATGACGGTCTAAAGTTTGCTGTTCAAGAGAAAAAGATTCTTAGAGATTTTTCCTATGTATTCCTACTTAATCACCCATAATAGCCCCACCCTTGCCCTAGGGGTCATGATTTTGTCGCAGGTCTCCCAATCTCAGGGAATAATAATAATTCAACACAGTTCCTCAATAAAGGTTCATATATTTATTAGCTGACAATTACGATGATGAAGTATAAACGAACAAACGAATGAAGGTGACCTGCAATGAGAATGACACACTCTTACAAATTCACACACACTGATATTTATTTAATTAGAATAGTTTAAAATCAGTATTAATATTAAATTATTCTTACCAGTCACATCAATTAAGGCACTAAGATTCCGTAAGGAATATCTTAGACAAACTGCTCACGTGGATTTCTCGCAGGAGAACATCCAAACTATCGTCAATGTATCGTCAAGATTAAAAAGGAATAGTCCGTGCATAAGTATATATACCAGGACTCACACATGCGTACATAACTACCACACCCCATACATACTGGTTTTACAACTCACATCCAGGATAATAATAAACCACAAGACAATCACGTGACAACCAAACACTCACGTGACACGGAACACCGGACAAACCAGAATACAATACAAACACGATGACAATGAATGACCAGGTATGAATGAATGAATGAAAGGAATTTACTACAGCTATCTTATTTACTACATAAATACCTAGGCTAGCTGTACTAATCTTAAATGAACTAAATATTCTAAATAAAATAAAAACAAGTAATTGTCACCCTGTGACATTCTCCCCCTCTTTAATAAAATGTCTCCTGACATTTCTTAAAGAGAATACTCTACTACTAAACTTATCTACACTAACTTAAGTCTTATCAAAACTAAGTAACTATCAAATAATAAGACTTAATGACTAATCATAAAATTATGAACTACAATATACTCCACACGATAATTAAGTAAGTCATTGTAAGTGAAATCTTAAGTTAAATCATAGTAGTTCTATTCAAGATGAAATAAAAACATAACATAAAAACAACACATTAAATCCATATACACACATCCTGATTACCTGTGACGTTCTCCCTATTTATACATACCACATCTTGTGTCTCTATGGGAGATACCCAGGAACCATACCTATCTGGTACTTTCTTGGTTCTGGCAGACCTGCGGGGCTCTGCTACTACATTAGCTGGAATAGATGGTTCCATGTGGGTTAACTTTATACTTTCGCTTGTTGAAGTCTCCCTAGTTGATGGCTCTGTGCGGTTCAGTGTTGTATTTTCTCTAGTTGATGCTTCTCTATTTAATAGTGACTTGGATGACCTTGACCTATCTGAAACACTAGATATATACTGTTTAGGTTTGACTCTTTTATGCCTTACCAAAACTTCCTCATCCTCAGATTCGGACTCTGTCTCTGATTCTGCAACTTCCTGGTCTGGTACTGCGTTCGGGACCCTGTTATCTGAATGTTGATCTAAATTCGAAGATTTTGTAATGCACATAAAAGGTAATAAAAGATTCCTATGTAATGTTCTAATTTTTCCTGATATCTCATTTTTGACTCTATAGACTGGGATGTTTGAAACAGGCTGTTCTATTACCATGTAGGGATCTCTCTCCCACTTATCAGCTAATTTTGATCTACCAGAAAATACTAATGTTCTTACCAAAACCCTATCTCCAACTTCTAATTTTTCAAAACGGACCTGCCTGTCATAACCTTGTTTATACCTTACATTGTTTCTACCAATGTTACCTCTGGCCATCTTGTATGCATAGTTTAGTCTTTTCTTCAGCTTCTGTGCATAATTCTCCCTACTTCTGGTCTTTTGAGGTGTTTCTTCCAATCCAAGATATGCATCTATCGCTAATCTAGGGTTTCACCCAAACATCAGGTAATGCGGCGAGAATCCCGTTGTCTCATGCTTCGTTGAATTGTAGGCATTAACTAAAGGTAAAACGTAAGTTTTCCAATCATGCTTCTGTTCACTGTCTAACGTCCCTAACATCTTCAGCAATGTCTGGTTGAACCTTTCAACTTGCCCATTTCCCATAGGGTGGTATGGAGTTGTTCTGCTCTTCTTTACTCCAGCAATCTTACAGAGTTCCTTGATAACTGAACTTTCAAAGTTCCTGCCCTGGTCTGAATGTATACGCTCAGGGAAACTGTAATGGCAGATGAAATGTTCATAAAGTACCTTAGCCGTAGTAGATGCTAATTGGTTCCTGGTCGGAACAGCCACCGCATACCTCGTAAAGTGGTCAGTAATGACTAGTATGTTCTCATACCCACCTTTAGACTTCTCAAGAGTCAGAAAGTCCATACAAACCAGTTCCATAGGTCTTGATGTAAAAATGGAAACCAATCCTGTCCTTGGTACTTCTCTCGTCTTAAACCTCACACACCTGTCACATTTCTCTACCTTTTCCACTACATCTGTATACATGTTTGACCAGTAGAATCTCTGCTGTTCCAACCAGTAAGTTCGGTCTCGTCCTTGGTGACCCATATCCTCATGAAGTCCTATGAGTACACTGTCTTTATACTTACTTGGTAAAACTAACTGACGTATCTCCTCTCCAGCAACAGTAGTTTTTCTAAACAAGATTCCTCTTTCAATCACCAGTTGCTTCCATTCCCTTAAGAGTAACTTGACTGAATTTGATTCCTCTTGTAGGTCTTTTCCAGTTGGTTTGATTCCTCTTTGAAGTAGATCCTTGACCCTACTTATAACAGTATCATTACCTTGTTCCAGTTCCCAATTCACAGTGCTAAGTTTCTGTGATGTCTCAGCTCTCTCAGCATTGTCAGGCTCTAGTGACTTACCAATAACACAACTCTCTGCTAGGGGATTTACCTTTACCAATGCTGCCTGAGAAATAGCTTTAACCACATCTGAAAACAGTTCTTGTTTAGGGGGATTTCTTGATAACCCATCAGCGTCTCTGTTGAGCTTACCTGATCTGTACGTTATCTTAAAATCATATGCTGATAATGATGCCAACCAGCGATGTGATGTTGCGTCAAGTTTGGCTGTTGTGGTGACATACGTAAGAGGATTATTGTCTGTCCTTACATCAAAATGATTGCCATACAAATAATCATGATATTTATCTACAACAGCCCATTTCAAACACAAAAATTCAAGCTTATGTGCTGGATAATGTTTCTCAGATTGCCGTAAACCCCTACTTGCATATGCAATAACACGCTCCTTACCATCCTGCTCTTGATACAGAACTGCCCCTAAACCATTAACACTTGCATCTATGTTCAAAATAAATGGCTTAGAGAAATTGGCAAAAGCAAGAATAGGAGGATGTGTAAGCTTCTGAATAATGAGTTCAAAAGATTGTTGTTCTGACTCACCCCATTTCCACTCAGCTTTCTTTCTCTTTCTGTTTTTCTTTGCTGCTTTGTTGGTAGGTTGTCCAATCAGCAGATCATTCAAGGGCTTTACAATCCTTGCGTAGTCTTTAATAAATCTGCGATAGTACCCTGTAAACCCTAAGAAAGATCTTAATGACTTTACATTACATGGAACAGGCCAATTTTCTAAAGCTGATGTTTTCTCTGGATCAGTCATAATCCCTTTCTCAGAAACCACATGACCCAAATAGCGAACTTGACTTTTGAAGAATTCACATTTCTTTGGATTCAATTTCAACTTGTAGTCATGTAATCTCTGAAAAACTGATTCCAACCTCACCAGATGTTCCTGAAATGTACTCGAGAAAATTAGAATATCATCGAGAAAAAGTAAACATTCTTTTAGATTCATATCACCCATACACATTTCCATTAGTCTTTGGAATGTCGCAGGAGCGTTGGTGAGACCAAACGGCATCCTGTTACATTCAAAGAACCCTAATGGACCTACCGTAAAGGCTTTCTTTTTCTTGTCTTCCTCACGAATCTCGACCTGCCAGTAGCCGGACTTTAAATCTAATTTACTGAAATACCTTGATCCGTCCAATCTATCTAAAGTGTCCTCTATTCTGGGTAGAGTATACGCATCCTTGATAGTCCTGTTGTTAAGCTTCCTCAGGTCTATACAAAATCTCAAGGATCCGTCTGACTTTCTACATAGAACCACGTTAGAACAGTAGGGACTGCTCGACTTCCTGATGGCCCCTGCCTCCAACATCTCTTTCAACGTCTGCCTAACTTCTTCAATCATACCAGGGGGAATGCGTCTGTATGGTTCCTTGAAAGGTATTTCTGTGGTTAGGTTTATCTCATGTTTGACCACATCTGTCCTCCCTAGGTCTGTAGGAGATGTAGAGAATAAGTGTTGCCATTTTCCAATAGTATGCAAAGCTTCTCTTTCCTCCCCCTTAGAGAGTTTGTCAGTGTTGACCTTCACCCCTAAATCTGCTAATGATCTGGTAGTGGAATCCTTCTTCTTGACTGGTTTGGTCTCTGCATGTTGTGGATTCCAGGTGTCTACTACTCTTACCTGACTCACACTACAGATGTTCGTCTTGGGTGGTATCTTAACAGCACTAGCCGAGATATTACATACCTTAACTGTGACCCTTTTGTTTTTCCCTGTACTACTGGACGCTACCAGTCGAGGGCATACTACCACTCCGGCCTGACTGTTCTCCAGCTGTTCTGTTATTAAGGTCTTCACTGTCCCTTCCATGTTTCTTACCATTCCTCTAATGTATTTCACTTCATTGGGAGCTAAATGTATAGGATATTTATTAGTTGTCTTAACAGGTACACAGCAATTAACACACATAGTGTTAATAGCCGTTTGCCATGCTTCTTCACACTCACCTGTAAAATCTACACAAAGTCTAATAACATTTGTCCCAATAACAACTGGAACTCTACTATTGAAGCTTGAATCCCGAGTTATTAAAGCTGGAATAAATAATGGTTCTTGCATAAATGGAACTTCAATTTCTGCTTCTACATAACCCAAATAGGGCAAACTGTCCCCATTTGCACCATAAACATCTAATTTAAATTCAGATATTTCATGTAGACTTGGTTTGTTCTCCAGAGAATTATAAAATGACTCTGAAATGGTTGTAACCATTGAACCACTATCTATCAGACTTGAAACCTTCTTCCCACAAATTTTGACATATGCTTCATTTGTTGGACCTATCATCCTATCCTGTAACTCTTTAGGGCATAAATCAGTATTCTCTCCCGTTCGCCCCACAACAGAAGAGATTACTCTTTTGGGTAACCTTGATTTGATTGATCTGTGTACTTACCCCTGTTAGACCAACCTCTACCTCTACTTTGTCCTCTGTAAAATCCTCTTTGTGAGGACCTTCCTCTCCCCACAAACTGAAAATTGTTTACATTACCTTGTTTCTTTTCCAAGTTTTCCAGTCTCCTCTCGATACCTTTAATTGCTTTGAGAAGTTCTTGATTTGTTGTATCTCTGCTAGCTTCTGTTGATCTGCTGTGGAGAGCTGCAGACTTGGCATCTTTGTTCACAGTCTCCATGTTGATCTCTTTCTTGCTCTACTTTCCTGATTTCTCTGAGCAAAACCTGAAATTCTGTTATATTTGCATAGATATATCTAGTAGAATTTCTTAATGACTTACTTCTCAATCCAGTCCAAAATTTACTACATAGCATTGTATCTTTTGCAATGTCATCTATGTGGCCCTGTTTGATTGCCTTACATAGTGTAGATTCTAACCTAGAACCGTAAGCCACAATACTCTCATTTTCTTTCTGACAGTCGTTATAGAACTGTTGCATTAAAGTTTCACTACTACTTACCATTCCATAAAACCCTTCTAATTTCTCCAAAATTTGACTTGCTGTAGCTGATTCACCGAGTGAAATCAGCATTGACCTTGCAGTTCCCTTGAGGGAATTTCTAATTGTCTGAAGTAATACAGCATCAGGCAACACCTGTGAATTTCTAAGGCACCTTACCTCGAAACTCCAGACTTCATAGGTCACTTCCCCTTTTTGAAGTTCCTCACTGCCACTAAATGTAGGAAGCTTTGGAGTCGTATTGAAATTACTCTGCAAAGTTGACATATTGAATGAGGGGTTTAATGCAGGTTGAAATTTACCTGGTATTGGAGAACTTGGAAATGGAAAACCTTTTCCTGGACCTGTCAGAGGTGTACTGGCCTTCATAGCCATTAAATACTCATACTCTTCCTTTGTGATGACTTTATATTTTGGGTCAATCTTACCTACATCATGTATGAGCTTTTCTTGATCTTTTTCGCCCTTTTCAATCTCTTCTTCCCAGGACTCATGATCTGATGCTTTCTTTCCACCTGTAGCCATTGTTATAATAAACACTGTTGTGACTAGAAAAGTAAAGCAGATCTTCATAGATTATACAATCAAGTTCAATGTAATAAACCCTGTAAAAAAAATAATCTACAAAGTTATATCTCAAACTAATGATCAATACCACTACATTTTTCTAACAGTGTCACTTACACTTCAAGTATCAGTATAACTTCCCACGAATCCTGTAATTCTCTAGATAAAGATCGAGCCTAAATTCTCTAAATCTTGCTCTAAATAACTACACTAATAAATCTTAAATCTACATCTATAATAATGATGGGGTATGAAATAATGAGTTTGATGAATCCTGAAACACAAAGATGATCAACACAAAGATGACACTCAACACAACCTCCAGAACACAAAACTTGTCAACCATGAAACTTGTAAATTTAAAGATATATATGCCGTATTAGTGTTTTATTGCTAAAGAAATAAATATATGTGGTGTCTCCTCAAGTTACATAAGTTATGTAATTTCTGCAATTAAGACAATTCCACTCCATCACTTTTAAAAGTTATGAAATATTATTTTGTAAAAATTATTTTCTCTCCGTTTATTAAACCGCCTCTTATTGAAATATTCATGAACACCTGTGCTCAAGCAAACAATGGTCCAATCTCGTAAAGAGCCGAAAAGCATGATGGTCTACTACGCTTTCACTACAAACACGTGGGTTTGGGAATTGTACGGTGCGAGTTCAATTGACGGCTGGAAAGCTATTTTTTTAAAACCTGTTTTAAAAATAATTAATCCCTATGCTCATATTGACAAACAAATGCAGTCTTTCTTGTTAGCATACTGTATGTTTCGAAGTTGTACACATTGTAAACATTGTCAATACGTGAGCACACCTCAGAGTTAGTTGCTTTTTGTACCGAGGAATATATAGTCACGTGAAATTGTCTTTTTACTGTCAGTAAAACAAACGGACCTGTACAATAGAGTGGGGAAACTCTTATTTTTATCATTGTTCATTTGTATGCAAATGTTAGCATGGGATTTGTAGATGATAATGTACATAATGCATTAAGCGTGTGAATGCTTGGGAAATGTACCACGTCTTTCTGAGAGCGATTTAAAAAAAACTAGCCTGTTCGAAAAACACATGAAGTATTTATGTACTGAGTAGTAACCCATAAATGCAATAAATAGAACATTGAGCTGAACAGTCTTGTTGGTTCCTCGCTGAACAGACGTCACAAAAAATAGTTTCAAAACATGCGCAGATCCAACATAAACGTCAGTCCTTTATAAATATGCATGAGAATATCGTGTTCTTTTCCCGACCAGTACTTTGTTAATACCGAATAATAAAGAGAATGCTTCATTTTTGATAGCTTATCATACTTCAGATATTTTTGTTTAGTTTCAGCTATGCAAAAATACGGCATACATATCTTTAAACCAAATTGATTATTCTGAAACAAAATAGATTAAGATTCTGTCTCACAAATATTTCTCTCTGCTTTTTCACAAAAATTTAATACCAAGTGCAAATAAAATGTTAGTAAGGCCACAGTTTTTATATCTTTCGGTTTACGGATCCGCCGACCCGATTTTTTCAGGGTCTAGAAAATAAAAATAATGGATTTTATCACCACTTTCGATAATTTCCCGGAAAATTCATGCCTGATTTCAGGGTTTTAATATTGATAATGCTTGAGTACTAAAACGTTTCATTCTTTCAAACATTTCTGTGACTATAAACAGAAACGTGTAAACATGGCGGCAAGCATGTCTTCATTTTAAAGTGCAGTTAAAATGTCATGGAGATAGTACCATGTTCAGAAACTTAATTTTCACGGAGAATGAAGGAAGAGCAAACTATGGGAGATGCAATATTTCTTTTCCCCAAAGAGTCCTGTTAAAAACGTAATCTATGATTTTTATGGAAATAAAAAATAAGCACCAAATATCAGCTGTTTCAATGACATAACTTCGCTATTTTTTCCCAATGGTAATATTTTTCTTCCAGTTCAAAGGTAAGGAATTGTATGTTGAAACTGGACAAAAATTGCAGAAATTGCACACAAAAACTATGTACGTTTTTTTTAAAATTTGAATTTTATTTCCCAAACCCAGACACATGCTAAATTTTGTGTGACAAGTGTATGAAACAATGAAAAAATCAATATAACCAGATGAATGGTTATAAGTCAAATATTTTACATAGTTATAAGGTCATGCTAATAAAAGGAAATAGGCAACATTGTAGGGTTTCAAAACAATATAATATATTGTTTACAAGATTATGAATCTAACTCTAAGTAAATTAGTTAGTTTTTTTGTTAAAAAAAATGAATGTGTCATGTTCCCAATATTCTATCATCTTTTTCTCATTCTCATTTTACTACAAATAATTTTTCCAAATTTCAGGAAATATTTCTAATTTTTATCGATTCAAAAGAAGGGTGGTGGTGTTTTTTGAAATCAGCTATGTTCCGTTTGGAAGAAGTTTCACACCTAAAGATAAAATAACTTTGGCCTAAAGAAGATAAGTCTCTGTACTATGTCTTACTATAAATTCCACTGATTTACCTACTTTCCTTTACTTTTTTTTTTCAATTATTCAGGAATTTTAAACTTTTGAGGCTGTTTTACACACTCTCGATCTCGCTATGCTGACTCACATGAATGAATTATACAATCAAATGACAAATGAAACAAATATTACATACAAAATAACAATAATCTACAAAGTGAAAATAGAAATGTTTAAAAATAGAACATCTGACACACACAGTCAACAGCAGTCAAAATAGAAAAGTCCACCACGATTTCCAGATAGTCCAAGAATAGGCCGCGTCTATCCGTTTATAAGAATCGTTCAGCACACACAGTTCTTGGCACGAATGTTAATTAAATGGATAATCCACCAAAACATCTCTCGTCTCGGGCACATGGGTATCCATGAATAGTTGTGACGTCACACTGCTTACTCGAAGCGCTCGGTGTAAAAGTAGTCCCTGTGTAGCTCGTAACTGCCGACACGGGAGTTCAGTGTTTCCAGCGCTGAATTTCTCAGGATTGAATGGATATTACATAGAGCTCTGTTTCATATATGCACACTGAAGATAAATTTTCACAAATTTTCATAACACAAAAGCACTTCACTTGTTCTCTGAAAACCGCTTACTTGTAGTTCGTATAAAATCTTGTAGAAATGGCCTGGTCACCTTTAACAGTTCTAAGACGTTCTTCTTAGGATTCAGCCTGGTTCCTAAGTTAAACCAGCGTTGGGCGCCATTGTCACGGGTCTCCCAATCTCAGGGAATAATAATAATTCAACACAGTTCCTCAATAAAGGTTCATATATTTATTGGATGACAATTTCTGCAGGTACGATGAAATAAAATATTAACGAACAAACGAATGAAGGTGACCTGCAATGAAAATGACACACTCGTACAATTTCACACACACTAATATTTATTTAATTAGAATAGTTTAAAATCAATATAAAGAGTTATTTATTCTTACCAGTCACATCAATTAAGGCACTAAGATTCCGTAAGGAATTTCTTAGACAAACTGCTCACGTGGATTTCTCGCAGGAGAACATCCAAACTATCGTCAATGTATCGTCAAGATTAAAAAGGAATAGTCCGTGCATAAGTATATATACCAGGACTCACACATGCGTACATAACTACCACACCCCATACATACTGGTTTTACAACTCACACCTAGGATAAAATAAACCACAAGACAATCACGTGACAACCAAACACTCACGTGACACGGAACACCGGACAAACCAGAATACAATACAAACATGATGACAATGAATGACCAGGTATGAATGAATGAATGAAGGAATTTACTACAGCTATCTACTATACTGACTTACTATACCAGCTGTACTAAATAACTATACTAAATAAAATAAAAACAAGTAATTGTCACCCTGTGACAATTTGAACAAATTTCAATCTACACTAACAGAGGATGTTCCCATATAAATATGACCAATCATGGCTTTGCTTTTCTTGAGAAAGTGATTTTTTTCTAAAGCATGTATTCCTATGTTAAACTTTGATCCCCGATTGTGCCCTCATCTCACCCCAGAGGGTCATGATTTGAACAAATTTTAATCTACACTACCAGAGGATGCTTCCATAAAACTATTACCAATCATGGCTTTGCTGTTCTTGAGAAGAGGATTTTTAAAGATTTTTCTTATGTATTACTATGTTAAAATTTAATACCCCACTGAGGCTCCATCCTACCCCCAGGGATCATGATTTGAAGAAACTTGAATTTATACTACAAGAGGATGCTTCTACATGAGTTTCATCTTTTCTGGCCCAATGGTTCTTAGAAGATTTTCAAAAAATTCCCTATGTATTCCAATGTTTAACTTTGATATCCCATTGTGGCCTTACCCTTACCCTGTAACCCTGGGGGTCACAATTTGAACAAACTTGAATCTACAATACCAGAAGATGCTTCTACATGAGTTTCATCTTTTCTGGCCCAGTGGTTCTTAAGAAGATTTTTTAAGAATTTTCCTATGTTAAACTTTGATACCCTATTGTGGCCCCACCCTTCCCCCATGCTTCTTCATGAGTTTCATCTTTTCTAGCCCAGTGGTTCATAGGAATTTTTTTTTTTAATTTCCTATGTATTATTCTTATGTTAATCTTTGATACCCCATTGTGGCCCCTCCCTACCCCCAGGGGTCATGATTTGAACAAACTTGAACTACACTACATGAGGTTGCTTCCATATGAGTTTCATCTTTCCTGGCCCCGTGGTTCTTGAGAAGAATTTTTTTTTTAATTTGTATGTATTCCTACATTAAACTTTGATACCCCACTGTGGCCCCACCCTACCCCCGGGATCATGATTTGAACAAACTTGAATCTAGTCACTACATGAGGATCCTTCAACATGAGTTTCATCTTTCCTGGCCCAGTGGTTCTCCAGAAGACTTTTAAAATTTTCACTAACTCATAGTTATCTCCCCTTTGAAAAAGATGTGGCCCTTAATTTGAATAAACTTGAATCCCCTTAACCCAAGTATACTTTGTGGCAAGTTTGGTTGAAAATGGCCCAGTGGTTCTTGAGAAGAAGATAAAAATGCAAAAAGTTTACAACAACAATGACAAATTTCGATGGAGCCAAATTTGGCTCAGGTGAGCTCAAAAGAGGTCATGGTGACATTTTCAGTTGACACATCATGAGGACCCAAGATGCATCCTGTAAGCTAATTAGTATAATCATCATAGCATTCAAAATATACATGAATCCCATGGTGATCTACTTTTCAGTTGATGCACTATTCAAATATAGCCATATTTACTAATTGAATACATTTTAATCGACTTTCAAATATAGCTATATTTACTATTTAAATAAAGCCACATTTAAACATATCATAAATGTTTAAAAATTAGGTCATGGTGATCTACTTTGCAGTCTACATGCTCTGAGGACCCAAGACACATCAATGGACTAAGTTTGCTGTGTGGCGGTCAGCCGGGTTCGATCGCCGGTGGCCAAATAGCTCAGTTGGTAGAGCACCTGACCGGAGTTTCAGGGGGCCCGGGTTTGAATCCCGGTCTGGTCCGCTGCATTTTCTCCTCTCCCGTTACATTTGGTGCCGTGCCATGCCCTGGAATTGACAGGTGAAAGACCTGCCAGGGATGAGCCTGGGTTGGGGTCTTTGGAGGGCCAAAGACCTTTAAGGAGGGAGGAATGTGGCGGTCACGGCACCAAATCTGTAACAGGAAAGGAGAAAATGCATGGCTGGACCGGGAATCGAACCCGGGACCCCTGTATCTCTAGTCAGGTGCTCTACCAACTGAGCTATCCAGGCCGATATCCACGGCCCTAACCATTACAGCTGATTCTATAAGGCAATTAGTATCCAAAATACTTAAAGTAATTGCCTGCTTTTATATATAAAAGTTAACACCATTCAAAGGCTCTTGCTCAGTGTAGTCAGACATTTCCCTACCAAACTGCCCCACAAATATCGCAAAGACATTGGAAATGTAAATAGTAAGTTAAATGTAAGCCTAAAAACAACTTATATGTCAACCACATAGGGTTTCCTCCCCTAATGACATTATAGTCATAACAGACATTTATGTGCATCTGTTTGGGGTTGAACTTGGGGCCTCTGACATACCAGTCCAGTTCTCAATGGAGCTAGAGGATTAACGCACTAGTCCAAGCTAGTAGGGTGACATATTAAATCTCACACTACCACACAAATAACTCATTTTTTCACTCTGCCCATGTTTTCATCTAAAGATGTGTTTTAAAATCTGTAAAAAGTTATGTAAAGAATGCAATTCCTTCTCTTTTCTTCTATTTTATTTTTGCACACAATACTCCAAGCATGTCCATGTATCAATGTAAAAATACATCAAACATATTACTTTGTAAATAAACTGGTGGAAAAAAATGCTGCATAGAATGTTTAATATTCTTAATGCTTCAGAAAATTATACTTTATAAGTTTGGCTAACATAAATGCAATTTAAAAAAAAATTAAAATTATAATGCTGAAATGTATAATAAAATTTTGCATGAAATTTATGCATCTTGGAAAGCATATACATGTACATAATAATTAGTACCGGTAAATTAAAACAACAATCAGGACAACATCAAAATCTTTTACCAAAGCACCTTCAACAAGACTAAAAGATCTTAACAAAAAAATGGAGTATATTATTTTTACATAATGAGATGTATACAGGTACATGTACCTCACTAAAAAAAAGATCTAAATCTTTATATCGTTTTACCATGTGTTAGAAAATCAGCATAATGAAATGTTCTTTTAAGCACTAAATGTATTTCTCAGAGTATTATTTTGAGTTTGAGAGAACAACATGTATATTTGCTGATATATCAACACTGAAAAACCACACAGAATTTAACAATAAAACTTGAACCATTAAAATTTCATGCTGTGTTTCTAATAAAGACTTGACGATTACAACCTTCTATCTGATTATACATGTAGATACATGTTTATCGGTGACTATTCTTCTACACCTGAATCTTCTCTGCCAGACTGCAGGTCAAACCAGTTCCATCTGGTTCAACATTTACAGACTCCACAACGCCATCTTTCACTACCATAGAGTACCTAGAAAATAAAGGGAAAAAAATTAAATATGACATTTTCATACTGTAAATATACTTTCATGGAGTTGTAATTCAGTGGAATCAAAATCTCTTTTTAAAATTCAGGTTGAAAATTACACAGATTTCTTGGACTGACTGTATATTATTAAAACCTTTCTTGTAGCGAAATGATTATCATAATAACCCATGGTATTAAAATGTACTGAAAAAATAAAGGGATAAAATGAAAAACATTTATATAGTGAATCAATTTTGTTTGTCCCTGGCACCTCATTATTAGAACCCTCTCTACACTGCACAGGGATAAAATGAAAACATTTATATAATGAATCAAAATTTTTTTGTCCCTGGCACCTCATTATTAGAACCCTGATATATCTACACTGCACACTAAAGACTTCTGATATTCTATGGTATTTTTTGCAGTAAGAGTGATCTGCCCTTAGATCTAAATTCTAAAAAATAGAAATTCACAGTATATTACAAATTTTGTAATCAATTCAAGTATTCTTAACATTTTAAAAGGCCAATATGAACTTTCTCTATGGAAGTAAACAACAGTGATTTCTATTCACAGATACTGCATTGTGTTTGATTATTTTTCCTGGGAGTAAATGCCACATACCATACAGTGAAAATTAATTTCAAAAGCTTGATATTAATTAACACCTTTATAGAATATATTTTTTCAATGTGTAGAGAGGGTCCTTAAGCATGGTTTACTTTGTCAAGTGTAAATTAATTTCCCATAAAAAAGTATGCGTATGTCCACTGTTTTAGTATAGTACATGAAACGTATGGACTGCTTTCTGCATAGCCATAAGAAACTATTAATTAACCATTTCAATAAAAAATATTAAACTGAGCATCAAGATTCTAGTCTTTGGTCAGTTCTATTTACCTCTTTGAACGCTTGTTTCCAAGGACAGCTGCTAGATCAATTTCCATGTCAACAGCCTACAAGAAAATTCATAGGTTCTCAGAATACATGTATTCATGTTGGAAAAGAACAAAGTTCACCTTGTGCAACTTTTGGCCCTGTGAATTTCTGAAAAATCCGAACTACTCAGTTTTAGTTTAAAATATGTTAAATTTCACTTGGACCCTTGGTGACTTCATATCAAACCAGAAGTCTCTGTCGAGACTGAAGCTCTACTGGTTTGAACTTATAGCAAAGGAAGAGAAAAGTACTTAAGCAGCTGGGATTTGAAACTTTACAACAGCAATAAATAGAATAATGATTGTTGATAAAGTCTCTTTATGTTCTTAGTGTAGTCTACTTGTGTGCCAAGTTATACTGAAATCAGACCAAAACTGTAAGAGGAGTAGCATTTTGAAAGAATTTCACAGAAATTTCTATTTTTAGTAACCACGGCAACACCGTTCATCGAAATCAAAAACCGATATACAAATTTATGTATCTTAGTGTATTCTACTTGTGTGCCAAGTTATACTGAAATCAGACCAAAACTGTAGGAGGAGTAGCATTTTGAAAGAATTTCACAGAAATTTCTATATTTAGTAACCACGGCAACACCGTTCATCGAAATCAAAAACCGATATACAGATTTATGTATCTTAGTGTATTCTACTTGAGTGCCAAGTTATATTGAAATCAGAACAAAACTGTAAGAGGAGTAGCATTTTGAAAGAATTTCACAAAAATTTCTATTTTTAGTAACCACGGCAACACCGTTCATCAAAATCAAAAACCGATATACAGAATTATGTATCTTAGTGTATTCTACTTGTGTGCCAAGTTATACTGAAATCAGACCAAAACTGTTGGAGGAGTAGCATTTTGAAAGAATTTCACAGAAATTTCTATTTTTAGTAACCACGGCAACACCGTTCAACGAAATCAAAAACCGATACACAGAATTATGTATCTTAGTGTATTCTACTTGTGTGCCAAGTTATACTGAAATCAGACCAAAACTGTAGGAGGAGTAGCATTTTGAAAGAATTTCACAGAAATTTCTATTTTTAGTAACCACTGCAACACCATTCAACGAAATCAAAAATCGATACACAGAATTATGTATCTTAGTGTAGTCTACTTGTGTGCCAAGTTATATTGAAATTAGACCAAAACTGTAAGAGGAGTAGCATTTTTAAAAATTGTTTACAGACAGACGGACAGACGGACAGACAGACAGACAGAACAGACGGACGGACGTTAAATTTCACTTGGCATAAGCTCTTCTGGTCTCTGACCAGTAGAGCTAATAAAAATGACGTAATTTTTTCTCTTGTCCATGTATTATGACGTCATGAATTTCGTCATTTTCCTCAAATCTTGAAAATTTCTTTAAAAGTGACCAAAAATTTAATCTGTATGTGAATATTTTGCATAGCCCCCAACCTCTGATCTAAAATGTTCAATTATATTATGAAAGAACTGTTTCAGAGGAATCTAATCCATGAAAATTTTTTTGGATCGCGGGGTGGGCTCATATTTTTATCGACAGTTGAAGATGCTCAATTTCACCCATTTTCTTCAAAAATCAAGAACATTGCAGTTTCACAACGCCTGAGTTTCCAAACTTGGACACCTAGAGGAAAATTTTTTACAGGAAATGAAAGCACTAAGTCTCTACTTTATGTTGATGTTCGAAATGGAACGTTAGGATCTGGTCAGTTAATTAGTATATTGACAGGGCCATTTTATGGAGTTAGTGAACATACCTCTTTAATATATTTGTGGTTTGCAGAAAATGACAGTTGTGTGTATTAAATTTGATGAGTATCTTGGTTCTTACAATATTAGTTGGCAACTTATAGAAAAATATTTACATTTGCAAATGTTTTCCTTCATATAACACTACTGAAAGCAAGCGTATTTATAAGTGTATAAATACAGGTATGGGGTCAAGAGGTCATAGATGTGCATATGGATAAACGTTCGACGTAATTTCTCAGTGACGTCATAAAGGGTCGACGCGCGTTCAGTGGATTATATGCATGCCGTTGGGTTTGAAAAATAATGCATTTCACACGTTAAAAGTCACAATCAGGCAAATTTAAAGTATGAATAAGTCACAAATGTAAATATAAGTAATAAGGTATCATTTTTTGAGTTTTATTGGGATGTAAAATGGGTTGGTCACGTGATCAAATCCCATAAAGCCCGAGTATCATTTTTTGAGTTTTATTGGGATGTAAAACGGGTTGGTACATGATCAAATCTTCCATAAAGCCCTTCGGGCTTAATGGGATTTGATCACGTGACCAACCCGTTTTACATCCCAATAAAACTCAAAAAATGATACCTTATTTCTTAACCAAATGTTCTTTGACCTTTTTATGTTAAAATTAATATCAGGTACTTGTCATCTGCTAAGCAAGATGAACTTGTGTACAAACTACAAAGTAATGGTCTACGAAGGATACCCAGGAAAGCAAAACTAAATAAGAAATATTCAACTTCTAAAACTCATTACATTCTACATTTGGATTTATTCTGCCAACAGACATACATATAATTAACATATTTATAGCATTCCACTGTTGACAGACCTTCATATAATTTGCTAAACATTTTAGCATGTGCAGTAAATAACTGGATTGTTTAGTAAGAAAGAATTGTAGATGTTAAAAATTTATTCAAATTTACTATATATGTACTGTAGAAAAAGTCAGAGCATGCATTAAATTTTGAAATATTTCATTAGTTTTGTTATCCTCCAAAATGGTATCTGATAATTTGAATCATCTTGTACCTTAATATCATGCTTATATCACAGCACATACTGTAGAAGTAGTTTTTTCCGAGTGGTATTAGTTTACGCTATGTACGCGGTCACAAATTTTCCACGTTCCGTGGAATCATGACCCCATGGAAAAAAGTATGTCTATGGTATTTCAAATACATGTACAGTATATGCTGGATGAGGTATAAAATGATCTACATCATTTGATATCATTTTTTCAATTTGAACTTCAAGTTTGAGTCAATGCTTTTTTTTGAAAGAAACTTGGAATCTGTAAAATTCAACAACTGATAAAGCTGTGCTTCTTTACCTTTGTGAACTCTCCACAAGTGTCTGCCAACATTTTGATCTGTAAATAAAAACCTTAAACCTCAAGACGTTTTAACAGCATTCAAAAAGTTTTACAAATTACCACGATGGTTTATAAGTGAGAAAATAAAGGTAGGTCCAGTTACAAACCTTTCCATTGGCTCCCTGTGCCTCGCCCCAGGCGTCCATGACAAATGGGTCGTTGACAGAGATGCAGGCAATGCTATCTACTCCCTTGGATTTCAAGGCATCACACTGCTGAACGTAACCTGGCAAGTGAGTCTAAAACATGGAGAAGAAATAATGTTAACATTTCAAACCAATATGTGAAGCAGAAATATGGGTTATATATTAAAAACTAAAAGTGCCTATATAGAGTTGAGGGTGTCACACATGAATATCTTATTGGTAGTTACAGCTACATGGTCAGATACCCATGGACTGATTTCCTTAGACGAGATCACTCCATTGTTATCTAACAATATGTACTGCCCATCTAAAGGTACTATACCTTCATTGAAATTTCTTATCTTCAAAATCATGCTATATCATGTAGAAAATTTTGCCTCTATTTTAATTGATAAGAAATGCTCAACAGTGATAAATTGACAATATGGGAAATACAGATGAAGACTAGCTATCATTAAATATTGTGAAAATGCACATGCTCAATTTTAAGTATATCACATTAAGTATGTGCATGGACTCATGATTCACCGAATTTAAAGATAATACTTAGCATTCTGTATGAGTAAGTGTGAAGCTCAGCAAACCTTTGAACATCCTGGTGTGAAAGCCCCTGGTACAGCAAAAATGATGTGTTTTCCCTTCCCAAATAATTCTCCAGAGTTCACCTTCCCACCAGGGTCCTTTTCAAACAAATCCACAGCAGGAAGCTTGTCTCCAGCCTACAACAAATAAATTTTTTACTTAATAATCTAGAATTCCATTTATCATGTTTATGCACATATAGTATTTTTAGACTTCTATAACTGTATAATCGTTCACTTTTCCTCTTGATACAGATCAGATGAATACCGCCAAACCCCCTAACTCCTTCATCACCCTAACTCTGTCACTTTCAGGAAAATCAGGGCTGTTTGTAAACAAATGGGATTGTGACATCATTTCTGTATGCTGAAAATCGACAGTCAAATGCCAATGCTTGTAGAAACTATTACAGTCAAGCTAAAAAATGTGTCAAACCAGATGAAATTTTCACTTCTTTTATTTTAGGTATCATATTTTATGTGAAATCAGTAAGTACCTTTTCCCTTCATAGTTATGCGCTAATTCCATCAATATCTCGGACAGGTGCATGATCATGCTCATTTTCACATGTCACCCATTTTAATGAAGGTCTATTACTAAGGTTTAAGGATACACCAAAGGCTTTTTTTCAAGATTTTTGTCAATTTTGAGCTCTCTGCTTTATCTGTCTGAATTTTCTCAGGCAGAGCTAGAGCTACAGTTCTGAGGCTAGGTGAATATATTAACAAGTTGGCTGTTACCACTTTTATAAATACTCAGTTAATTATTAATATTTACATTACACATGTTTTCTGCATATAAAGGGAATGGAAATTTATTGCTTTCAAAACACCATAACAAGGACAGGATGCCAAAGATTAAAGCGTGTGTTTTAGTTTTACGTCACAATCATTGAATGCCGAAGAAAAGCAAACGTCATAAGCGAAAATAAAAAAATCATGCTCACATTGACCAGAAGTGTTACACTGGCTCTTCCATTAACAGTACCTTAAACGAAGTGTAATTAATACATAGTTTTTTAAATATTAATCACAATTGCAGTCAAGGTAGAGAGTTAAAACATGCAATAAAATATAAGCAATAAATACGGTAATCATTTTTTGAAAGATATAGTTACAGTACTCAATTTTGTGTGCATCACTGTTGCAGTTATGAGCTGACAGTCTATACAGTGGAGTCGCCGATTCAATCGTCTTAATTAAATATTTTAATCCTAATATTATTTTTGTAAATTCTGCATATTGCAATTTGTTTTGTTGTTCCAGTTATTGTTTTTAAAAATAGATTAAACTTATTTCTGTGGCTGTTTCAGTTTTTACAGAGCAACATGAATTCTTATATGTTTCAACATCATAAAAATCTTGTTCTGAAACAATCCATGAATATTACAAGACCACAAAGGCACATGACCCAGAAATCGAGAACAAAGTTATTCTTTACTGGGGAAGCTAGGCGTTGCTGAAATACGCCTGTAAATATTGTTCCCATTTAGTTACTTTGAATATAAAAAAAATTTTGGATGACTCACTATTTGTGCTTTCTCTATTAGAGAAGGGGTAGAATTTTTTGATATTCGGCTTATTGAATAACTGCATAATTATAAAAGAAATTAAATGCCTGCAATTCCATAAAGAAACAATTTTTGAACTTTAACAAAATTTATAACTGTGGTGAGGGTTAATAGTCCCCAGACACACTTAGACACAGTATTAGTATATTGTAGTAACAGGCCTGATTAGTATATCATGCTGTTAAAAACTTCCTGGTTTTCTAAAATCAACATAGAAAATATATTAATTGTAATTTTTTTCTGGAAACAGAAGCTTTTTTCAACATGCTCAAGCTGAATATTCATTATTCAATCTTTGTTTTGATTTAATTAACACAGGAAAATCACCGGGGCCGAGAACTGTACAGATTGATGATGTTAACCAAATGTACAAGGTATTGGTAAAACATGTTTTAACACGTGGTAGGCTAGCTAAATTTCTCTTGAACTTCCTGGTAGAACAAATGTCAAAACTTTACATCCAAGGTCGTAAGCTGGCGCTTCGCAAAACTTTATTCCTAAAAGTACATGTACTTACCTTGATCGGCATTGCAGAGGAAGTACTAACGGAAAACTGGCGAGCAAATGCGGTGCGAGTTAGTGTTACAAATCGGTGAGAGTTGATAAGAGGAATTCGCATGATCAAATTACCTCTCAAAGCCAATAAATTTAACTGGTAGTTTGTGAAGAGTACTAGTTAAACTTATCTAGTAATGAAACCTATATGATCAAATATTAATTCCCCGGAAAACCCAAAACTAACTACAGGTACATGATTGTGTCTAGTGCCTACATAATTTTAAAAACATTGTGAACTGAAACTCTGCTCACACATATCCCATATTCCTATTCAGAATTTAACCAGAACCAGGAGTCTCTGACAAGACTATATTATGTACATGTAGCTCTACTGTTATGATTGAAATGTTATATATTATTACAGGCACGTAGCAACAGTTGGGGGGGGAGGGGGGAGGGGGGGGGTTTCCCAGCATTACCTTTGCTATTGAAAATGTCCATTGAAAGATTGGTTGGCCTCCCCACTTTTCACCACAGTAAAGATATCAAGGAAATTGCGTGTATGTAAAAAAAATTGGTAATGAAAGAAATTAAGTTAATTGGCTTTGAAGCGCGCTTCAAGAAATATGCCTACATGACAAGTTTGTGTGATTCATACACCAATAACTCACACAAAACTTAAAAACATTCCTTAATTGGATAACATGAGGCCCATAGGCCACAGCGCTAACCTGCGTAACTTTGATCCTGCTAATATTAATATTCTTCTCCAGTTTTCCCCCTTCTAGTATGTATACCTATTGTGGCCCTGTCCTACGCCCGTGGTCAATCATGACTTCAACACTTTAAATCTATATACAATATTACCTGTGGATACCTTCACATAATTAAGTTTCAGCAATTCTAACAAAGTGAACTTTTAAATTAAAGAATTATATTTTTAAAAAAAATTCCATATATTTCAATGTTCTTATTGTAGCCCTGCCCTACCCCCTAAGGACCATGAATTACACAATTTAGAATCTACATTACTTCCATATGAGTTTTTGTTTTTCAGGTCAAGTGATTCTTCAGAATTTTGTTTTAAATGCCCTAATTTTGTCTTAATTTTCATGGTTATCTTAATTGGCTTGGCCCATCTTTTCAACTATTTATTCTCCCCTCCACAAAAGGATGTTTTGTACAATTAAATGTACCAACTTTAGTCAAAATTGGCCCAGTGGTTCTTGAGATAAAGTTAAAAATGTGAAAAGTTTACAGATAGACAGGTGGACAATACTTTTTGTGATTTTGACCCTTTCAAACTAAAATTAACCGGGGCAATGTTTTTGTTATAGACATTATTGAGTATTTAGATAAATTTGCAACAAGTGCATTTCATTTTCTTCAAACTAAACAAATATTAAGTCACACGCGTGGCGCAGTGGTTAATTAGATTGATCCTTGCATTGCAATGTGGGATGTGGAGACTGGTCCTTCGGTTGAGACTGTCGCAGCTAGGGTACTGGCAGAAAAAAGATCTCTCCCTGCTCAGTGGCCCAAAGTGCCGAGTATAGGTCAAAATTTGCAGCAAATGGGGTCAAAAGGTAGGGGGAAACTAACCTTTATTTCAAAAAACACTTGCAAATATGATGTTAAAATAGTTATTAAGGCCTAATTGCATGAGAAAACTTGGAAATGATTAAAAAAACTATTAAAAGGTTTTCTAAGGTTAAAAAAAATTTGAGTGCATGGGGGCATTTTAATCAGTCAGTTGAGAGAGGGCAAACAAACTTTTTTTTGAAAGATGGCCTTATATAGTTACGTTTTCATCTCAAAACCAATAGATGTCTCCCTCACTTAAAAAGACATAGGTATCTTGAGTTATTGGGACTTTTTATAAGAAATTATATACCATTACTAGACTGAGTATTAAATACCTTTGAACAAAGTATTAATACATAAAGATAAATAATTGAATATCAAGAGAATTTCAAATAAGTTTAATAAAGTACCAATAATCAGGACTGTCATTGATGACGTGTAGTAATGTAACAACTGAAACAAAATATTGATTTTAAAGGGGCCTGGACACAGTTTCAACTGATTTTTTAAAACCAATTTTAATGTTTACTATTCCCACCTAAGGCATCATCTATTGATTAGCAAAAATTTGAACATCAATTGTTGATTAACAAACAAGATACAGAACTTAAAGTTCTTCATAATGTAAACAAGGCTCATGCCCGTTTTTGTTTACATATAGAAAATATCATATTTTTAACAAAATGAAGTTCAGCAAATCAATAGTAGCTGTAGAATGATATTTAAAATTAACTTTTATTTGAAGTTATCTACTTTGAACAAACATATATTAGTATATTAACCTGAGTAAACAAAAACATGACACTAGCCTTGTTTACATAACAAATGTTTGGAGCTCTAAATCTGTCTTGTATCTGGACAACTGGCGTTCAAATTTTTGATGATCATTAGAAAGACCTTAGTTAAATATTTGTAAAAATGGAAAAATAAGTTTTGAAATTTTAGCTGAAACTGTGTCCATGCCCCTTTAAAATATCAATACTATATGTACATGTATAACATGTAAATCTTTATTTTTAAATCAGTCTTATTTTTGCTATTGGTCATACCTGAGTAAAACTGTGAAACTTAAAATTACAAAACTTTCATTAGTAATGAATAATCAGAAAAAGAGCATTACTGTCATGAAATTAAAAAAAAATTGACTAAAAAAAGTAACACAGAACTGACAAAAAAATATGAGGAAGATTGAATACTGGCACACTAGCAAGAGTTCTTATAAACGACACATTATAAAATTATAACGTACATCTTTACTCTTCAAGAGAAAACAATTATTTTATACATCCACACAATGAATACAGTATACCGGGAAATTTTCGTCCCCATTTAATTTTCGCCCTGTTCGCCCTCGTCGAAAGTGGGCGAATTTAAAACGGGACGAATTCAAAGTAAACAGTATAATATCTGAAACAAAAATATTTCTGGGCGAATTTAAAATGGGGCAAACTTAATTTCGAATCTGAAAGGGCGAAAATAACACGGGGCGAAAATAACCCTGTATACAGTACTAATTCAGTGATATATTTCTCATTTAAAGCAACAGACAGCTAATATTAATCAGTTGTTTTGTTACATATGGTTTTCAGATGCTGTAACAATTCTACATGTAGTAACTTACTCATGATGCATTCACATGTACATTCTAACAAAAGACAACTGATTTTTTAAACAAGATGAAAAACATTTCTTAAAGCACTAGTTTTCATTTATGATATCAATATATATTGACAAATTTCAAATTGATATATGGATACTTAATCCATCAATGACAGCCCAGCCAGAACTACTGTAAAATCTCAAATTGACAAAGTAAAACACTTTTAAAAGTTAATATTCCATGCTATAAAGAGCAAATTAAAACATCAGAGAACACATGGGGTGACTATTTGTCGGCAGGAATTCTGTCTACCAAAACTTGTCTACCGAAACGGGCATCCATTGGCCCAGTGGCCCCTGTGACCTGAAAGAGAAAACAAACATTTGAAAAGTTATTCACGTTCACATTTCCTGTCCTTTTAAAAGGCACCCACCTATGAACAATTGATTTCCTTTCATAATTATTTGTCCTGGACTGCAGGATGCATCTCTTGATAGAAAATCATGATTTTACTGGTTTAAAATCAGATTTTCTTTTCATTCATAGCGTAAGATTTCATATTCCCAACTTTATGTACTGAAAAATTGGCAAAAAACAGAATAGTCATGTGATCTTTCTTCTTGAACTGAACTGATCATAGATAGTATATTTATATATACAAACCACAAACATAGCAATGACCATATCCTCCATAATAAACCCCATCCTCTCCCTCTATTGAATCACTGTCTGAGGGGTCGCTGTAGAAATGGGCGTTACTGTCACTGCTACTGACATCGTCACTGTCACTTAACTCCTCAGCTTCCTCCCCCACCACTTCCTCTTCCACTAAACCAACCTCCACAGGCCCTCCATCTGTCTCATCATCACTCTCTATTATGATTGGCCGATGTCCTGCTCTGTTTTCAGTGGTGTTCTGGGCTTGACGTTGGCCCCTCCCACCTCTACCTTGACCCCTCCTCCTTCCCCGCCCACCTCTGGCTCCCCTGTTATTTGTTCTGTTGTTGGCTCTTGCTGCCTCTTGCTTTTGCCTTTCAATATTTTCCTGTTCCTCTACAAATATTTTAAATACCATACACAGGTAAATGTTTTCATTTGATGGATCCAATACAGGTTAAAAAAAAATCTTACACAACTGATTAAAATCTTTATCATGGTATGTTTCAGCTCATTCTACACATCTTAGATTCATTACGATTAATATCTGACTTTTGCCATACATTAGCATTGTACCTTCAGATATTTGGAGCTTCAGCTTCCAGAAGATTTTCTTGGAAATAAAATGTTTTCACTTCAATATTTTTTGTCTCACTTACCCTAATTCTGTGTGTTGTATCTGAGTGGTCTTTTTTCACCACAAAATGTATTTTTTACATAATGACGATAATGTTTTGGTTCATTTATTCAGACAGTATATAATGAGCTTTTTTATGTTCTCTATCAACTCTGCTTAGATTTCTTATCCACACTTTTTTGAATATGCTGTGTAAGTTCATGCATTGCACTAAAAGCCAGCATTACCTTTTCTGGAAGTGACAAGCTGTTTCCTCCTTGTTTTTAACTCTTCACTGAGATGCTCCACCATGGTGTCTATATAGTTATCCAGAGCGATGGACTTCATTTGTGAGGTGACTGGTGTTCTGCAGATTGGACATTCTCTTTTCACCTTCATCCACTCAGCAATACACAATGCACAGAAAGAGTGAGAACAATTCAAAGATGTTGCCTATTAAACAAAAAAATACAGAAATAATAGTGCATGTACATTTAAATGATGAAATTGAGATAAGGAATATCTTTACGCTAGTCAGGCATTTTCATTTCCATAACTTCCATGCACACTTAGCCACATTTGGCAAAATTTGTAAATCAAAAGCTCATTGGCCACATTGTTAACCTGAGTCACTATGACCCTACTGTTTTTCCAGAGCAGATCTTTCTCCTTATGCATTTTCATCTAAAACTTTGATCTGATACATACTAGTATTGTGACCCTACCCTAAACCAAGGGTCATGATTTGAGCAAATTTGAATCTACATTGCCAGAGGATACCTATGAATATGATCAATCATCATTTTGCAGTTCTTGAGAGCATGATTTTTAAATATCTTTCCTACATTCAGATGTAACAAGAGATGTTTGTGAAACACTTATCCCCCACCCATCCCTAGCCCCCATGGACATACAATAACATTATAGTTATGGGATGCACAAGCCTTTATCATGGAAAGTGTACATGGAAATGAAAAACCTGTATATCAAATTTCATTTAAGTAGGTGCAAAAAATGCAAAGAAAAAGTTCAGAAAGATCAACTGCAAATAATTGGAAATTTTCTGAGTCCAAGGGGCATAACTCTGGCAAAAATTTTTCAATTGTACCCAAAACAGAACCTGGCCTTAATATTGTTATAATTAATCTGTATACAAATTTCATTTCAGTATGTGCAACCTGTGCAAAGAAAATGAATGGAGACTGTTGGTTGACAGACAGACAGACTGACAAACAGAAGCAATATACCCTCCCTTCTTTGAAGGCCTTAACTGATACATGTATAACATACAAGATGGGATATGGAGAAGTGTATGTATTATTCTCTGTTTATGATTATCCATTTTTCTTTGGAAACTGAGGAACAGTACCTGTATAAATAATTCATTACAGATGCTGCATTGTAGCTCTGTTTCCATCAAGTCCGAAAAATTAGTCAGTATGTCCTGTCGAGCTTGAAGTATGGCATCTGACTGATGGTCATTCTCTTGTTTTGTTGCCTGCAGCTGGGCTTCCAACATTTTTTGTTCTGTTTCCTTCTGTGTAATTACCTAGAAAACAAGACAAGACATAGGCAATCAAAATTTGGATGTACATAATAGGAAACATAGATCAACTGTTTGTATATTGCACAACAGGGTTGTCCCAAAGACTTGGGGAATTTCCCCACCTATAATCACGTAATCTTACGTTTACTCTGGTATTTCATGTCATCTCCCCGTTAAAGGAGGAAACCAATACATGTATCCACTACTACTTTTTAAATGTTCCCTGCTTATTGAATTTTTAGAGATAACCCACACAAATCCTGATACTATCTGAAATACCTTCTCTAGTCTCTCCTTTTCTTTATGAAGTTGTTCTTCCAGTTCCCGGTTTTTCTCCTCCAGTGCTTTCTCCATGGCTTTTTGTAAATTCTCTTCCACTTTCTGTTTCTCTATGATAAGCCCCTCTTTTTGTGTCTGAAGCTGTTCAAGAAGTTCTGCCTCTTTGCTCATCAGCTGGTTTTCTAATTCCTCCTTCATTTTCTTTTCATCCTCCTACAATGACAGAAACAAAGAAACCATTTGCAGATTATAAATACTTACAGCCAGGGTAGGTTATACTTAATGTATAACCATGGTTTTTTTTGAAATAATGATAATCCATCCGATGAGCAGCAAAAAATGTTTCAACCCTTGCATTATTATATAATGGGTAGTCAGAAAAACCACATGACTCAACAACAGCAAACCCAGACCAGAATTAAACTTCAAGTTAATTTATAAGTCTACCAAATGTGAGATATATTTTTCCCCTTTTTATTTCAAAAAATTCTACATTAATTTATTTGTACTGTAATTTCCACAGTTAAAGGATATAAAACATTGTAAAGCTGCTATACACATACCTCTCGTTTCTGTAGTTCTGCTGCTAATTCCTGCTCTTTTTCTTTTAATCTTTCTCTCATTTCACTGGTCTGGTGTTCCATCTCATCCTCCTTCTCCTTTAGTTTCTCCTTCATCTGCAGTGTTTGGTTTTCTCGCTCCTGTTTCTCCGCCTCTAACTGCCTCTTCATCTCCTCATGTTTTTCTTCCTTTTCTTTCAGCATTTTTTGCATCTCTGCAAGTTTAGTTTCAAATTCCTTTAACTTGGAATCTGCTTCTTGCTTCTGCTTGTTCAGCTTCTCCTTATAATCATCAAATGGAAGCTGCTTTTTCTGAATATTTTCCTTGGAGCATGAAGGTTTGTCATCCAAATCATTTTCAGCAGAGTTCAGTTTTAGTCGTTTTAGTGGATTTCGGTCTTTATCAAACTGGTTGTTGTTAGAGCAGTCTGGTTCATCAGAACTTTTTGGTCTTACTCGTTTAACTTTAATCTTGTAATGAAACTTGAAGATGAACTCAGCTGCTTTCTCACCAGCCTTTGGAACTCCAAACTGAACTTTGTCATCCTCTTGTAAAGTATGGGACTTGTGTGGTTCTAGTTGCTTTCCATTTATAAATACTCCATTAAGACTCTACAATAACAAATGAGGTTTTTGAATGTTCAGCATTAATGAAAACATAAATTAAATTGATATTTTCAAAGGTTAATGAATGTAAAGAATGAGCCTCGGATTCTGTATATATAAGCAACCGATTGATGGAAATCTATTTTTTTACTTTTGTCTTTTGAGTTATCATGCTGAAGCATTAAACAATTTTGATTTTTGAGATTTATTGTATTTAATGTTAAACTGGCAATTAATCAACATAGCAATCAAAAGTTTTCGACACCTCTTAACTTTTTGTGTATCTTATGAAATTTGTAGTTAAAGCCTACATGATATTAATTTTACCACATCTGTCTACAAACTTTTTAACACAGCCCATGCCTTTCATATATATTCAAAAAATTGCCTCTTTTCATATCTATTAAATTTAACCCTCCAACTGCTTCCATTCCATTTAACATTATTTTATATCCATCTGTGTCATTTGTCTAGACCATGTATGTTCCACCTTTAATCTTGTACGAGAAATGAATTTAGGTTACATGTAGGGGCACAAATGGGCATGTTTATGTGAAGTTAGTAACAAAATTGATGTTGCACTCTGCTACACAGTGAAACTATGACTTTGCCTTATTATCTTTAATGCTCCAAGTATCTCCATCTTTTTTAAACACAGCATGGCATCTCGAGATCATGGGGGACAAGATGCAAACTGTGGCATCCTGTGATCTTCCTACTGTTATCTATATTAAAAAAAAGTAAAATATGTAAAAATGCAAAAGATGGTATGGCAAGTCAAATGTTGCAAAATTTTCCATTTGCTTTGCATAACTTTTGATTTGCAAGCAGGTATGATTTCTATTTTTATCCCATTTTTAACCCTTTATCCCGTGGATATGACTCATGATATTTTTTTCATATATATATATATATATATATATATATCCCACAGTTGTGACCTTACAATGGGTTTTGCATTAGAGTGATATAAAATGAAGCAGAGTTTAATTGAATGATAGTGTGAACCATTGATAGTGATGTATAAAACATTGGATAAAAAGAATCTCCCATGATTTGTAGTTGGATATGATTTTTATCCCAGTTTGTTGTGCATTATCCCCATGCCAAGGCTCGGGGATAAAAATCACACAACTTGTTGGATAAAAATCATATCCAACTACAAATCATGGGAGATTCTATATATTTTTTTTCATTTGTTTTCTATAATATTAGCAGGGACCTATATACTAACGGGATAGGAAACTACTGCAAGTCTCGCGATATCTCGCAAGTCGCGGGATTTCGTAAGTCAACTTTATTTAATCATATCTCTAAAGCTATCGCATATTTGAGATAAAATCCTTAAATTATCTGTCAAAAAATCATTCAAGATTTGTTTTTAGACCGTATTATACCCCTTATCTTCGTAATAATTTTGTTTTATGCAAAATTAGCACATGCCCCGATCAGCCATATTTCCGAGAAATCGCCGATTTCGGTGATTGTTTCCTTTATATTTTAATTATATTATTATCATGCTTACATATTTATCAATAAATCAATTCCTATACATAAAAGGAATAAATGATATTAATCAGAAAATACCCTGTTTACTGGGAATAAACGGAGTTTGAAAAACTTGTAGTTTTGTGCGTGATGTTTTGGGTAAATAAACATGGCGATGAAGGAGTTGCCTATCCCGTTAGTATATAGGTCCCTGATATTAGTTTGCTAATTGAAGTTTGAGCATTAACTGGAATGTCTTACTCATTTCAAAACAATATATGCTAGATTACAAATTAAAATTATACAATACAAATGGAATATTTCAAAGTTTGATGTACCATATGAAGGTATTGACATACAGCTAAGATTTTTCAAACTTGAGAGCTTCAATGATATATAACAGTTTTTTGTCGAGGAAATTCGAAACATATAAGCAAAGATAACGAAAACAGAGAACAGTGCGCTGGAGCAGATGGGCTAATTTCAATACCTCGTCTTTTCCGCGAAAATCAATCAGCTTATACTTTTTAACATTATCGCCAACTCGAATGAGTCCAATTGTAAATCCCTCTTGTGTCATTTGACGTTTTCTTGAAAAAAAAAAGAATGAAATCCAATATCCCCGCTCTTGGTGTTATGAAAAAAACGTCATCATTTTTTGTGTATTTAGACAATGCTAGTTTATACTTTATCGAATTCGTACCAAAGACTTTACCTTTCTGAGGGCATGAATTTCCCTAAAACTGTTATCTGACTCAAGTCTTTAGTAAAATATATTTCACTGTAATATTTTAGTCAAGTTTTATATGAAATAAATGCTAATAAAACAATTTTTGTACATGTGAATTAGTTTAGGATCAAGTTAGCCACATTTCAAAGGATGGAGGAGCTACACGAAGATATGAATCGTTTGATAAAGTTATTTAGTGAATTTTTGCAAGTACGTCCTTTAATTAAAACATTGACTATTATATGTTATTTTACACTATGCGATATAAAAAAGCAACTCTAATAAAATAAACACTACTTTAGTCATGGTTCCACAGCTTTTGAATGCTTAGAAGCAGAACAGCAGAAGATGATGCATTTCCACAGGTTCAGTCCAATAGCTATTAGGAATTTAAACCTATCCAAAGTAGCTATTTTTACATACTTTCTGCTTTAATTGCATTTTGTGGCCAAATGCAGGAACAGCGCAATGTGGTGAGCACAAAATTTCTTGATACAGTCACACTGATGATGGATAAATTTGGCCAAAAAATTATTGCTTCAAACATTATCAATTTTGCATAAGAATAAATTTAAAACTGCGGATTCAGGAAGCAATCATTTTTTTCACCCAAATTTTGTCTTTTTCATCATTAGTGCGACTGTATCAAAAAATATGGTATTGCGCTGTTCAGTCTTCTGGTCACAAAATGCAGATAATACAAAAGGTACGTAAAAATAGCTACTTTGGGTAGGTAGAAATAGTCTTTGGACTGGACCTGTTCCATGCTTGGATTTTAAATGTACTCTAGAAGTATGGATAAGAATGAATGGCTTACATTGTGCCGAATTCAAGATGTAATTGTGTGTTTACGAATCAATGGCTTTAATGCTTTATATACATGTAGGGCCTAATCTTAGCAAGATGTTGAAGGGACTAAAAATTTTCGTCTGGTGTCCTGTTGACATCTCAGATCAATGTCACACAAAGTGATTAAGGCTTATTTGCCCCAACTTCAACTGCTTGTTTCAATCAATATGGGCTTAAATGAATTAGCTGCCCACTTCAACTTTTTCCCATGGACATCCTTTTAATTCTCTATCGATCACTATAAAATAGGGCTGGGACGATATATTGAGATATATGAGAGGACGATACCCATATCAATACATATTATTATGATGAAATATCAAAATATCCCCAAAAAAATCTTAGTTCTGTTTTTCTTTGTTTATTTAACATTTGGGGTTTAACATATAAAATTAATAAGCTAAATATAAGAATAGATCTGAAATAAAAAAAAAATTAACACCACTTCAGTAAAATATTTTTGTTTTACAACATATAAACAACTATTTTGAATAAATTATTCTTATTTGAAAAGAAAAATTTGTTTATTTCAATGCTAATAAAGATTTTATAAGCAATGAAACATATTGTATTGTGGCTCAAATATCGTGATACGTATCTATATAGAAAAAGTTGTATTGTCCCAGCCCTACTATATAACTTCCGTTTCTTACCTTTAAAAGGTTTAAATCGAACAATATATAAAGATGTTGATTTTTAATAGAAATATCCTTCGTTTAATTAAAACTCCGATGCTGAAGAGTTCCACAATAGTCTGCTTCAGATACTTCACTCTACAACTATTTCATGTAGAAATGAACTAGAGTACAAGTATTTGAAGCAGACTATTGTGTAACTCTTCAGCATTGGAGGTTTAAAACGAATGGGATTTTTCTATGAAAAATCAACAACTTTACATTCAACCAGGATTGGTTATTGAAGCTACAGTAAAACTTGTCAAATGGTTCCATAGAAATTAAGTCTTATTGACCAAATTAGATAACATTCCAGATTAGAAGACAAATTTTATTTATTGAATGTTCTGAATTGTTGTTTTAAGAAAGAATTCAGAATACACAATATGCAGATTAGACAAGTTTAACTGTATATATGCATTAAAAGTACTTTTACTTTTTTTTCATAGGTATTGTACAATGATTTCAATTTATTAGACGTTTTACCAAGAGATTCAGTGGAGCATCACGAAAATGTGTGTAGCAAAGAATTTATTAACAGTTTGAAGAGACTCATAACAGATTTAAAGGTAAATAGAAAGTTCCAGAGGGTTTGTTCATTTCTATTTGATGCCTACTGAATTAACCTGGCTTAGATTTAAAGAGTATTCCATATGTAGAACATTCCTGCACAAATGTTGGTCTTAAGTGAGGTGTTGTAATTTGTAAACACAAATTCTGTAACTTGAATCAAGTGATCATTTGGTCATGTGAAAAATAATAAGGCTAAGCCATCTTTCAGTGACAAAGTTTGATGCAGTAAAATGATAAGAATTTTATTTTTATATAAAATATAACACACTACTAGTACTTGTATGTACATTGTACTGCAGGCTTTTGCCATTTTTTTTTAAAGGATATACAAAAGAAAATACAAAAAAATCAGGACCTACACAACAATGATAAAAGTACAGATGATTCAGTGGAATTAGGTGACACAAGTGTAGAGATGGAAATGATTGAGAGTGAGGGTGATAGTACACAACACGAGACTAGGGATAACTTCCAAACCCAGTCAACTCTCCATGCTAGTGAGACAGACAGCATTGCCAACAGTAATATACAGATCAAAGCTTCTAGTCAAGAGGTAAGGAATAAAATCATCAGTACTAAATACTGCCTTTTTATTTCAAATGAAAAAGAAGTGCAGTAATTTTTGTAATATATGATATCATTAAATTTGTCAGTAACTTTCAAAGAAATAAAGATTTAAAGAGATATATTTTGAAACCTCCTCTGTTGAAGTTAAATAAAGTAGAAATTTAAGTGGCTTTTATTAAAAATGTTTTCAAACATTCTTTCTAAGATATTTTGCCCGATATGATAAGGAATTCAACAAGGTAAAAGTACTGGGTACTGGCAGATTTTGAAAGGCTTGCAAATGATATCCATTCTGAGGACAATGATTTAAATTTGCTAAATGTAGATTAAATAGAGTTTACAGTGACAGCTTTAGTTACATGTCTCAGCAAAAGTCTCTTTAGCTCACCTGAACTGAAGATTGAAATGAGCTTATATGTGTGTCCGTTAACTTTAATTTTTGACTGCTTCATTAAAACCACAGGACCAATTTTATCTAAACTTGTATTTACCTTATATAAACATTGGTTGAAGGGGATTAAAGTTTCATCAAATGAAGGCCATAATTTCCTTAAGTTACCGGGGAGATACCATGACCTCCAAAGGAAGGGTGGGGCCGCAATGTGGAATTCAAGTTTAACTTGTGAAAATATACATAAATATGAAAAATCTTTAAAGATCAAGAACAACAAATCAACACTCTTGGATAGAGTACAATTTCTTATTCTCTTTCTAGATAGAAAGGAGAATTGCTGCTTTCATTGAACAAAAGAGACAGGAGGTGGATGAACTAAATATTAGAGAGTTCTGTTCAACAGTCTCCCCAGTATCAGGTTAGCAGTGTCTTTCCATTGCTTTTGTTTAGTATAGTGATATTATAGTGATAAACAAGATAAAAGAGAATTTAATACATTGTAAATATGTTTCCTGTATTTCAGAAACTGACAGTAGCTGTGCCCGTGTTGATTCAGTGTTTGATACCAGAATTGGTGGAAAAAGTCACATCAAAGGTGATAAATTTTACTCTGATTAGCTTCATTCAAAAGTTATATAAAAAAAAAAATAGTAAGCAACTTGGGCATGATTTTGCTTTTATACATTGTATATCACGGTATAGCTGTATAATTCCTTGTTTATTTTTTAGTGACAAGAGTGGTGAATCTTCAAGGACCACAAACCCAGATCAGTCAGCCTAACCCTGTCACTGTGGTGAAGAAGGAACCCGTGGAGGATCCAAGTTTTTCTGCCGGTATAGAGGAACGTCTTCAGAATATAGAGACCCACCTCAAGCTTGATAAACGTAATTCATTTTAAATATCATTATCACCAAAATATATATATATATTTTTTTAACTTTTTGTAAACTATGGAATTGACATCTTTATTCTTCATTCCTTCATTGCTGAAAATACTTTTTCCACATTGCAAAAAAAAAAAAAATTGTATCAAGGTGTCTGTTGGGTTCATCTACATGTATTTCATTTTCATTGTATATCATTCTATCTGCATAAAATTACCATGGAATAGAACTCTTTAGTATGCAGTGTTTAGACTACAGAAGGTTATAATGATCATTTTAAAAGAAGAGATTCTTGCTTAAAGTTTTGGCTTATTTTAAATTGGTGAAGTACATAAGTAAATTTGGAATCCTTGAACTAAAAACTTATTTATTAATCATGAAATACAAGTAACTACATATTTTTACACAGGAGAACAAAGAACGGATCTATTTACCAGGGTTAAGAAGATGGAAGAACGAATATTATACTTGGAGAGTCTTTCACCAGAATACTTTAGCAGTGGAATAGTGAGTAACATTTCATGGTACAGGGTCAAAAGTAACAGCAAGTTTTGTAGATTTGTTTTTCATAAACCTAAATACACTTGAGTGGCTGTTCAAAATAGAAAACTTGTGTTGATGATTTGTGGAGTTGTGCAAAAAAAAATCAATGATGTTTTTAAAACATTTTGCTCTAGTGTGTGTTAAAAAACTTAATACTATTATAGTCCCTACACAACTCATTAGCAAGGGGATAATCAATCTGAAAATATTGATTTTCAAAAACATTTAAAATGTCTCTGCAATGTGCACTCTGGAAAACTGCTGTGATATATACCATACCTGTTTAGTGGATACAATTCATTGTCTCCATGGTTTTTTTGACAGCCTTTACCCATGTCTTCCAAAAGAAGAAGAACATCAGCTAGACTGCCACTTCACTTTCAGGATGTGAATGTAAGATATTCCATTGTACAGATATTATGTTTCAGCAAAATAAGTTTCCATATTTACAGATGTTTATACATGTATTATGCATAATGCTTCAGCATAAAGCATGTGAACCACAAACTTTTTAAAAATATTTTGTTTTGTTCATTGTTAAAATCTAATTAATTTCATCTTCTGTTCATTATTAACATTAATTAATTTTTTGATTCCTGAAAATGTGTACTTGTTTTGAAATAGAATATGGCAGTATCAGATATTGATGATCGAATCCATATGCTTAGAGAATCTTTGAGGAGGAAGGCCATGAACAGAGTGTGACAATCCTGGTCTTCACACTATCAAATAGGGATTACATGTATTCTGTGACCCAACATTTGTATGTAGTTTAAACTATGGATTTTATGAAAAAAACAAATAAAAAAGAACCTGTGACTTTATTTTAAGAACATGAAGAAACATCAAATTGGATAGACCTATCCGATAATAGTTTCTGTGTTGGCACTGTAAGATAAATTTTCATATGAATAAATTCTGACAAATATTCGTAGAAAATAGAACGTCAGTAATAATTATTGTGCTGTACAAATATATTACAAGATATTAACAACATTTCACTGTACAATTGTAATAAAAATGTTGCTTAAATGAATGCATGGTCTTTGCTCAAATATGGCTGAAAAACTGCTGACTCAGACTTTGACAAAAAATAAGTACATGTAAATCAATCACATTTATACATGTGTAATTTCCTCTCTCCTCATACATACCTTGTTTCACACAGGAAGTTATTCTGAACCTCACAGCTCTCGTCATTCCAGTTGTAGTTCTCGTGGTGTAGAAGATCCATACAGTCCTCTCCCGTGTTTCTGACAGAGTTGGGCTCTCCTGGGTACCACTTCTGGTAATCCTCTTTCATGATGTTTTTACCTGTAGTGGTCCACATCCACTCTCCCTCCACTAGAGCATCTGTCCCATCAATCCAGCAGCCATCTGGCAAACCTAAAATAGAACCAATCCCCTACACTGCCAGGAATTAAAATGATCCTATGATATTCTTTGCCAATAAAATGCTTTGGTTTAGAGCATATGAGATCTTAGACACTTCTTTGAAAAAGTCCAGGTAAAAGAAATCTAGATGGTAAATTCTTTCATTTTATATAATAAAACATATAGGTACAGTTATGAATTCAAAGTAACAAATTTGTAAAATTACTAGTAAAATACATGTATATAAGCCCAACAAACTTTACCACGGTGGTACTCCCTGCGTAAAAGTCCCTCGATGAAATTCTGTTCTCTCTCAGATTCAATAACGGCTAAATGTGACTTGAACACTTGGCAATACATCTAGAAGTACAATATACCCAATGAGTATAACCATATAGAAATATCTGGTATTTTACTGATATTTTTAGTGACGCCTTAGCAATTAAGCATTTATTAGCAAGACATTTTCGGGAGCTGTGGTTTCTGTTGTATCGAATCCTTTATACATGTAATACAAATATAAGCAAGAATTAAATTTTCCCGAGCATATAGGGAAATTTTGGTACTTATTAGTGCCCCCTACCGAAAATGTTTGCCCCCTCCCACTCACTTAAATTGCTTCCTATGGGTCTGTCTGTTGAATAGAGAAATCCAAATAATGCACTTCATAATTGAACAACTGCTCTTTTCTATTGACAAACATCCCTCAGCAGCAGAGATCAATGCAACAAACAATTAATTATGTAATAAGAGATGACCTTAAATTTCAGGGGAAAAGTAATAAGTATTTGCATGTATTGATCAGTCTTCAAATTTATTTATGTCGACATAAATGGTACTAAGTCGCATGCAGGGCTACATACATGTAATTATCTGGCATTTTGTCATGAATAAGTCGCATGTCTACATAATAACCTAGCATGTTACATAAATATGTATCATGTCAACTTAACATCTTGGCCAGATTATATCAAATACTGACGAAAATAAATATATTTACCAATGTCAGAATCTGTAGGATTGGCGATGTAATGACAATGATTTGGTTTTCATAGATGTACAAACTTACATACATTAAATTGCAATTTGTATGTCAACATACGTGTAATTATTTTGCATGTAGACATACTATATTAGTTATCTTGCATATTGACATACTTTTCTCGCTTGTTAACATGATTTATCTTGTATGTAGTAGCAGAAATATGCAATCTAATTATCTTATCTGATCTTATCGACCTCTGTAGACTATCTGATATTAATAATATGGGTAAATGTACATAATAACGCCAATATTTGCATACTAGGGGGCAAAATATGTCGGGCAAAATATGTCCACCAAATGACTCCTGATAATTTAGTTGAGCCCCCCCTCAAATTGTTGCTCTCTGATCGATCTGATGTTCACAATAACAAAATTGTTGTCAAAGATACCTTCGATTACGTTAAAAAGGTCAACAAATAATAATTCTAAATGTATTTTAGAATTTCATCACATCAATTGAAATGATACGTGTATCAAATGAATTATTTCTTTCATTTAATTCAATTGATGAGAGTAATGATGGAGTAACCGAGTTTGAGATATCTCAAGTGATTAAATATTTCTTCAGTTATGTTATTATCATTTCTCACTCCGTATGTGTATTTTCTAAATGATTGCCCACGTTATGCTTTTGGAGCAGGTCCGGACTCATTCCCAAGCCTTTGGAAGTCCCATCACAAACCGCAGCCAAAAAGCACGATTCTCTCCCATTCCTAGAACTACTAGTTTGTGTGTACTCTTGACTTTAGCTTGAGACGATGTGGAAGCCTTACATCTGGATCAAAACTTGAAGGATTGCTTTTCAAAACCATTTATAAAATCTGACAGCAGTGACGAGATTAGATCTGGAAGCAGGTTTAGAAGCTATGGGGCTTTCCTGGACAAAACCATGCCTAACAAAATCATTTTCAATGCGGGTTGAAAGTTATAACAAGCATTATTGCTTTCCTGGACAAAGCCATGCCTAACAAAATCATTTTTCCTTCTGTAGATTAGACAAACCTTTTTCAATGCGGGTTGAAAGTTATAACAAGCATTATTTTAAGGAAAATTGAGATTCAGCCTCTCTTGAATACTACCGCAATTACAAGTTGCTGTGTTAAAAATGAAACATCCATTTTTAAATGAGTTTTGGCATTATTAAAAATACATGTATCGGAAGAAAATTAAATAATTGTCCATTTTTATGCCCACCAGACCTCAAGCATGATTTTTTAAAAATAAATCCGGTGTAGCTAGGGGACTATAGAAATACAAAGGAATCTCGCTGTACAAGTTGCTACTACCATATATACCGGGCTTTGCATTTTCCCGAAACCTGACGAATGCATTTATTACAACAAGTTTGAATATATACATCACCTTTGAGGTGATGATCATTAGTCATTGCTGGAATACTATTGTTGCAAGCGTATCTTGTTTTATTGTTTAATCCTTACCATTGCCTCGGCCCATGTTGCTCTTGTAGAGTGGAAAAACTTGTAACAAGACGTATCATGTTGAAGAAAACCATTAGGACAGTCAGCTATTGCTGCAAAATTTCAGATCTGACTTGTTTTTAGTTTCTCATGGATGTTACGATTGCTATTCAAGTAAAAATACTCAGATTTATGGATGTTTTCATGTGTTGTTGTACATAATATAGACAACGACAACTATACAACAAAGTCCTTAACATAACAATGATATAAATACATATTGAAGAATAATTGGGTTTTAGTTGGGTTACACATAATGAAGAGAGTGTATAGTATACAGTTATGGAATGGGTACGAGGGAAATAGCAAATTTATGGTTCCCCGAGGGAGGAAACTATTTCCCGAGGCGGCGAACCATAAATTTGCTATTTCCCAAGTTCCCATTCCATAACTGTTTTATTATACCGAAACAATCATGGGCGATTTAATTTTTTTTACCAGATATTCCGACATTAAAAAAAAAACACTGTAGAGACAATTACAAATGCATGCGGTTTAACACACTATATGATAAGTAATGCATCGTGTCCTACAACAAATAGATTATTTTTAAAAAGTATTTTCACTGTCATTTCGAAGAATTATCGTTGTCTTCATTTTGCTAGAATTCAAGTATGATTTTGACATCGCATGTCGAAATGTTTTGACGTCATAGTTACATTGCTAATAACATGACGTCACAGACTCGAGATTCCTTGAACGCTCCGCCCACTGAACACTTTGATTGGTTAAAATTACTAATATATTCATGAGGAAGTAGTCCCAGGGAGTAGCTCTGATTTTCCCTGGAGTAGTCTTCAGATGAGCGTAATGAAATAGACAGTTTTATGGTATTAATTTTATATAGAGTAATTAGAGTAGAGGTATAATAATTTTCAATATCACTTATATGGTAACCTATATACTTACTAGAAGCTAGAACAGTCAGAATGACGGCAAAAGAAATCCAGTTTGCACCCATTTTTAGGAAACAGTCTTTGTGCTAGTAATCGACTTTTGACAACTTGACAAAGATAAGATATTACGATAGATAAACATTGCAACTATAACAATGAAAGCGATCGCTGTTTTAAGTTTGGCTGTCATCCTTTTTCAAGCAGGTAAATAATGAGCTTTTTGTGGCTGCTTTAAGTTTTGAACTAATATTAATTTACATCCACTGAAGCTGTTTATAAAAAAGCGTAAACTGCCCCAAGTTTTGTTATATCGTATAATATAAGTTGAAATAAGCTTCATTCCTTATAATTTAATTTCAGTGCAGACAATAAAAAAAATTCCCCCAGAATAATGCTTCACATTGATTAAATTTTAAAAGTAACGTCAAGCGGAGTAATACGTTTTTTGACGTAAATCATTGTGACGTAGGCAAGTTATGTTATACAAAATGGATAAAATCTTTTATCCATATAAGTTTTGTTATATCGTATAATATAAGTTGAAATAAGCTTCATTCCTTATAATTTAATTTCAGTGCAGACAATAAAAAAAAATTTCCCCCAGAATAAGGCTTCTTATTTCCTATCTAGCTTGTAACACGAGCTTTGATTGGTTACAAAGTCGGGTGTAAATGTGTAAATAAAACGTGACGTCACAATGCATACATTCTCTATGATAAAAACCAAATAACATGACGTCACGATGCATTGTAATACGTAGATATCTAATCGATAGATTGAGACAAACGCTAGATGTTTACAAAGTATTTTTATGACCAGAGAGGAAATAAATTCGTTATCCAGGTCAAATATAATTTAATTTCAGGCCTTCGGCCTCAGGGTGTATGGAATAAAAAAAATTTCCCCCATTGAACCTGGATAACTAATAACATTGATTAAATTTTAAAAGTAACGTCAAGCGCAGTAATACGTTTTTTGACGTAACTCATTGTGACGTAGGCAAGTTATGTTATACAAAATGGATAAAATCGTTTATCCATTCAAATGACGTGTTACAAGTAAAATTAAATTATTTAATGAAACGACGTCTTAAATATAATTACAAGTAAATGAATGACGAGTTGAATGCCACAGCAAGTGCTTCCTTCTTCTGATGTAGAAGTTTTTGGGTTAAATAGGAAATTGTCTTCCATCCAAGGAATAAACGGACGAATCCATAGATGAAGATTCACAAATGCATGTATATTATTATATTTTTAAAAAGATAGCTAATAAAGGACCACAATTAGTGCCCATCGAAATGCCAACTGTCTTTTGAAGCATACAATGACATACGTATCAAAACGTACTGAATCCTAGTTTATTTAAGGACCCACTGTATAGTCTGTTGGGTATGCCAGGGCATCAACGATAGTTTGAAACGGGTGAAGCTATTTCTAAACAATCTTACGACATGCCCTAGTTTGTGCGTGAAAGCGAATTTCGAACTCTTAAAGTTAGAGTGTCGGTAACAGATAGTTATAGATAGCAGTCATTTGGAAAGATTCCTTAATAAGTAGGTATAAATTTTTGTTTGACGTACGAAGAGAGGTCATCCGTACGTTGACTCACATAATTAGTAACTGCTATATATTATTCATTTCGAACGATGAAACGATAATATATAACTGAAGCATATAGCTCGTTATAAAATTTCAAAGAGCCTAACATTTCTTAAGAGTGTAATGTTATCAATTTGTTGTTTGTAGAGTCAGTCTACGGTCAGGGCTGTCCAAATGGCTTCATGATGCACGGAGAAGCCTGCTATCTGTTCTCCATTCTCCGAGTGTCTTGGATCCAAGCTATGGTCTCCAATTAATCGGTTGATGCTATTTTGTCGTATGCAGCTAGAATTTCAAAAGAAACCTCTTTTTTCGTTTTTACAACATAAAAGTGTAAAATATCATATTTCTGTTGGTATTTCTAGAAATTTTGCGAACTTTATGGCGGAGAATTGGCCGTCATAGAGTCTGAGCAGGAACAGCTGTGGGTGGAATCGTATCTAAACAGCGCCTGGACACGGTGTTAAGTATTAATGTCTTATTTTAAACACACAATACATGTGTATTTAATCTATGAACTAACTGAACATTGATTAGGAAGAAGGCTAAATGGCGATTTATGTACTTAGTATTTTGATTTACAATATATACAGACTCTTATACATCATTTTTCACCACAATTTTTCATACAACAGACAATCAGACAGACGGTATTTGGCTCGGAGGAGCGGATCTCTTGGTAGAAAACGAGTGGGAGTGGGTGAAGGAAGGAAGGCCCTTCACTTACACACGCTGGGCGCCCGGGGAACCAAGTCATTATCAGAGAATAGGGGCCGACGAAAACTGCCTGGACCTTCTGCCACACAAACATTTTATGTGGAACGACGAAAGTTGTGCCTGGAAGATGAACTTCTTATGTAAAACAAGGTACAATTGATTATTATCCATTTTTATCATACCGGTAAATTTACCAATACTAGCACAATATTGAAAATCAGGCAAGTGTCCAGTGACATACAGATGTACTTTTGGGCTAATCGCGTCCATAGACCACTCAGTAAATCCTACATGCGTCTCTAATGCTAGATTTAATCATCATTTTATATATTGACAGCTAGGACAGTAATTAAAGGTATCATCGAATCTCTTAATCAGGGTTTGCATTCTGCATTCTTATTTATTATGTATAAATATAAGAAAATACTGTCAGTTATTAAAACAAATTTTATGTTGATGCTTAAGCAATTGGCTTGCATGATGCAAATTATCACGCAAGTCGATCGTTTGATCACATCATTAAACAAACAAGAGGCCCACGGGCCTTATAGATCACCTGAGTATCATGTAATAACCTTCCAACAATTGAATTGGTTCGTGTTTTAAATCAAAGGCCATGAAATTCAAAATTTTGAAAGAAGCACTATTGCTTACAATAATTATACACTTAGCTTAATTACTTTGGTTACTTAATACCCAGAGGTAGATCAGAGTAACAAAGAGAAAATGCATTTCCACTTTATGACCAATTGTGCACCCCACCCCACAGGAACCACTTACCCTGGGGCACATATTTCAAAATTGTGGAAATTTTATCATAAACTTTATTTCATCATAAATGGTTGATTAATACCAAAAAGCAGATTTCAAAGCATTAATTTATATTTAGACTATGTAACCCCCACCCAAGTACCCTGACCCATGGGCCCTGAAATTAATCATTTTGGAAGAGGTACCTTTCATCATCATTAATATGTACCTAGAACATTGGCATAATACCGAGGAGCAAAGGAAAAGGTTTTCGAAGAATCCATGCATTTTCACTAGATATAATCATTGGAGCCCCACCCTAACAACAAAACCCCTGACCCTGGGGAGCTGAAATTCACAAATCTGGAAGAGGCATCCTTCCTCATCATTACTGTGTATGTAGTTCACTGGTTTAATACTCAGGAGCAGAGAAGATTTTTAAAGAATTAATGTATTTTTACTATATAATCAATAGAGCTCCACCCTAAAACCAGAACCCCTGACCCTGGCCATGGGGAGCTGAAATTCACAATTTTGGAAGAGCAACCCTATTCAACATAACTATGTACTTGTTTAGTTTATTTGATACCCAGGAGCAGAGAAGAAGATTTTCAAAGAAGTTCTGCATTTTCACTATATAATCAATAGAGCCCCGTCCTAACCCCAGAACCCCTGACCCTGAGCCCATGAAATCCACAGTTTTGGAAGAGACAGCCTTATTCAACATAACTATGTACTTGTTTAGTTTATTTAATACCCAGGAGCAGAGAAGAAGATTTTAAAAGAATTAATGTATTTTCACAATATAATCAATAGAGCCCCGCCCTAACCCCAGAACCCCCAACCCAAGGGCCATGAAATTCACAATTTCGGAAGAGACATTCTCGGTCATCATAACTACATGTATGTACTTGGTTAGTTTGTTTAATACCCAGGAGCAGTGAAGATTTTCAAAGAATTTTCACTACTAGAATATAATTATTACAGCCCCATCCTAACACCAGAACCCCTGACCCAGGGGTCATGAAATTCACAATTTTGGAAGAGGCAGCCTTATTCAATATAATTATGTATTTGGTTTGTTTATTAAATACCCAGGAGCAGGAAGAAGATTTTCAAAGAAATAATGCATTTTCACCATATAATCTATATAGCCCCGCCCTAGCACCTAAGAACACCTAAGTCTGAGGCCATGAGCTTCACAATTTTGGTACAGGCAGCCTTATTAAACATAACTATGTGCTTATTTAGTTTATTTAATGCCCAGGAGCAGAGAAGAAGATTTTAAAAGAATTAATGTATTTTTACTATATAATCAATAGAGCCCCGTCCTAACCCCAGAACTCCCAACCCAAGGGCCATGAAATTCACAATTTCGGAAGAGGCATTCTTGCTCATCATAACTATGTACTTGTTTAGTTTGTTTAATACCCAGGAGCAGAGAAGAAGGTTTTCAAGGAATTTTGGCATTTTCACTATATAATCAACAGAGCCCCACCCTAACGCCAGAACCCCTGACCCTGAGCCCATGAAGTTCACAATTTTGGAAGAGGCAGCCTTATTCAACATAATTATATGTATTTGGTTTGTTTATTAAATACCCAGGAGCAAAGATGAAGATTTTCAAAGAAAGTTCATTGGTTTAATACTCAGGAGCAGAGAAGATTTTTAAAGAATTAATACATTTTCTATATAGCCCCACCTTAGCACCTAAGAACCCCTGACCCTGGGGCCATGTAATTCACAATTTCGATAGAGGCAGCCTTAATCAACATAAGTACATGTATGTACTTATTTAGTTTATTTAATGCCCAGGAGCAGAGAAGAAGATTTTCAAAAAAAGTAATGCATTTTCACTATATAATCTATTTAGCCCCGCCCAAGCACTAGAACCCCAAAGGCCATGAATTTCAAAATTTTAGTAAAGGACTCAATGCTGATTACAATCATGCAAACAGTTTGACTGCTTGATCTCCAGCGGTAAAGAAGAAGATTTTTTAAAGATTGCATTAATTTTAGTGGTTTTGGTCCCACCCTACAGGCTCCAGGGGGCAGGGACCAAGAAATTCCCAATTTTTGTTCCCCTTCACCCATAGATGCTTTATGCCAAATTTGGTTGAAACTGGTTGAGTGGTTGCAGAGAAGAAGCGAATCAAATGTTAACGCACGACGACAGACGAAAACCGATAGCAATAGGTCACCTGAGTGTACTCAGGTGACCTAAAACAAACATAATAAACCACCCAACAACAACAAACTAGATAGACAGCTTATTTCTTTATATTGATTTTCAAATATTGACATCTGAATATGATCTTTATATCTTAAAAAAAATCCCATTTTATATGATAATTTGCACAGGTGTAACTATGAAAAATAAAATGTTTTTCTCCGATTCTTTGAGCGGGAAATAACGTTGCAGCTATCACATAACGAATTAGACGTGCTTCTGAAAAACTTATGCTTATATGACAGCTTATGGAAAAGTTTAAAGTTTCAAGTGAAACAAAAAGGTCAAGGTCAAAAGATTAAAATTGTTGGTATCCAAAGAAAGTAAGAAGTCTTGTCACAAGGAATACACCTGTGAAATATGAAAACTCTTGTACTTACGGTTCAAAATTTATGATCTAGGTAAAAGTTTTTTCAAAAAGTGAATCAAACTCTAAGGTCAAGGTCAAGTAATTTTTATTTCCTTTGAAATGTCTTGTCACATTGAATACACATGTGAAGTATGAAAGCCCTTGCATCAACTATTCAAAAGTAATGGCCAAGGTCAAAGTTCGAAAGTTTCGGCAAAAGTGGGTCAAACTTAAAAGTCAGGACCACGAAATCAAATTTGATGTTACCCCAAGAAAAGTCAATCTTGCCAAGAGGAATACATTTGTGAACAAGAGATGTTTGTAAAACACATGCCGCCTCCCCCAAATAATTGGAATTTTTCTAAAGTCCAAGTACTCTGTCCAAAATGGTCCGATCGTACCCGAAATAGAACTTAACCTAGATTTATTATTTTAATCAAACGATAATATGCCATCTTTGGCTGTTAGTACGGGAATTAATGTCGCAGCTGTTGTAGAAAAATATACAACCGCATAAATTATATGTTTAATATTGTATCACAGACATATATGTCATTGTATGCATAACTGATGGAACAGCCATTTTTAACTTGCCAAGTGCCGTTTATGGACTAACGGTAATGGTCTTGATAGGAAAAAACGAAATATGCGAGTATGTACCGTAATATTCATGGATGTAACTATTGTGTTATTTAAATTTTTGCATGATTCATGGAGTCACGGTTATGTGCACATGACAGGGATATCCAATCCATAAAACTTTCCTCTAAAAATATGTTGAATTCAACAAATATTGATACGGCGGACTATAAGTTTTGTAGTAATGTGTTTCAGTTACGATCTTTAGATCTGTATATTCATTTGTCAAACAAATGCATCTCAGGTGATCCATGGGATTCACATGCATGCTTCTAATTTTTTCTTCCAGTTTGAATGGTGATCCATTGACTTTAATTGGAAAGAGGTCGGACCCAGTGGTGTAAACAAAAAGCAAAGGATGCCATTACATAACACTCTGAATCGGAATCCTTACATTTAAACAAATAAATTTTGTTATAAATGCAATAGCGTACGCTTGTGTTCGATTTAATTGAAATTTTAAGGTAACTCATACGTTAACATCAAATAATATTACCACGGAATAAAGTATACTTCCGGATTAAAAGCCACTACACTGTGAAATTTTTAATGAACTGATTTGATAGTAAAGTATGTGGATTTCAACCAAACTGTGAAAGCCTCGCCAAGCCCCAGTCTACTGGATAGCCTTAGTGCACTCCTTTTGCCAATTATGTTTCAATTTACAAAACAACCCCTCTTTGAAGTTTTAATGATATTTCTATTCAAATTAATACATAGGAGGTTATTACAGGATATTATCAACTTGTCTTGTAAACATTACGTCTTGTCAAACAGTTACAGAGCATGTTCGCACTTCAACCTTTTATAAACAATTACTATTAACAACCAGATACATTTGGCAAAAACAGCATAGACAAGAAACTTCAACATACTATAATATCTTTTCATTCTTTTAATTTTTTAACACGTGCACCAACTGTTCCTATCAGAACAATGCTGTACAGAAGACACATTGACTGCAAATTAATGCAGTGGATCACGGAATTGAGATTTTTCTGTCATGTTTCAAATGCATCACCCACTAGTATGTCTAGGCACAACACTAAGTAAACAATTATAGCGCTTACGAGTAATAAACACAAGTGTGACAGAGGAATTTATTCCCCCTCTTTTGTGGGGTATGGAACCACGTGGAAAGGTTTGGGATATCTTATTAAGCTATCTTCTGCTGTTAGCGAAGGGTTTGGATTATCTTCCGGTGCTCGAAGGTCAAATTTGTTGATTATGTTCGTCATAAGGAGAAACAAAATTTGGTCCGTGAAACTGTTAAAGTTGGACGTTCGACGCCCTGAAAAGATAGAGTTACAAAATAAAGCCATAAATACCGGTATATTATTTTTGTTGAATATTTTGTTCCAAAAAAAAAAAAATAACTGGAATCAAACTAAATTTAAATAATACCTCTTTTTTATTTTTCAATTTAAATACAGAGACAATTTTTCTGTAAACGTTCATTGACCCTCTTATAAGAGAGACAACCCGAACTGAAAATTTCCATTATTCCTTTATAAAATTGTCAGATTAAAAGACAATTTTTGTCAAGTTTTGTCCAAAAGATTTCCTGAAATTGATTAATTTGATTTTATTTGGAAATTACTTTTGTTTCAGCAAAATTTTTCATACGTGAACAAAGATGTTTAACCTTTAGCCTCCAATTTTCAACATCTTACCCAGTCCATACGGCAAGAATGCTTCGTGACGGATAAGTTTTCCATCAGAATCCATAAAGTTTTCTGGTCGGAATTCCGAGGGGCGTTTCCAGTACGTATAATCCATGTGACAAGATTGTACGTTTAGTAGAAGTAGGTCTCCACTGGGAACTCTGTAATCCCCAACCTCTAATTCTGATGATACTTTATAAGGGTATCCGTATGGTACTGTGAATAAGATTTATAACTTTACTTTCTTACAAGACTGAAATCTGGCGTAATTTAAATCTGACGATTAAAATGATGGCTGAAAATTGAATTGTTAGCTCGATCTCTCAATAATACGACGGCATTTTTCTAGAGCATAGAAATGAAACAATGATACAATGGACATCGTAGGGACCCAAGACATCAACAATTGCATTGAACTTATTGCTGATCAAATTAATGATTCTTTGATGCACGTATTTTTTGTTCCAGTTTGAAAACACTTCGAAAAAAAACTGTCTGACTCGAGCTTGATAGTATTGCTAAGCATTTTACACTGCTGCAGTAAATAAAGGATTTGAATACATTCTTTTGCATCATGTGTTGCTTTCACAATATCTGTTGTATCTTTTGTTCTGATTAAGCAATAATAAAGTTAAAAGGATTTCCAACAGCCTGCCCATAATAATATTTTTCTAATTGTTTAGAAATACAATACGTGAGAAAAATGACGATAAAAAGATATTTTTGTTAAATAAAAAAGACAATATATTTTCAAAAAATGATTAAAGCATAAAATAATCAAATAGCTGGTCTAAAACCCTATCATCAACATTCCCCTGTTGTATGGAACGCCAAATTAACATATATTCAAATATTTGTACCTATCTTCAAATAATTGTACCTATCTTCAATTGAATTGTACCTATCTTCAAATGAATTGTACCTATCTTCAAATGAATTAAAGTGGTACAATTCAGAGATTATACTATCTTTAATTCATTTGAAGATAGGTACAATTGATTTGAAGATAGGTACAAATGCAATGAATTGAAGATAGGTATAATGATTTAAAGATAGGTACAATTGAATTGAACCTATGTTTAATTATTAAGATATTGGCAATAACAACTACTCCCTTCATCATAGGTCATTTCCGATACGTCACAACTGGCGCGAAAGTTTATCGGAATCTTCATCTGGCTGCAATACAAGATAAACTTACATGATGTACATGTGTATTTTTATAAGTATATGATGCTTTCTGCACATTTTGAATTAACCTTTATTTCTCCTTTCATCCTTGTTGTCGTACGCTCTGTAGTTTCTGTGCGTTTCCCTCCATACTCAATATTGTCTCCAAGGTTCTGAGCTTTCATTATTTACCAACAACATAAAACGAATTGAACCTAGGTATAATTGAATTGTACCTATCTTCAATTCCTTTGTGGATATGTCTTAATTGAACCTATCTTCAAATCAATTGTACCTATCTTTAAATCGATTATACCTATCTTCAAATGAATTAGAGATAGGTATAATTCAAAGTATGTTATGTATTTTAATTGAATTGAAGATAGGTGTAATTCTATTAAAGATAGGTACAATTCATTTGTACCTAGGTATAATTATTTAGAGATAGGTATAATTATTTATACCTATCTTCAATTTAATTGTACCTATCTTTAAAAAATTGTACCTATCTTCAATTCATTTGAAGATAGGTACAATTATTTGAAGATAGGTGCAATTATTTGAAGATAGGTACAAATATTTGAATATATGTTAATTTGGCGTTCCATACTGTTGGCTTCGCGCTGTGAACAGACCTGGGTTAGAGAATCTCTGCGCCTCCTGTATTGTCGCTAGGATAAGCGGCAGCTTCTGTCGGTCACCCCAGGAAACGCATCCATCATCCTTTATCTAAAAACATCGTAATCGGTGTGGTAAGTTCAGAGATTAATACTCACTGCTTGTAAGGACCTCCCGCTAGAGCTTTACAATTTGATTTTTGAAGTGTTAGATAACTTTATATCTTTCGTGGAAATTAGAAATGTACCCTCTTCCTTAAAAATTATTTCAATTGATAAGATGTGTTGATATAGAATTCAAAATAAGTGGAAATACAGGCAAACTTACAAAGAAAACCTTTATCTATATTTTCCTCAGTGCTTTCAAAATTAAGATATTAAAAATACAGTGCATTGCTTTCAAAATAAAGATGTTAAAAACATTGCATACGCAAGGTAGAAAACAGTCACATTATTGTTTTGTGCGTACATGTATTTCCTATTTTATTAATTAGGGCTTCACAAAAGTATTGTATTTTTAATCTGGTTCTATATACCTCTTTGTTTTCCGGATTGTGTTAAATTTAAGTATAAAATTGTTTAAACAATAAAGGTTCTGACACTTTCAGGCAAGTAATATACCGTGTTAAAAAAGCTTACCACATCTATATGCTGAACTTTATAGAGTTAATGTGCATGTATTATAGGTGTGATATGTCTTTTAAGAATATGCTGTAGTAAAGTGTTTACGTTTATAGTTATGGTCATCTTTGAAAAGAATTTTTTCCTTGTACCAAAATGTCAAAAACTTAACTGCCAAACAACTTTTAAGAGTATTTCAAGTAGATTCAAAGTATGTTATGTGAATTTTGTTGATTTGAGATTAATGAAGTTCCATTAAAAACAGAATCTGAGATATCAAAAAAACCTGCAGCTTGATGACATGGCGGCATTTTTTCTGAAGTTCAGGATAGCGTATCAACATTAAGAATGTCCACGCCATCAAGCTTACGGTGGGTTCACATCCACAGATAAAAAGATTGATCACCCCCAGGAGAATGTCTTCATCTGAAATTAATAACTTAATCATCCACAGGCACGAAAAAAAAATATTGGAAAAAATTATAAAATATGTCGCTAGATAATCATAATTTAATCTAGCATACAAAGATTCAATTTTACTTGTGTATAAAACTGTATACCGTTGACAACTTTTCTCTCTGTGGCGCTGTACTTCAGACAAACATCAACAAAATCCAGAAGTTCTTTTTTAATCAGGGATGTTTTGTGATTTGTTAATCTTGGTCCAAGGAACTCTTGTATATACTTGACAGAATCTCGAAACTTTGAACTCTGAAAAAAAAATCTTTATAGCTCATGCATTATTTATAAAGAGTAAACTTTTTTTCAGATTAAAACTATAAATACTATCTGTTAAAGAATGCTGTATAATTTGTGATTTTTCATTTAAATCTTTTGACAAACCTTCGTTGAAGAGAGATGTTGCAAAAGACTTAAACCACTCTCCGGTATACCAAAATTGCCACTTTTGGAAATTTCCTGGAGACATTCTTTGAAGCGTCTGCACGAGGGTCTGTCAAACTCGAGTCTAAAAAAAATATATTATGAAGACTTGTGTATAGGCTCTGTACCTCAACACTATCAAGAACTACATTTCCATATGTTCCTGTTGAGCCCCGATATCAACCCTTGTTATCAATTAATTAGAAAATTAATCCACAGCTTTTACATCTTCCCTAGTCAAGGGTTTTAGAGGAGTTGACTGGACCCAAAACCTTTGGCTAGCGAAGATAAATCGTTTAAGGATTTCCGCATTTCTTTCCTAAAAACCTGTAGATATTGAGCAGATTTAATTTTGCATTTTACTTTCGTGTGTTATAGAACGAGTTAACATTTTGTTACACTTTGATTTTTTTTTTTTTGACGGTATCATGACAATATCAATTTTTAATGGGAACCAGATTATACTTGCCGGTAGGGGTTAGTATTGCTAATGCAATACTCTCACAATGATTGTCAACATCTTGACCCGTCTTTGGGTAAACATGCAGAAACGTATTTAACTAATCAGGTTTTCGATGTCATGGTCCGGGTATGACTTTAATGCATCATTGTCATTCGACCCTTACTTCTAAGATGCATGTCTCACCTTTTCTTAAGATCGTGACACACCTTTAGCTAATGAAAAAGAAATATACTTCAACCTATATATCCTTAACATCAGAAGGCCTGACACCATATCAAACAACAACCAAACAAAATATCATACACTGTATATTGACATAAAGAAGAGAAAATGGGGTTGGATAGGCCACACTTTACAATTCTCAAACCCCGCGTTGCGCAGTAGATGAAGTCGCGAAGTAAAGAATTGATCCTTCCGTCGCGGATTCAAATCCCGCTGTAGAAAGTGAAGAGTGGTTCTTCGGATCAAACCGTATAAACCGAGGTCCCGTGTTGCAGTAGATGCTGGCACGAAAAAGACCCCCCCCCCACTGCTCAATGGCCTGAGTACTGAGTATGTATAACAAAATTCGCAGCTCTCCACCGGCAAATGGTGGCGTCTCCATATGAGTGAAAAATTATTGAGAGGGACGTTAAACAACACACAATCAATCAAACAACATCACAAAACAGGCTCTGGAGTGGAATCCATGAGGAAAGAGGATGATTGGGACTGGAACACCCAGGCAAACTCGTGAAAATGGAGGCAAAAGAGGTACATATAGGTTTTACCTGGACCCAATTAAGAAGCATAGCCCAGAACAGTCTCGAGTACGATGGCGCGGCGTTGGTTGCAGAGCTATGCTCCCCAAGGAGCGAACAGGAAATCAAGTAAATCAAGTGAATCTATTCTAATCAAGGAATCGAGCACCATAGTCCGAACACGATTTTGTGACAGAATAAACGAATCAAAGTACTCAGAAGTACAGAGAGCCGGGCTCATTTACAGAGTAGAATGGATTCTTACATGAATCACGTTTACATTCTGATGAAAAAATTATTTTAAAACTACTAATATAAATGATAAGACACTGACAGTGAGTTTTTCAATCCTAATACCACGGCCCGATTTTGTCAGTTCTAATCAGAATTAATCTGGTACCGCAGCTGAATGTAAACAAACAGGCCAGTCTGGTTCCCTCTCCTGCTTTACCTCAGAGAACGATTATCAAAAATCCTTACGCTAATGAACTATGTTCTTTGACTTATAAAGTTTTCAAAGTCATTACTACTAATGTTTTTTTATATAGATAAAACTTCGTTTTATTTTTGTTGCTTTATTTAGCGTTTGTATTATCTCAAAAGCGGTTGAGAGTAAGAACTATATTTTTGCACGTAACTTTAAAATGGCGACTATGGGGTCAACATCCTGCCTTGAACAGGATCACATAAGCCGGCAATTGCTCTTTGAGCAATAAGCCCGGCTAAAAACGAATATGCTTCCAATTCGGGAAGCCACAATATGATGCTTTTCCGATACATGTAACACGGCTTATGATATCAGGATTTTCAACTTTACGTCTAAAATCTTGACGTGAAATTTGCCTAAAACAGCATTTCAATCGTTTTTGTCAATTTGCAAAGATGGCTTGAGAACCCATTGAATTTTTGATTGAAAAAAAAACGTTGTCAATACGTATATTGTTAACCATTTTACATGTAATCAATATAAGTTAAATTCCCTGTTTACCACTGAACGTTTTCAGGCGTTAATTGTGCAATATTAAGGATCTGTTTTACTGTATAGATGCTTTCAAGAAGAAAAGCAACAAGTTGCGTATATAAGAAAAGGTATTCCTCCGATAAATGTTTCTAAATTCAGTTAAGGTCTGACAGGAATTATATAACTCCCTCAGTTTCTCACGCCTGCATTGTCTCTAGTGTGACAGTTTCTGTTTTCTGTTTATATTTATCTGTCATATTCACTCCTAATATAACAAACAAAACCTTCATTATTGGGAGCATCTTCATACCAAACCGAGGAAAACATTTTCTAAACTACTTTTCTTTATGTGTTAGAAACGCCATAGTTTTTAATTACTGCTGAAGTTGTCACACCACCTAATAAAAATATCGGTGAAGCATTCATATATCAGGGAAAAAATTGTTAATCATTTATTTACTCCAATGTATTACACTGTTTCTTATATGTCATGACGCATTTATCTATACATGTAGACAAGTCGATCCCAAATGTAACGAAGTTGCGCATCTTAATGAACTTTTCACAGAATCAAGAGGGCAATATCACCAAGTGGTGGTATTAGTGAAATTAAATTTGACCGTTTTGTATTAGAGACAAGGTCAGGTCAAGGTCATTACCTTTTTCCTAGACATAAATAATAAAAAATTACTGTTGCCAATTATGCGATCCCTATTTGTATTTCAAAAGATTGAATGTTCTTCTTTTTGCATAAAAAGATACTTTAAGATGATATTACCAAATTGACACAAATAATTTAACTAAAATGGATATAGGCTAATCCGAATTTTCTCTACTTTTCTTAATTTTTAAGGATATATTAGTTATTTTTATATGCTTCCTATATTTAAATTTTTCTCATTTTCACATATGGTAAACTTGTCACATAAAGATACAAAAACAAAAAGTTTTGATCGTTTACTAAGAGAGAAAAAAATACTTTTTACGGATTTTTGGCTCAAATCTGTACTCAGATTGGAAGCTTATAAAAGCTAACATATAGTTCTAGTTTGTTAGAAAAATCATATTTATTTGATATATTTAGAAACTTTAGTCGCTTATTATTCATCAAAGTTACATTTGAAAAGTTTTCCAAGTCTTTGATTGTGTAAAAACTATAACTAAACTCATTGTTCTAAAATAATTTTGAGATGCAGAAAAGAAGATATGTTCATACGCCACCATTCCGCCAAAAATATAGTCCCTGCTAGTTTTCAAATGCGGTTTACTATTTCTATTTAAAGTTGTACAATTGTGATGAGGAAAGAAAATATGGTCCTTTAAATCTCTTACATCTAAATATATAAGACATATAGGCAAATGTACTTTGAATATATCATCTAGTCAGAAACCAGAAAAGAATCCTACCTTAAATCAGTTTAAAGAATAAGCTTGGTTTTCTTTTTTTTCACTAAAACAATTTATTTACTCTTGTTTTTACTGGAGAGAAATATTTTCCTTTATTCAAAGAATACATGCTTGTAAATGAATGTTGTGAAACCTTTCTCCAATCGTAATAGCCGATACAATGTTGTAAACAGCTTCTCTAATCATATTCAGCATGCTGATTTGGCGACATTTCTCTGCTGAAAGTTCCGAGTGAAGGAATCGGAACTCCTCTAGAATTGTCGTCTCTAAAGAGGACCCCTCCTTCAAAAAGTTATCCACTGTCTCCTCTGTCAGTTTTTCCAAAGTTCTCCAAAGCTCGGCGTTTCCCAGTAAAGAGCCGCCTATCAAAAACCGGATAAAGTGAATACCATAAAATGAACTGATTGTGTATAAGGCCAAGGTGACTTCAGTTAGATAAATACCGTATTTTAAAGTTTAAAGGAGACTAGGTGGACAACATATTACCCAAGAAATCTGTTTAAAATAGTTAATAATTTTCCTAGTCATACCTTTTTATTTAAGAAATAAATGTTCGAAGCATAATTTTACTAAAAAATCCTACTCTTTAAAAATACAATTTGTTTTCCTATTCCAAAAGATTTAAAATGTCTCAAAATTGCAATGACCACCTAGCCGTATTGAATACATGTACAAATAATTGTAACGGGAACCGTTACAGATGTTCCCCAAACGCTCCCCAACTCCCTTTTGGTGCCTTATTCCCTGTAACCTTCATTTAAATAGGACGAACTCTATGCCTTTTAGACTATAACAATGTTTTCCCAGAAGTATATTCAGTATATTCAAATTTATGCATTGCACGCATGCGCATTTGAATGCATGTGCGTAATGACCATATCATCTTGTCTACACTATTTGTATACTAGAAATTACAGCGTTTTATCCAAAAGTATTAAAAAATACGTTTTAATCTAGTGTATTTGTAATTTTGCTCATTTCACGTGCACGCACGTGCATGCATGTGCATGTCGACTGTATCTTCTTGTAGGAGTCTGTTATGTTTGTCTATGTTCTAAATCCCATCCTGTTTGGTTGAAAAACGAGGAAGTTATAGCCATTTTAAGTTTAAGCCAATCAGATTGCAGAGCACGTGTATGCGCATGTTTTCATGACAACTGTTATATATCATGTTGTAGGACATCCTAATGCATGATTATGTTTAAAATTTTAAAGCATTTCGTCAAAAATTAAAATAAAATATTCCGATTTATGTTTCAGCGAATCACAGCAAAGCACACGTGCATGCACGTGCATGCATGTGCATGACGACCATACCTCCTTGTCGCAGTCCATAATGTTTGTCTATGTTCTAAATTCCATACTGTTTCGTTGAAAAACAAGGGAGTTATAGCCATTTAAAGTTTAAGCCAATCAGATTAAAGCGCACGTGCATGCGCGTGTTTACATGACAATTGTTATATATCATATTGTAGTACATCCTAAAGTATGCCTATATTTTAAATTTCATAGCATTTCGTCAAAAAACAGAAAAGATATTGAGATTTTTGTTGCAGCCAATCAGAGCGAAGCGCACGTGCATGCGCGTGAGTTCGTGCTAATTTGACAGTGTCACATTATCTACACTATAAATATATCCTTATTAAATGAGTTTTAAAATATTTGATCAAAAAATGTTAAAGTTATGGCTATATAAAGTATATCCGTCATTTCACTCATTTCACGCGCCCGCACGTGCATGAGTATGCGCGCAAAATAACCTTCGTGTTGCACACCTACACTACACACCTATTAACCCTAAAAAGGTTTTAGCTCAGTTGGGTGAACAGTTTCTGAGAACACTCGCGGACAAAAAAAGTACTGGAGAACAAAGAAGAAAAAAAAGAATAATAATAATAATAATAATAATAATAAGAAACCGAGTAAAAACAATATGTTCCCAAACTCCGTTTGGGGAACATAATTGTTTAAATTCAGTAAAAAAGTCATAGAAAATGGCATTGGTAAAACTGATAAACGAGCAATATTGTCATTACATTAAGATTCATGAGGACAAAATTTATTATTGCAAACAATCTTCAACAAAAACTGTATGCAGTACACTAAAAATGTTTACTAATATACTTAAATGTGAAATTAAATCAAAAGTACATGTGGTTCATGGTGAATGTCGTGTAGCTTGTTTATAAAGGATAACTGGTAGAGGACATTTCTGTATAGCTTGCTTACTTAATAATAAAGGCAAAATTAGTGCGCATTGTATGATACATGTACTTATATAGTTTTCACAATGAGAAACTTAATATTTCATGCCTTCAATTTCAGTTGCAAAAATAAGCTGAATTTTGCCACAAAGATAATAACTGATAACTCATCTTCAGTGTACTCTTTTTTTGTCGAGAGTAAAACTCAACTTGAGATCTAAAATACTGAAAACTGTCTGACCTTGAGAAGGCTGGATTGGTGTGATAAACGTTGACCACTCTCGGTAAGGTTGTAGGGACTCTTCTTCAAGGACTTGTTTAATATTTTCAAGACCACCAACCACTGTCACGTGTTGAGTTCCTAATCTAAATCGAAATATGCTGCCATATTTTCTTTCTAAATTCCTCAAAAAGATCATCAACTTTTTGTCATTTGAAATGGCAGCAATAAAAGGCCATCTAAAGGGTCCCGGGGGAAGTCCACGGTTTTTCAAGAAATAATAAGTAAAGAGAACCACTATAGCACTAATTAAGTATGGTCCATATAAAATAAAATTCTCCCAGATCATCATTTTTCATCAGTGTCTTTTTTGAAATTTAAATTTTCAATAAGAAGCGAATTCCTTCAAAAGCTGTTTCATAATAAACGTCGTTGTAGTTTATCTCTATCCGTCTACGAAAAAAGCCAAGGTTTGTTTACAAGCCTGCAGAGACTCGAGAGCGCACGTTACTCTTAACTATACTGGATATACATTCTACGCAATGGTTGTTAAAAAAAAATATCTGCCAAGTTAAAAATGCACATGCCAACATAAGATGATTAACAATTTTTGAAATGCGTAATGTATATTGCAAGATTTACTATCGTCGTTATCAATTAAAATAACTCCTGTTAAAGTTTTAGTTTTCTTTTTTCAAATATTTAACTGTCTGTAACTCGCTTGTAAATCTTACATGTACATATAATCATTTAAATATCTAAAGCCGTCATAAACTAGCGTAACAATAATTCTCCTCAATATTATTTTTTAAACAACATACCCATAAAGCACTTGGACAGCTCAAATTTGTCTTCATCGTTCAATTAAGTTGATCAATGCTATATATTTTCTCATGAATTAAATTCAAACAGTAATAATTAAACATATACCGGGTACATACACTGAACCTAAGCTTGAAACTTAGATTACAAATCATGGAAGAGTTCCCGTGTCAAACTGTTGAACCATGAAGAAATAAAAACTATTTAAAAAAGAGAACATATCAATATCATGTTTTTATCTTTTTAAGAAAAAAAATTCAATTAGATTGATTGTTGTTTAAGGTCAGACGAGACGTTCCTCAAAATCTGTTTTGTATATCTTCGTAATGTAAGAAAAATATTCAAAATTTTAATAACATTCTGATTTCTAAACCATTTTCTAAACGTTTTTATAAAATCCAAACACTTAAACATTTGAAATTGGAAAATTATTTTTCTTCCCCAAAGGATTATATAAGAAAAACTATACCCCTGGTATCTTGCAGAAATGCCTGGTAAGGTACCTCAATCTTTTGTGAGTAAACATGTTTTAGCAGCAATACTTCAATGACAAACTCTTAGAAAAATTTATCTATTATTAAGGAACGTCTCGTCTGTCCTTAACGTTCCTCTTGAGAATTGTTCACTTATATGGAGACGCCACCACTTGCCGGTAGAGAGCTGCAAATTTTGTCCTTTACTCGGCACTCAAGGCCATTGAGCAAGGAGGGATCTTTTTCGTGACAGCACCTACTACGACACGGGACCTCGGTTTATACGGTCTCATCCGAAGGACCAGTCTCCACGTCCCACAGTGGGATTCGTGCCCGCGACGTAAGGATTAACTCGTTACTCCGCGACTCTGGAGCAGATGCTCTAACCATTGCGCCACACGGGCGACTAAATTCAGACATACAAGTGTTGAATATTGATTTCGTTTCCTCTATTCAGAAGCCGACATGAATTTTTATCAAGATACAAAATTTCCCAAAGTTCACTAAAAAACTTGAAAATACATGAGACGTATACAATATTTTTGGTTTTGGAAAAAAAGGGAGCTTAATTTCACCACCTTACTTCATTTTTCCTTCTGAATTGTTAATCCATTCAACGCTGTTATCTTCCTTAAGCTAAGAAAGAGTATAGAGACGGTATTTGTGCTAAACTTTATAAACATTTTTTTTTGACATTGAAATAATGATTAGTTTACATTTTTCATTTAAAAATTTCAATATCGTGTCAAACTTAAAATTAATTTAATTTCATATATTCAAGCGTTTTCAATGCAAAATCAAATGAGTCATATTTCAATTAAATTTTCTAATTTTCGACTGATCTTTTAAACACTACTTTTTGATAACAAGTTCCTCCAAAATAGAACTTGGATTCAATCCTCTTATTTTACTGACACTTTTTATATTTTAATTAATAGTCAATAAACCATAAAACAATAACAGTAGCCAACTCATTTCTTGAAAACATGACTGGTGCATCGTTCTTGATCATGTACAAAAAGAATCTGAATTTTTAATTTTCACCATGGGGTCCAAATGGGGGGGAGGGGGGGGGGTGCGCCAAGAAAATATTTTCTACAAAATCCTGGTTCCCTGAACTCATCTGATACTTTTATAGTCGCCAATCCATATTTGAATGGGAGTATCCTAACGATATGCAATGAGGTTTTAAAATGTTAACCTTGGAGATGAATGAGAACAAAAAAAGTTGGTTCCTGGAACTACAGATACACTTTTTTAGTAGCCAACTCGTCTTCTGAAATTTGATTGGTGTTGGCTTGTAGATGTACAATGAAATTTTGGAGTTTTGATCACTGTACAGGCTAAATTTGGATTTTAGATATTTTAAAATCTAGTTCTACCTTACATTTCTCATATTTTTGAAGAAGTCTTTCTGTAGATGAGCATTTAGGTTTGGAATTTCAATTTTCACCCTGCTATCTTTTGGTGGTCTGTTACTTTGAAAAATTACGCACTTTGAAAAAAAAATTTCAAAGTACCTTAAAGTTGGGACCAAGTTAACACACTTTGAAAAAATAATTTGCCCCAATTTTAACGCACTTTGAAAATTTTTTTCAAAGTGCGTAATTTTTTCAAAGTGCGTTGCCGCAGTGGTCGAAGACTGGATTTTTTTGTTGCGAAGGTGGATACATGTATATGTAGAGCCAAACACCCTATTATGGGTATTACATGTACTCGTTATTAGTGTCTTATGGCAGCATTTAGTGCTCAATTATAAATCAAATTCAATACTCATGTAACGGACATCTTAATAGATCTATTGTAATCTTTTTTTACCACTCTGTAGATGCATGTTTTGTAATAAGGGGAATTATATGAATGATTCTCAATATCAATATTGCTTGTAATTCAATAGAATGTACATAAAGTACGAAAAATAAACGAACGGTAGTCAAGCTCAATAAAGCACTGAAATTTCAAACATTAAAGATTTGGAGCAAACAAGGGTAAAAAAAAACATCAAAGATGGGATCAGGAGTCGTGGAGGAGTAATCATCACCTGCCGATCGGTCAGATCCGCCATGTGCGCATTACGAAAAAAGAAAATCCGTTGACAATTGTCATCCCTGTAAAATAGTGGCTTTAACAATTTGTGTGAAAGACATCAGTCTGGGCAATATTCAACATAATGATGTATTTACTGATGTTAAGACCAGTGTAATCGATCAATATACGAAATGGTTGACTTTAATTAAACGATACTTTGGATATACAGCTCAACAAACTTTTTAAGCTCACATGGTTTTTCGCACAAATTAAGGTAATAAAAATTACTGTTTTCGAAGCTCAGAACGATGACATAGCCCTACGTTATATTACATATATAATGTCAAGTATAAATGTCCTTTAGAAGTATTATCTCTTAAGTTTCCAAAGTGGGTGTTTTAGAGGGGAATTTATCAATAAATGGTACGATGTTTCTACTATAGGCCTTACCATAGGTTTTTTTACAAATAATATAAAACGTGCTTTCATTGAAACAAAAATTTTTAAATTTCTTCTTAAAAGGTGAGTATTTTTAAAAATGTTTTTCTCATTTACCATACTCATCTGGGTTTTGTCGAAATGTAGCACCGAAAAGGGATAACATTGCAGAGAGAAACCATATTACAGGGTAGGATAATGAAGTATCGTTTATTTTTTCTAATAGTAAATTTTTTCGATGAAAAGGAAAATTCTTCTGCATTTACGGTTTAAAACGTTAAAATTTTGCTGTGGGATGAATCTTTCATGATTCTAGATTTTTAGAAGATGACTGCGAAAAATGCCACCTTATTAACATACAAAGCAGTCAAACAGATGAAAAATACTATTATCACCCTGCGTTAAATAGTCAGAATGTACAGAAAATACAAGTTACAGTAGCTGTACTGTGCCCGAGTCTATGTTTCTGCAAAGAGCTACTGCTTTCAAAAGAACGGATAAAAAGACAGCTGCAATTGGCAAGAAACTACAAAAAATCGAATGGAAATAATTGTTATTTTTCAGCCAAGAATATTTTAAAGTTCTAACAACTGATTTGTATGAATTATGTTTTAGTAAATGAAATAAAACTCAAATAATGTAAACAAATACTTTTAAAATGTATTTTGATGTCTCAACACACAATATTACATTATAACAATGTGACCTTAATTAGTGCGAAAAACCGTGAGCTTAAAAAGTTTGTTGAGCTGTATGGTGTAAAGTTGTAACATTTGACTGTGTATTTTTTAGCGCTTTTGGTGGAAAGAACCTTAGAATTGTAGATAATAATCTCACAAATTATTGTCCTTCTCTGTTTTCCAAAATTCAATTTAAAAAATGAAATTAAAACATTTGCTATTTCGGTTAAGTATTTTTGCAGAGATCAAATTGTCTGAGAAACGTCAACAAGGTTTTATTGTATGACAAAAACGAAGTAGGCGACTCTGCCTTTTTCCTCCAACCAATTATATGACATTAGATTTTGTTTCAGTTGGCTCTTAAACGACTTGCCAAGAGTTCTTGTGGCCGAAGATGTTTACATTTACGTATCAGGAAAATAACTATAAAGAAAATCTTAATTGTCTCAGCGTAAATCCGGGATCCGCTAAACTGTTGGTTTATCGGAATATCACGCCGATTTGTTACCGGTCTCTTTTTCATTGATTGCATTTTCTATCTTAAGACATTCATTAAAATAAGGGTCCCACGTTTTCGCTCTGTTGAAGTATTGGGGTTTAGAAACAGCATAGATTGATAAATGAACTTCCTTGGATGATCATAGAATGCAAAATTAACTGAAAAATGTGACATATTCCACTTCTATAACTGTAATCGTGCTATTCAATCACTTACATCGGAAGCTCATTTTGAGTGTAGATATACTAATGACTACTTTGATTTTTAAGCAATCAAAACTTTGCTGAGCGTCCAATTTGGCCAAATCAATCCAGTCTAATTAGAGAAGACATCTACAAATGTATGCCTTGGGGACTCTATTCTTATTTACACCAAATTTAGTTTCAATTTACGGCCGGATCCTGACAAGATTGCTTTGAATTTGTAAGATATTTATGACATTAATTGCATAACAGTCTCAGAGGCCAATATGCACTTTAGCCGAATAGAACACTTTAAAATAATTTTCTGGATGTCTGAACTGATGGCCAATCCATTATGAAAAATATCGATTGTTCAAGCATTTTTGAATGAAA